ACAAAATAAAAACGTGTATAAAAGCGACGTCACACTGCACGTACACCATGATTTCCGGAAAAAAAATTCAGGGCTGTGATTTGCTCAATCTTGTGGTTACTTAGCAATTAACCACAATGGTCATAACTCATAAGTAAAGATAATGTTGTATTGAAAATACCAGAAAGAAGAATCTAATCCCACTCAAGTCAAATGTTTACAATTGTGTGGTTATTGCTGGTTATGAAAATAATTATCAAATAAAACTTTGAACTGATAGTTTTATTGTGATAACAAGAAACCAGTTATCACTAACCATTAGGTTCACAACTTCGCCATACAAAAGAAAAAATATATAATTTTGAGAAATCATCACGGTTGATTGTTTTCCAGAAATCACAGTTCACGGAATAGAGTGTGAAGTAATTTAATGGACTATGAGTTATTTTCTGTAATTTTAATCAACCATTAAACATAAGTACTACAGGTCCCATAGGTATACTTCAATTTCAGAACAAATACGATGGTTAAGCGCATACCCATATTAAGGAATTTTAAAAGTATATTTTCAAAAAATGGATATAATTTCAAACAATATGTGAACAAAAAATAATAAAGTAACACCCGAAAAAAATAAAAACTAAATTAAATTTTTGAAAACATCCCTGAACACAATATGTGTGAGCTTAACCATCATTGGATGGCTTTCTTTCATGTGAAATTATATTTGACATTTACGTCAAACATCATGCACGGGAAAATCACGTAGAAAACGATTGGTGAATACGCTGTAGCCCATTCCCCCCCCTACCTTGTAATATATTTACATGACAGCTCTCCTATGCAGATCATTTGTTACGTCAAACCCAACCAATTTCAAAAGCTCGACCTATGTAACAAGTTCTTTCATAATAAAAATTTAGCCGTTTCAAAAGTTTTCCAACAATAATTATAAAAGTAAAAATTAACAATGATGTTTTAATGTGTATTTGTTAACGTTATTAATTAAATGAATGAACATTATGTTCAACTTGCCAAAACTTGAGAAATGGTTAGGTATTTTCCAAAAGTAAAATATGATATTCCGAAATTGCACGCTTAAAACAAACTTAGTGCTTCTGTTTTGACATTTATAAGACATCTCGATATTTATGAATATTAGGCATTTAGGCAATGAGCCAAGAAAATGTTCAATGTAGCTTACAAAGTAGATTTTATGCGTTTAATTATGATAGTAATCTACTTTATAAATTTTATCAAATTAATCTAACGCATTAACATTTTGATAAGACGTTAAAAGTAAAATTACTATGTATTTATGTTAATATTTAATCTTAATTGAAAATCTATTTTTTATTTAACTAGTGACTAATTAGTTTATTAATTACTAACAATTACCACACAAACCTACATTTGAAATATATCAAAAACAATCTAAAATAAAATATTAAAGTGTATTTACCAAAAATAATTCAATATCAGATTTCAATAGTAGCTGCAAAAAAATTATTATTTCGCTATGTATTATTGTAGTACACAGTTAGAATATTACATAATCTATAAAATTAGTTAATATGTTACTTTAATAACTATATTAATATCATAATTCACAACCATGCTTAAGACGTACTCATAAACCACACAACGTGATTTAAAAATATGATATACATTATACTCGTAATTTGTAGCTTAAAGGGAAATATTTAATGACTTGTAAATAATTTGGATAGTAGAACCCATTATGTTTATCCGTGAATAAAGATTTCTGAATATTCTTATATAGGAAGCGATTATTTATCAACATTATGATGCTTTAAGCAATTGGTTTTGGGAATCAATTAATCGTGCCATTATTCATTAGCATTATAATTGTCAGTGAAACAAATTAAATTAATGAGATTAAAGTAATGTCTTAACACTTAATAAATTAATAACTAAAGAACATAAAGAAATTGATAAAATTACATTATTTCAAATTTAAATTTAAATATAAGTGCTTTTAATTACTGAATTATTGATTAAATTATTACAATTTAACCAAAATAATATTTTTAATTATAAAACAGTAGGTATTTTTTTTTAATTCACTAACTAATAATTTCAACAAATATTTTTAGGTAAATTTTTAAGTATCTAATAAAAAGTGTTAAGATATAGAAAAATGTAACAAAATGTAAAAGTAAAGAACAGACTGATTTAGATTACCTGCGTTTTCTATTGTGAATATAAAATTAAAAAATAGAGACCAATAATATGATATAAAGAGTATTTTTTGACTTATCTGCACAAAGTCCAAAAATTATAATAGGCTCTTACAATAGAACGCAATTTAACGATGGTATTAAAAAATGTAAAAATGCAAATTTTATTCTTATTAATACAATTTGTAATTTGATTACTGTGATTACCGTCACTATATATTTTTCTAACTATAGATATGTTTACAGATTAAGAATCTTTCCTCGAATTTTTTCTCTATTAACACCACAAGCATGGATATGATAATGTAAACAATCATGTAAATGAATTGAGCTCTGCTCAGGATCGTCTTTTATATGCGATAAAAGTCTCGTCCAAAATTTAATATGATAGTAAACCCAACCCTTAGTAAGCCCTTTCCAAAACAGTGAACTAAGAAACATGCGAAGAATGTCTATTTCTTTTATTAAATATATATTCTTTGTTGAATATCGAACGTAATATTTAATACAATTTAAGTTTCGATATTATTAACCGAAATTTTAGCTACAATTCTCTCTGATATCGCATGAAAGTAGTTCAATGTATTTTAATATTGTGTTTAAAACTTTGTGTAAGTCCATTTGTAAAAGTTTAATTCCTTGCTATCGTACTTACTTCAAAATGAAACTACTTAAACGTAATATTTTTTTTCAGATTGGTTCAAGTTATAGAATAATTATTATATCTTTTAAATATATCCTAAATATCATAATTTTAAAACTTTTTAAATCCCAACTTTTGTAAAGTATCAATTATATTAAACATAATCAGTTATATTGACTAGAAAACAACAAAACAAAAAAATAAAAACAGGTAACTTAATATACATAGACCAACAGGGCTGTATTTAGGGGGGGGGCAATTGGGACATTTGCCCTGAGCGTCCAAATATTGATCTATTTAGGGGGCGGCCGGGCACCGCTATAGCCCGGTGTAATATTGTATCAATAAATATTTTTTTTGGAAAGAATTTGTACTATGATACGGCCATAATTTGATAGTGTCATTTGTCAATCAACGATAACTGATAAGTGCTAGCATAGAAATATGGAATATAATTCATATTATTTTAACATAACCACTGTCGTAGATAGACAACCATGACATAACCATAAAGAATTATAACCAAAAATGTGTTAAGATAAATCAAAACAGTGAATCTATGTTTTGGCGGGGAAAGGGGAGGGGTGTAAAAATATGGTCGTCGGGCGCAAAAATTGTAAATATAGCCCTGTAGACCAACCAATTAAAAAAAGGGATCAGCACTATGAAATACAAATAACTGTCATTTTAAATTACCGCAAAAGAATTTCATTTTGCTTCTTAAAGTTTACGAATAAAAAAAAATCGTTCGCTTTAAGAATTTGATGTGAACCATAAGTCTCTTATGAACAATTGAAATAATTTAAACAAACTTCTACTCGGTACACAGTACAAAGTTCGTATAAATCTTATACAGTGTGTTTACAAAGCCGCTTAATGACACACGGACTACCAATCGTGCGGAATATTATACGAGAAAAAGAGGAGATGAATCTTGTTTAAAAAATAACTGTCTTCAATCAACTTAATAAGCATATCTATTTTCGAACACGGACACGCAAATTCAGTTTGTTAATTTTAAAAATATTAAGAGTTTATTTTCAAAATTCAAGACTTGTAATATCAACTTAATATATATATATATACTTAATATACACCTGAATAACTAAATCGAATGTTAGCTGTAACACTTGCGAGATGATGGACAAAAAACTGTTTTCGGAGGCAAATTGTGTTTCTTCGTGCACATATTTGGAGCGTTAATACAACTAAACGATGATTACTGTAAGATCACTCCAGAGTATAAAATATGCTCGACGGAGCGTGTGACGACTGACGAGTCAGGTACTCAGGTGTATAATATTCTACGTCATAATAGTGGTCGTGTACGATACACGATGTAAATGGTTGAGTGGAGGGGGTTTATAGTACAAATAGCACTTAAGTCGAGGTACATTTGTGAAGTAAAATTTTAAATACCCTTATCCTTGTGGTTGTATATAAGAGCGCCTCCTCCGGGGGGAATTATCGAACATAAAGGTAACACTATATTATTCACGGCCCCGCGTGGGCTCTTTTTGATATTTTAATGTTAATCAATTTATGAGCATTTTAAAACGTACAAATGTATAAAACATCATTAAGGTGCCATTGTCGATTATAATGTACGACGTATAGGTATACCATTGTTATACCACGTATTAATAGACTAATAGCACTCAGCCTCGTGGGTCTGGGAATGATGTCGTGGGAATTCTAATGTCTAACCGTCCTGCAGCACCCTTCCACCAAAATCCAGACAAACCAAAAATCGACATGTATAATTATTATTGCTATTATTATTATTATCGTATGTGTTTAACTACAACCCTGTGGCGTATCCAGTTTTGGGAGGGGGGAAAGGGGTCATGTCACCCCATCGGCTGTGTTTTTTTTTTTTTGATTAATATAACGTCAGTACACCTATGATAATATTATGATATGCAATTAATATGGCACGCTGTGTCGAACACATGGAATCACAATCGTCACATGTATATTATATTTGTGTCCGGACTGTGCGTGGATGGACTATATTATGGAGTAGTATAAATTAGGTAATTTGTATAAGTTTCTTTTTGGAAATCCTGGCTATACGCCACTGCCATTGTAACCGTAACCTATAGCCATAATATATAGCTGTCATAATATCACATTACTTATTTACTCATATCACTATTATTATTATTGGGTTACAGCGGCGGCGGCGGTTATTTCGACATAGAGCGGATGAAGTTACCCCCATGATGCCCGTTATGCTGATCCAGCACCACTTATTGGCCGCTGACGTATTCGAGTGCTTTACCGTTCGGATGACGGTATCCCATTCACCGGCACACCGGGCAATGCGCTACTACCGTATCTGGATATACACGTGCAACACCGTGCTCATGGTGTGCGTCGTGTGCTTCGTGGTGATCGCCTACCAGCTGGTGGTGGCCGACCAGCGGCGGCACCTGGTGCCCGGCCTGGACCTGTGCCATCCCAGCCTGCTGTACGTGTACGCCGCGCTGTTCGTCCAGTGCACCGTGCTGCAGATCGTCGGCTTCCTGGGCGCCCGGTCCCTCAGCGAGCGGCTGCTCAACGTCTACTGGCTGCTGCTGCTCGGCCTCCTGGTCGGCGACGCCGTGCTGGGCGTCTACTGGGTGTACAGGTACGACAAGATGGTGGCCCGACTGAAACCGGCGCTCCGGGACCGGCTGGCCGTAGACTACGGCCGCGACCGGCGGTTCACGGCCGTCTGGGACGACCTGCAGCGCGACCACGAGTGTTGCGGCGTCAACGGGCCGCCGGACTTTTTCAACGTCACCGTGCAAGTGGGCGGTGAGTGTTTCATGTTATTCTTCGTCGTCCGTTTCGCCTCGCGCCCGAATCAATCACGTCCACCGAGTTAGGTACCTAGGTATAGCCGGATAGGTACGTATACGCGCGGTGGAGGCATAGGGGTCACCGTCAACTGCGGCCGGCATGGGCGTAACTATAGGATTTAATATATTAGTTACGGGGGCTAGGCCCTAGAAAACCAACGTTCAAAATAAACCTAAGGCGCAGAACGTCAATAGAGTTTATAATTAGTCACATGGAGTCCTGTAAAATCATAGTTGAAAATAAACCATACAGTAAAAGCCTCCCTCCCTCCCTCCTCCCTCGTCATTAAAATAATAGTAGGTATAATATAGGTATATTTTTTACAGTCGTATGCGACCATGTTTAGATGCAAATGTTTCTAAAATAGCATTATCGATAATCCTATTAGATAAGTGGGCACCAAATTATCCGTCTACATTTATTATAGTCAGTTCACTGAATCTGTTTCGGATCATAGTCAACCTGAAGTATGTCTTGCTATTCCTCACACATAAACTCGAACACGATACATCCACAATATTAATATATGGGCTCAAAAATAAAAATGTACAGAGGGCTAAGCGCCCTTCGACTCCCCTTCCCAAAGTTACACCGTTGGTCAATGGTGTCAGCATAAGTTGTGAAGGGGTCCGTCAGCCCCCAAGAATCTCCAGGTCGACTACTGCAACTGCAAATAATGGATGTGGTATGATACCTCTACTGATGTTATGACCATGCGTCACACGAAATTAAATCCAAGGCCGTATTCACTATTTAATGCTTTTGTGCTTTTTGGGGGAATCACAATTTGCGACTCGCCCATCTCCCACAGTAAAAACAAATCAACACATATTATACAAACAACATGATTACAAGAGTATACATTTAAAACACTGTCAGTTGTATATCTTTATTCAAATACTTTCAAATAAAAAAAAATACACACACACACAACTAAATAAAAGTTGAACTGATAATTGTATGGAATACATTTTCCTAACAATATATTTTGAAATCTTATATTATTTTTCAACTTCGTTAAAATAATATTGATATTCCAGTCTATATATTTCGCATCTTCTCAATTTCTGGTAAAAATTATTTTTCGATTTAAGATATTTAAAAAATTGAACTTTTCGGTATTAAATCATAAGTAGGTTCACTGATTTTCATGCTTTTAATTCAAACAATAATGAACAATTATTACTTACCTATATAACCTATATATGGCTAGTGGCTACCTCTACAATAATATATTTTATAACACATTAATAAAAAATTCACAAAGGGTGACGCTAATACAATTTGAAAAAGCAATAAAATTTTTTTTTTTTAATGTTAATCTCTTAATAAATCCTAATAATCAGTAATCATCACAAATAAATTTTAAATTTCGTTTTAGTCTTATCTGTTTTCACTTTAACTTCTGTATCTTTTAACGTTTACCAGTATTACACGATTATGATTTATTACTATCATACCAGTTAGGTGGAAGAGAATATTCTGTAGCTAAGAGTTTTAGAATATTAAGTCGGTATATGAAAAAATTAATTTTGTAGATACCTACAATAAGATAAAATATTTAAAATTTGTGAACATTTTCTGTTCATTTTAGGTGTTTTTATCTCATGTTTTTTTTAATTATATATAATTATGAAATATTATATTAAAAATCTGGGACCATTAAGATTCGTATTCTTTTAAAAAAAGCATCTAGTAGCAACTCGGAGCCCCACCCCTAAATTCGGCAATCCACGCATATGGATATATACGGCCGCACTGTACATGTAATATTTTTTATCGATATTGTAGATTTTTACAGTAGTAATCAGTAGGTAGTTGGTTTATTTTTTATACGTCACCGAACTTTTTTCGTGTCATGATTTAATTTGGTTCTGTGGGAGGCGCAAAATGTGCGTCGAATATATCTATGTAAATGCACAAAAAAAATCGACGTTGTCATCGTCCGTTAGTATCCCCCCCCCCCACCACCACCACTATTAAAGGCCATGTCTCATTGGGTCACACCAAGTTGGCAAATTATTATTATTATTATTAATGTGTGTGTGAGTGTATAAGTAGGTATACTTATTTTTCACATTTGACAATATATTATTACGTCGATGTATTATTAACACCGTATAAAATATTCTAGACACCAAAATTTCGAATACAATTTCAACCCAAATACTTCATAAAATATTTTTGTTAGCGTATATTATATATAATGACAAACGCATTTTCAACGCGATCAATTTTGCTTGTACTAATGTGTGTCACTATGAACGCTTATATGGACTGATGCCATCTATCCGCACGACCGAGCCCTCCAGCAGGAATATCAGTTATTTTTACCAAAACACACTCAAACCCTCACATACCGATATCGATATTCAATGATAAATGATACTCATTTAAACATTTAAGGTCAAATCTCAAATACTGAAATACGTTCTTAGCAACTGCGCCTCTACTTTACACGATATTGTACGTAGCCCGACATAGGTTCCTACCTACTATAGCTACATTGTATTATTATGATTTATTCATATTATATATTAATATATTATTGAGTACATATTTTAATATTTTAAATTCATTATTCGAAGCATAATTTCACTTTTATGATTATTACTAAGTATTAAAGATGATAGTTGATGTTATAGAAATAAAAAATAATTGTTTAATCGGTGACTCTTTATTCGTTAACCTTCACAGAACAAAATTAACAATTGCGATCCCTACAAATCTTAATTCCAATATCATTTTTATAAATTACATGCCATAGGTAATTAAACAGTTAAGTTAATTCAATAATTTACATTAAAAATCGTATATTATATACAGTTAAGTGTAAACTATAACTACATGTGTATGCTATATAAAATATAAGAATTATTGTTTATTCTGCTACCTTTTAAATAATAAAAACAAAATGACGAAAAAATGTATGACACATTTTCAAAAACCTAAATTCTGTAAGAGATTTATGATTCTAGACCTCCTTAGAAATTCTAGTTAAGCTACGTTATTAATTACAATGTCTCTTACGTTATAAATGGATACCGGAATATACAAGCTTAATTATTCAGCAGTTATTGCATACAGCCATGTAATAGACCTATATCTTCGAACTTTCTTGACGGTTGTAAGTCATACTCGTTGGACCACAATTTAGAGAATAACATAATTGTAGTTCAATATACTTTCAACGATAATACATTTTTTTTCTTATAAATAACATTTTTAAAAGCATATTCGTAGAATGGAGGAGAGGGATGATACTGGGAATATGATAATAATAAATGTAGTCGTATACTTACATGAAAATTATTTTATTTTAGGTATAATATTAATTTAAAAGGTGGATATTTTATGAAATTATCATATGAATTTTCATTCAACTTTTCTTTTGAAAACTATAACACGAATTGAAAACTTCATTAGTTAATACTTAATACTATGTCTAATTCAATGTTGAAAAAAATATTAAAAGAAAAAAGTGAGAGGTACATTAGCATACCAGGGAAAGTAATACTTACGCCTCATGCAACGGCTCAAAATCGGAAAAAAAGTAACATATTATTATTCTAAAAACTATACTTAAGGAGAATCCTCTTCAAAGTACAATTTGTTATTCCAAACAACATTCAAGAAAACACAATAAAAAAAGTACAATATATAACCTGCAATACAAATCATAGTCTTATAAGATCATCATGTGTGGAATAATAACTATGCATAGTTAGTAAAAAAAATGTTAATTAAGTTTTCAGATAATTCTACTTACAAGTATTTTATTGAAACAATTTTGAAATTTTTGAATAAAAAAGTATATTGCATTAAATCATCAAATTAACAACATTTTAATTCAAAATTGTATAAGTAAAAATCAAATTACTAATATTATAAGTGTGTTGAAATTATAGATACCACTTGTCAGCGTTTATTTATAATTACAATACATATATATATATATATAAACATTGATAATTAAATTCTTTTCTAGGTTTATTGTTTTCTGAAATGTACCAAAATAACCGAAATTCAGAAATTGAACAACCGAAATTATAATTAAAAACTTTGTTAGAGAGTGCCGTAAACGGTACGCCTATAATATAAATCATTACTGAACCGTTTAAAATATTATCTGTACTTAATACCGCCTGACTTCAATTTCCAACCTACATGGCTACATGGCAATATAGGGGAGAAATATTCGTTACGACAAACCTTGGAGCTTTTAAACGAAAAATAGATATAACCAATAAAATGTATACATACAAATAGTGCATATTGTATAGAATAAAAATATAAAATATGTATCAGGTAGGTACTTATAGATATATTGAGATGAAAGAATTTAATTTTAGATATTGTAATATTTTTTAATCGACAATCGTCACAAAATTCAACAAAAATGACAAATTATCCAGGAAAAATTAACTGAAGGGCGTCAATCAAATCTAGTTACTAGATAGAGCTTGGATTTGTTTAAAAACTTATTCATATACAAGGCACAATACCACAACAATATTTTATATTGAAATGAGTTGAATTCAAAAAATATACGTAGGTTGGACCTAAGACAAAAAATACAGTGAAAAATACATTTAAGTCATAGACATAATCGAATCTCTTTGTGCAAGATTATAATAGAACAAAGCAAATACCATATCCTCATACATCTCTGTAAAAAATACAGTATACAAATGTATAACAATTTAACGAAAATCGGCTCTTTGTTAAAATTTTAACAAAACAAACTCACGCCATACATTAAAATGTTTGCATGTCGCTGGTCTCCACTTCCGTGTAAAAAAATCAAATATTTATAACAGCTACAAGAAAAACTGAGAGAAAATTATTGTCATGTTTTTTGTAATCGTGATAAAACCTATGTTTTTGTCGAGAAATTTGAAATTTAGAATATATATTATAATATATAATTTTTTTCTCCTCCAAAATAATTATTAAGTTAGGTAAGATTAGATCCAAAAAAATAAATGTATGTGTAGATCCAACTCTATAGGAAAATGAAGATCAAAAAAAGCATTTATATTTAACAATATAATTTAAGTTTTTGATACAAAAAGTAACTTTATCTTATAATATCTGAAATATATAATAAAACTATATCTATAATCTATTAATACCTAATTATTTTTCTGTTATCCGTTTAACAATAGAATAATTAGTGTTTCTTACAAAATACCGTTATACATTTCATACCTGAAATTATTTTATAAATTGGAACTAATTATTCGAATTAACATGTCACGGATAACCGTATGCCCGTATAGGTATAAGTATAATGACGACTAAACACCCCGAGAGAGGTATAAGTGTAATAGTTAAATACATTAAGTACCAGAAACTACAATAATAAAATTACAATTGTTATAACCTAAAATGCATAAATTATACTTCAAGGTACCTGAGTTAAGATTATAATTTTTCAAAAAATGCAAAACATTTTAAAAAGATTAAATCTGGTGTCTTGTGTAATACTGCTTAAAATTATGTAATTTTGCAATACACATTATTCTAGTTCCAAATTAATAGAAAACAAATACTTATAAGCTTTGCAAAAATACTTTAATTTTAGAAACATCAATAGGTACTATTACAAATATTGTAAATTATAAATTATAATTTCATCATAGGTAACATCATAAGTAACAACTAACAAAATACAATAATATTCTATAGCTGGAGTTAAAATTACCTATGATTTTTATTTCAATGAAAAAATTGGTTTCGATAATAATTAACTATTGTGAATTTTAATGTAATACAAAAATAAAGAAACTGAAACCTATTTTATTACATTTTTTATTTGTATACATTTTTTCGAAAAACTGAAACTAAAAAAAATTAATAATTACAGAAAAATAGGTTTTTGTGACAACCATTCAAAAATGAGAGATAGGTAGCATTTATTTCATTCTCAATAATAACGCTTTGCCAATAAACCAACCATACAGGTTTGAAAAAAGGAAATAATATTTTATTTTGTCAACAGTAAAATATTTTAAGAATATATAATTTTATTGAAAGCGAACAGTGATAATATAAATAGATGATTTAATTATATCGTGAACAAAAAGCAAATAGAGAATTGAAACAACTTCAGTAGGTAATTCAGTCCTTGCTGTTTTCCATAATAAACATTTAAGTCAGATTTTGAAAATATACACATGAAAACTTACTGTCAGAGGTCAACTTCAAAGTTCCTACCGGCTACCGCTTTGCGACTATATGATAGTACCTACTTAGTTTGGTCAACGCTAATTGGATGAAGGGCTATAAAGTATAACGTAGGTACATTTGTCAATTTGTCACAGACCTTGCCACCTTGGACCTATTTAGAAGACAATGTCACAACGCTTCTATTATTTCCTGCATAAGCTGCTGTACCTATATCATATATTACTAATTTATGTAACCCGTATAATACAATAATAAGGGTATAGGTAGTATTATATCATGAATAAATTGCATAGTTTGGAAAAATATACCCTCTGACAAATTGTTAAATATAAATGCAATATTTTTTTCTTATTACTTTCCAGTTGAACACTTTGTCGATTACACGACAGTGCTGCCGGATAGCTGCTGCTACCATAAGCCAGAGGCTGTGGCGTCGCCATTCCGAAGGGACTACTGGCAGCCACAGACAACAACTACTGCTGTATGGACCACGGTCCAGGCGGAAGAGCACGACAATATGGAAGAGATGCCCATCAAGTGTCGGCTCAATTCATACAGATACTACTATCCCGGATGCGAACGGGCGCTGATGGCATGGATACGTAGAAGTGCCGATGTCCTGTTCGTCCTCGGTTACTGTGTCATATCATTTTTGAAACTGTGTTTTCTAGGCATTCTGAGGTAAACTAAACCTAGACGAGTATTGTAGTACTTTATTCCGTAAAGATCAATACGATCTTTACACCCGTAACATTATAGATTAAACAAGAATATATCCTGAATATTGATGAATATCGTCAGCCTTTACAAATGGCCAGTACGTACGTGTATACATTATTCATCACACTTCTCTACGAACACAACATCTTATTCAATTTCTAAGTAGCATTTGTTTCTTTTGTATTTAAATGAGCGTATTGACTTATTGAGTTTTCCGACAATGCGGTCGCTGCCGTTGATGTTCAGATATATATTATACGAAATAATTTCAATAGAATAATTAGTCTTACTATTATGTAGGTAGGTACCCATCGATATAAATTATAAATATTACCATATATAATAAATAGCTTATGAATAAACTGCTTGATAAATATGTCCAGAAATGTTGGATCACTTAGAATGAAAATGTAATAAATAAGAATTAAAAACCTACCTTTTCAACAACTCGTATTTATTAATTTATTCTACATAGATAGGTAATGCATTTTAATTCTACTAATTTCTTAATGTTATTTGTTTTTTATTTTATCCCACATTGAGCTATTGATTATTGAATTAGTCAAAATACTCTAAACAAAACGATCTATAAAATATAATACAATCATGTAGATTAGACGAGAACAAAAATTGACCTCTATGAACCTTATTAAATAAGATATATTCAAATATTTAATTATTTATTCAAAAGAGATTTTCAAAAATACAAAAGTTAATTTCTAACAAAATTGTTGGCATTTAGGTATGTTTAGTTTAAATGAATGGTTAAAATATTTATTTTTACAGGTATGAAATTCGAGAAATGATACAAAAAATAAAAATACTTCATGGAGATACAGCTCGACTAGAATTAGTCAATGTACCCCAACAAGCTACAGGGAAGTTGTTACAAAAAGTTGAACATAATGGTAGCGTAGTACGTGTATCTACTCCTATGAGACAAGACAGTCAGATAGGTTAGTACAATATTTCTGAGTGCTTTTGTCCTGTTATATCTATAAATTATACTTTATAATAATTAAGCAATTTATTTTATCAATAATTCCCCAACTGGAATTTCAAATACATAATGAATAATAATATATCGTTTCTAAAGTATACTTTAATTTTTTTTTATCATTAATTTATTAATATAAATATAATGTTAATTAGAGCCATATAGCATTGACGAAAATAAACTAGTTTTATTTTGACTTTGAATTATACCCAAAATCATAATACAATATTTGATGAATCAAAACTATCTTTAATACCTACATTTTAATTTTAATTTCAGAAGGAAGTTTAGATGCAGTGAAACCACTTCTAAAAGGTCGTTCAATAGAAGCGACATTCAGGGTAAAGTCCTCGAACACGGACGGCAACGAATCAGACACTAATAGCCATAGTGCGTTATTATTGTGTGATGACAAAAGATTGACAGGCTCATCTAGTAAGAGCAACTATGAACTTCACGAGTTAAAAGATGTAAATCGACTACTAACCACCAGACATAAGAATCAAATATGACTACGAAGATGCGTGGCCGCTTGGTTCCGAATGATTGACAGTAACCAAAAATTCGCATTATTGGCGACACCAAAACCGCAAAAAATTTATTAAGCAAAAAATTTTTAAAAAAAAAACAATAAAATATTATTAAAATTGGAAGATACATTTTTACGTGATACCTACATAAAATTAATTCAAAAGAACAAAAAAGAATACTATCGAAATAAATTTCAAAATAAAAATAAAAATAGTTAAAAAAAAAAATAAAATTATAATTTGTCATTATACAAGTACACAAACAAATAATTTGAAACATCGAAATGACTAATTAACTGATTAACTGCGAGGCATAAATGTGATTGGAGTAGACTACATGGTGCTACACGTCAATAGATTGATTAAGTATAACAATAATAATATATAAAAGAAATGTATAATGATAAAAAATCAACTAAAAAAACATGTATGGTTATGTTGAATTAATTTTATGAATCATCCATTGATTGTGTTCGAAGGATTTTCATTACCTCAATACCTTTTTTTGTAGACCTATTTCAAATTTAATATTTTTTTCTTCAAACTCAATAACGTCATTAATTGAATCCTTATATTCTGCCTTAACTTTTTGTGATAGTGACATATTTTATTGTTCTATTAAAAAAAAAGTCAACTTTTGTAAGTAAAATATAACTTGGTACTCCTTAAATAAATTGTATAAAGATAAATTATAGTAATTCATTTTATTTCCAGCTATTACACTAATGATTGAAAGAGCCAAACTTCTATATTTTATTTAATATTGTAACTAAATAAGAATAACAATTTTTCCTGTAATCTATTGGCCATCTAATGTGAACGTTTTTTTCATTCGACATTTTTTTTTTTGTGAACTCTGAAGTTTTAATAATATACAATTTTAAGAAATATTGCTAGCAAAAATTTAAACAGATTATCTATAGGGATTGAAATATTTGTTCAACTGTCTAAAGAGATATGAGTACAGTATTACTTTTTTAGTACCTAATTCTTAAAAGGAAAACGTCCTACATAATTGACAATTGTCATTACCTATATGAATTTATAAACAAAAATATAATATAATAACAAATAATTATATACTCTTATTAAACCTTGATGTATTTAAACCATATTATGAATATAGTTTTTACACACTTCTGGGGACAAGTTTATTTTATATTTTATCTAAATTAAATCATATTTGTCTTGTTTTTAATTAATGTATTCAAAAATGCCTATGGTATAAGGTTATCCAACAAGTCTACTTAGATAATATATTATAATCTCCTATGGAACATACAAATAAAGATCTACAAACTCGACAGAAGTTTAATTCGAGTAGCTCAAAGTGGGATACCTCAATAGGTTAAATTGAATAGATACAAAAATGTTTAAATACATTTTGAAAAAGATTAACAACTTAGTCAAAAAAAAAAATGATTTTACTTTCAGTAAAAATATGATTAGGTAGGTACTCACTTTCAAATGTCAATAAACTATAAAGCATTCTATATGCTAACAAGGACATAATGAACTCAAAACTCTATATTGCAGTTAAATATATATATAGGTACTTGAATACTAAACCTAATTTCCTTATTATTATAACTATTTGATTGTTGAAAATCTAAAAGATCATAACAACCTACTTATTTCTAATTTATTATAAAATAGTTATACTTCTTATCTTAAATATTTTAGTTTTCCAGTGAGGCTAAATTTTATAATACTGTTAAATCTAATTATGTATAGCCTATTTTCTTGTGTCATGGACTTGTCGCTTTCCAATTGTCTTTAATACAATCATGAAAATGTATGTAAAAGTTTGACTGTACTAGCGAAATCGTGGTTAGGTATGTTTTATTTGTTATAAATTAAAAATAAAATGTTAAAATGTTTGTTGTACAATAAATGTTGTAAACTTTGTACTATTATTTTTTAAGCATTCCTAGAACTACTATAATTATTATTAATATTATTATTAAAATAATGATTTATCAATATTGTTTTTTATCGTAATCTAAAATACCTATCCTTCATTTTCCTATCTTATGAAATAGGTGCTATTTTTCCACCAATTTTGACACATAAATAATAACTGATAAATAGTATTATAAATATCTATTTTAAACAAGCTTGAAATTGAATTCTTTGTATTAATTCATACTTATAATTATTAATTACCTATTAATAAAGTTATGACTTATACATTTTAACTAACCTTTAAATCTTCATCAACTTGAAGCACATAGTCTACATTACTACCACCAATTACTACCTAGATCTCAAAACAAAAATATTAACTAAATGATTTTAAAATATTAACAAAAAAATATCATTTTATACACGTACAGGAGATTTTGTAGATTTTTTCAGACTTTTTTTTACTTCAAAAACTGATTTTGGGGTGGACGACAATTTTGAATAATACTCCATAGCAATTTTACTTCCAACCAAAGAGTTATTCTTCAATAAAGAAATGTCTAAAAAAATAATAATTATGAAGAAATCATTATATTATATATTTTATATTTTTTTACTAGTATCCATGGAAAGTCCTTTTGTCAGCCGACTAACTTCGCTCAGAACAAAAGGAGTAATATTTTTTCCCATGATTCCTTGCTTTTCACAAATCTGACGAGCATTTTCTATCGCTTTGTCAATTTCTGTTTCTTTGAAAAGTTAAATCAGGTTACTTGTTAGTCATATTGTATTATTGTACCCTATTTGTACATGAAAACATTTATAAACACAAAATATAGTTACTTTTTATTTTTTCTTCTAGTATTGGAACAGCTAACAGAACACCAGATCCCGTATTTTGACATTGTTCTAAAAGGCCAGCTGCTTCATATGGTGAAGTAACATTACATACAGACTGATATCCGCTTTGTTTAGTATAAAATGCAGGAAATTCACCATTTGAATCATATGAAGCAACACAGACACCCACAGTTTCCTTTGATTTAAATAGAAAAATAAAGTACATGTTTATCATAATTATTCCAAAATTACACTACATAAATACTTACAAGGTACTCTAAAGTTCGTCCTATATCAAGTATTGATTTTATACCAGCAGATACAACCATTATTGCACATCTGGACAACTCAAATAAATCAGCACTTATATCTAAGGAATTTTGACCATCTATGTGAACTCCGCCAATGCCACCTGAATGTAATAAAAATCAATGAATAATAATTTTTTTTTTATATTTTTTTAACTTCATTTGTAATATTTACATAGGAACATATTTAATAATTTTTAAGTTGAGAATTAATTATGTAGGTAAATAGGTACATACCAGTAACAAAGAATCTTATGCCTAGAGCATTAGCGACAACTAATGTGCCAGATACTGTGGTTCCACCATTTAAACCCTATAGTTATAGTTAAAACATTACAATGCAGTAATTAGTTTGTCATAATAAAAAATAGCTTAATATCATATTTAAAAAAAAATATATATAGGAAGATATTAAAAGATTTACTTGGCTTAGCACATAAGGGAAATCTCTCCTTGAAACTTTGAATGTTTTTTTCTCAGCTGATAAGCCAAGAACATTGATCTGTTCAGGACACATACCAGCTTTAACTCTCCCATTAATTATACCAATTGTAGCCGGAATAATATTCTATAAGGAAAAAATATGAATTTCAAATATAATATAAGTTATAATAATTACATGGGACTTGATGATGTGTTCCATTTCCAAAGCAGTCTCCACATTTTTTGGGTATGGTAATCCATGTGTAATAAGAGCTGATTCTAATGCAATTACTGGTTTTTGGTTATTCAAAGCATTTTTAACTTCAGGAGTGACATCTATAGAACTTCTAGAAAAATAGCGGCAAACATGCTTGAAGTTTCCCTTCATAATGAAACTATAGTGCTATTATATTGTACTCCAAATAATACAACTTATAGTCTATGAGTTATACAGTAATGAACCAACAACAAATACAAAAAGGTAGATATGTATAAACAAACGATACACTGTTTTGGTAGCTATAATCACTATGTTATGGCATGAGGTTTAGTATAAAGATAAAACACTTGTGAGAACATTCAACTGTAAATATTTTACTGTACCTATTATGACATAATAACAATATTTAATTAACTCTATAAACGTCTAATTGATCGACCTTTGTAGTCTAGTACTCTAGTGTACACAGATAGATAAGCTACCTACCTAGATAATATTATATGAGGTTGTAGCATGGAAAGAAAGTAGATTAACAAATAATAAAAAATTATGATGATAAAAAACAATAGTTACATAGATGTCTACTATGTAGAAATACAAAAAACAAACTAGTAAATGTTGCTTTTTCGTATACTGGATGGATATGATATTAAAATTATGTTGTTATACATAATTCTTATTTCCTGCAATAAGTATTACTCAAAAACCTTTTTCAATATTTTGACTGATACATTTCAGAAGTTGATAAAAAAATTCAAATAGATATATATAGGAAACCAATCAATACAAATTTTACATTCATCACAGTTTTTGATTTATCAATACTCTTTTTAAGTAGGATACTACTAGTATTAAGACATACAACTTATACCTAACAATGAAACCAGATAAGTATCTAAAATATAATGGTTTTACATGGTTTAAACATACAAGGCTACTACCATTACTTAAATTTAAAAAAGTGAGAAAAGTGACATTTTTTGATAAAAAAATGACTTAATTTTTTTCACGAAATAAGTGTCATATTGTCACTTTTAATTGAATATTAACCAGATTTAAAATTGAATGATTAAAATAAATTAAAATGCTATGTTCTACTTCATTACATTATTACTTTGATTAGAAGTTAGGTACCTAAGTCTCAGCTTATAATGAATCAAGTTACATTATATTGCCATTAATTAATATTATGAAATTTATATTTATATTATTAATAATTATTATAAAATAATAAAGTTACAACCTTCAAATTAAAATAACAATTATTAATTAGTCAGTTATTAATCAATCAATCTATTATGGACTTTTTATGATATTTTCATAGACCCTTTTGTATTTAATTTTGTTAATTTGAATATCTAAATAAAAACAACACATATCTTCTATTGTTACACAAAAAAGTGACAAAAAGTGACAGTATTTCAAAAAAGTGATAAAAGTGACAAAAAGTTACTTGGTAGCAGCCCTGAACATACCCACTGTTGTAAATAAACAACCATGACACCAACATAAACATGACAAAATATATTTTTGTAAAATAATATAATTTATTTTAAAATATAATATATTTTTAAAAAAATTGAAAAGCTAAAGTTCTTCCATAAATTATGCTTTATGAAATTTTGGTAATTCTTCTAAGAAAACAGAGGGAGTAAAGTGTTTGCCATGTCCCGCATTAGTGCGACGGAGATGAGATAACACGTCATGCGGGTCCTCGAATTTTGTCGTTGGTTCGCACATCGGATTATTACACATATTTTATTATTTTCTAAACCGCAGCGTCATCTAGCGCCCAAGTGGGCACTGACCACCGGCTATACACAGAATCGGTAACCGATCGCTCTACAAAGTGACGGTCAACACACGTTGGACGGTATATATTCGACGGAACCGGCGGACGTCTGACGTGAGGTCTGGTGCGTGGAACTGCCCGAAATCGCCGTATGGTGAACCAAAACCTGTGTTGAAAAACACTTGCCCGGGGAGGTGTACTGGAATGAGTTTGCAGCTGTCTGGTGTCGATGTTCTTGATGACACGGGATAAGATCGGCGGCCAGGCGTCGTGTCGGGGCGCCAGCGGGCAATCCGTTGGTCACACGAGGAAAGCCGTTGTGTGTTATACGCACGTAACGCGCCGCGCCGATCGCCTTCATCATCGCACGAGAAAATTCTCCGCCCCCTGCCGCGCTCTCCCAGTAACCCTTCACAAGCCACACACCTTTGTGCCACAATCGTATCCGGAACGATTCTGGTGCACTGTCGAGTGCTGCCCGCTCCATCTGGAAAAAGGGGCTTTGGCCCCTCGCCATGGCGCGCGCGCGCAAGACAAACATATCGCAGTTTCACGTGCAATTCTCGACCTCCTCAAAAATTTTGTTTTTTTTCTGGATATTCTGAATTCAAATTTGTTTGACATTTTATCACTCAAACCGAGTAATGAGTAAGAGCGCTTTTTTTTTTTTGTTAATATTAATGTTATAAATATGTGATGTAAGATGTTTTATGTTTATGAAAAGGTTGAACCTATTAGTAGATAGTTCACGAGTACGATTCACGAATCAAAATGATGTGTAGGTTGTATGATATCTATAATCAATATTATATTATATTTATAAATTACCATTGCCCGAAATATTTATCTCGACATACCTATAAATAACATTCTTATAGGAATGTTACCTAATTACAAATCTTATACAGATTCTAAATAAATTGCTGATTCGATTCAATTTTATAATAAATTATGATTTAAAGTAAAATAAACTATGGCCAAATCTATTCGTAAAACACGAATAAGTAAATGTCAAGTGTATAAATGAAATTTATATTGAATAATATTTATGAGAAAATTATTTATTGATTTTAAAATAAAAATTACAAAACATATATAATTTGAATTTTAAAATTGGTTTTAATCTAAAAAACAATTAAAAATGTTGCTCTAAGTATTTTTCGTAGTACCTAGGTAGTGATATTCGATTGGTGGACAATTTTAAAATATAATATTAAGTTATGCTAGCTATAATCAGGGGCGGACTAATATCCATTCGGCCCACTATTATGAACAAAATTCAATATTATACTATTACAAGTTACAACCTTAAATTAGAACTTAATTTTTGACTTTTGCTTAGGTATTCACAACTCACCATTATCAATTGATAGGTGATAAATGATTTTAAAATTTGAATTTATTTGACATTTTTAAATTACCTCTTCAGTTTGATCTAAAGATGTATAATTAGTGTGATATAAATTATAACACTAATATTTATCAAAATTATAGTAAAATGTTCGGAAAAGACAAATAAATGTTTCTGATGAATGAAACAGATTTCGAACCTAACCTTTGAACTTGAAAAGCGTTTTCTGGGACTTTCTTGAAAATAATGCATTTTATATTAAAATCCGGTCCCTACTAATAAGTATTTTAAGTTTAGTTGAGCACAGACGCAGAGTGGATCAAATGTTATTGGTACACTATACCGTATTTGAACAACCATTATGGTATATTAGGGAGGGTTGATATGTGAAACGTATGCAAACAATGAATACTTCGTTCAAGTATACCTATAGACTGTAGATTTCATATTAGTGGCGTAATTGAGAATGTTTTATGGAGGGGGGGGATTGAAATAAATTTGTATAGCAAACTTGTGGAGGCCTTTGTCTCCCACGCCCCCTTATCTACATTTGGTATAATTTAATTACTCAACACATGGCATTAGCGTTCGAAAAGCTTACGTTATTTTTTTCTTCGTCTGATAGCAAATCATGTCTAATAAACAAAGCAATGTAATTTTTACGTGCATTAAAATTATCACTCTAAAAAAATACGAAGCAGAACTTAATTTATTAATGATAATGCAGTGTTAGCAGTCAAGCTACAGGTATAATACCATAGAACAAAACTGTACTTTATTTGTTACTTGGACAGTTTGAATCAAATTTTTATTTTCAACGTGAGATAATACATCATCAGATATCTCTATGTTTTCCTTAATTAATAAACAAGAAAATGTATAGGTAAAATCGAATTAAATTTTTTTTAAAATTATTATTAAGCATTATTAATTATTATTATTATTATAAATTATTAAATTCTATTTTTTAGTAGCTCATTAATTTTTTTATAATAATTAATATGACATAATATTTATTGAATAAACTGCAGCGACTGCAGTTAAATTGTCAATACATTTTTAACTGGTGTTTATTTGATTTTGCTTATTTTTGATGCAAGTTGTAATGTTAATTATAATAATTAATAAGTATACAAAATACGTCATGCATATTTTATATGATTTAAAAAAATATATAATTCCGGGCTTAATAATGTGTAGTATTTTGAATAATTTAAAATTGTAATACTTAAGTCAAGTCCGGTCTTCTTTTTAAAAAAATTCAAAAGAGTATTATTAGTTGCCGGTAATTTTCTTTTTTTGCTCCATTTTGCTTTTAGCTTATGAAAATTAAATCAATTGCCTGACGGCTGACACTGTGGCTATGTGAGAATCGAGAACGTCACAGTATGTACTATGTAGAGTATGTACGTAATCACGATAACCAATGCAGATATACTTATTACTTAGTGTCGGCGCGCGTTCCTAGTATTATTATTCGTTCTATGAAATGTAAATCTTGAAGTTACATTTTTATTATTAAATTTTAATTTTTGGAATAGTGGTTTTACCCATCATCGGATTACTTACCATCTATAATCTATAATAATATGTATGTAGTGTGTAGGAACTAGGAAGTAGGTATTAGGTAGGTACAGGTGTGGCAGGGCACCCAAGTGTTTATTAATAAATAAGAATTAAAATAAAACAGACCACATATTTTCAAATCATGCTCATCGTTTACCGAGTAAACATTTATGATCCGTAATAACACAACTAAATATTTTATTTTTTAGTTTAATAATAATTATTAATTTATAAGTTTGTATCTGAACTATTTGTGGGTATACGACAATATAAAAATACAGCTCATGGGGGGGGATCTATCCCCCATATCCCCCCCGGAATTACGCCTCTGTTTCATACAGCACCACCCAACGCTAACTACGAAATAACATAAGTATTTTTTAATAAATTATAAGTACCTTCATTTTATTATAAATAATAAGTAAAATACTTTCGATTCTGACCAAAACATCGGGCATCGCGTAGCAATGAAACGATAAACATTGAGCAGTACGGAACACAATTAAGATCAATTTTCTATTATAATTTCGTTTAGTATTTCAAGGACGGTCAAGTGCAATATTTTCAAAATCAATTTATATGAGACACTGAGACAGTATAACAACTGAAGCGAAACAATAAATGGCATTAAATGCGTATCGCTCTGCCTATATTGCCCGGTCGCAGTTTTGACATAGTTTTAAGTTAAATATATTATCTATTGACATTTTATAACCTACTCAATGACGAGGGACAATATTGATACCTATTGATAGTAGGTACCTTAGATACGACTTCAACCGTAGTCGGTACCCAAAGAGAAATTCATGAGTACAAAGTTCTAAGTATATTTATTTTTTTTTTGTAAGAACCACGTAAACAAAACCGATAGCGGAGCTACACATTTTTAAACTTCAAGAATGAATGTTAGAAAATAATAATTATATACATTTTATAACACAAAATAATTTGCAAATTTTGTTGAAAATTTGAACTATTTAATGCGAGTCTCAACGAAAGAAAACAAAAAAATCAATTTTATCAAAAATTGGTTTGCATAAAAATTATCGTTTTTCCTAAATTTGTATAAGTATAGTACATTTTTTCTCTTTCACTACTTGGTCTGGCAACTAGATCCAATAGACTACCAGAAATCACTATCAACATTGAAAATTGAACTATTTGTATAATTGCATAACTCCGAAAGACGATGACACATTTTCTGAATTAGTTTATACAATTTATTCAGAATTTTTTACTAAGACATTTATATCATAATATCATGTACTTTAATCTAATAACAAATAGATACTTTACAATGCTATTGGCAATAGATATAATATGAAAATCGATTATAATAAGATCAATGACTGCACGTCTGCATTGAATTAGGTAGGTACTCTACAAAATTAAGACAGAAAGCACAACAAAATGTTGACATAATTTTCTACAAATAACATGATACATATATAATATAGTATAAAAACTTATTTGTGAGCATACAAATTAATGTATAGAATACAGCTGACACAAACTAAAATTTCTGGCGAAAAAATCTGAAATTTCTGAAATCATCCATCATATTTTGTATCATCTTTTAATGAAAAAAAAAATCTTAAAATAATAGCCATCATCCAAATAAATTATAGTTACATATCAGTAAAAAAAATATAAACATAAATTATTTGTTGTAAGTTTTAAACAAAATAACTCATTGAAATCCAATTTTTTATTTAAATGTATGATCATAAAATTTAAGAATGTTGGATTGGATTATCTTAAATGATAAGTTTAAAATAAATTTAATAATAATAAAATTAAAAATTGTAATTTATGTATTGTTATGCTAACTTTTTGTTTACTTAAATAAATATTATATTTCCTACAAATAACAGGTTTCTATAAAATACTGAGTCAACATTATATTATTACAGTACAATCTATTGATTTTAAAATTATATAATACTTTGATACCATTAATGGTTTATATTGTAATAATTAAAATATACAGTTATAATTGATTTTCAAATCCAAATACATTTTAGTTTTTAATTAATTTTAAGTGCAAAATAAAATATACCGTATAATCCAATTTAAAATATTATAATAATAAGATACACACAGTTTTAAAATTATATCAATTAATATTCGGTGAAAAATTATGAACTAATACATTCACATAAAAAGTTTTCTGAAAGCAACAAGTAAACAAGAGATTTGTAATATAAGTTGCCATTAGGCATAAAATATAATAACATCTTACAACATAAAAAATAATATTATATTTGCTTAATTTATTAACTACTACCATAGTCATACCTAATCATAGATAAAATAAAATAGAAAATTATTTTAAGGTATACAAAGTTAAGTATATTTGATACTGTGTACAAGTATTAACCCAACTCCACATTGTCATTTTTTTTTTGCGGTTATTATTATTTTATACTTAATTAATTTTTTTTTTTATTACATACATCTTGCTGAGTGTCAGTTGTTATTGACAAAATTATATACGTATATACAAATCACTATTTTGGTGAAAATAAATGGGCAATAAAAAATTGGTTTCACAATAATTGAATAGTCATATAAATCCACAAATTCACAGTCTATGGTTAAAAGAAAAGCAATTTTCACCAATTGTGCATCCGCATAAAATGTCTTATATAATTTACATTAATACAGCCAGTATATCAATAGTTTTTTCTTTGATACACCATAGATATAAACTTATAAAAACTGGAGTGAACATTGCTACTTGTTTAGTAAACAATTGGAAATCAGTATCCAAAATAGGGAAAACTCAAAGTAAAAATAAATTAGTCAGAAGAATCAGAGTTTTCGTAGATCCAACACAAATACCTGCAACAAAAAATAAAATTGAATTAAAAATATTCATTCTAAACACTTGTAAGTTTAACTTGGAGTATATAAAGTTAATAGTATTAAGTTAAATAATACTAGGATAGTTTAATATTATATAAATCAGTAATAGTGAATCATTACAAATTATAATTGTTGATAAAATTGTAGATAATATACTCACACTTCCATCAGATGCACTTGCCCCAACTTTGTCACCCCTAGAATTCCAGCAAACTTCAAAAATACCACCTGTTCCTTTATAACTATGAACTAATTGACCACTCTGAAACAAAAGTAGCAGAATTATTATTTTATCCAAGAACAAAATGGAAATTGACTGTTATTTAATATAATTGTATTAATATTTAACAATAAATATTTACTTGTGTTGACCATATATGAACACATTTGTCAAAACTGCCAGATGCCAAAAACTTTCCATCAGGTGAGAAGGCTACACTGTAGACAGGTTCAGTATGCTTGGTCAATGTATGTATGCATGCACCTCGCTCAACATCCCACAAACGTACAGTTGAATCAAATGACGCACTGGTAATATTTATACCAAACAATAAATTATAATTATTAATGGTCGTGTTATGATATAAATTCATTATTGTACTTACCTAGCAAGTATTAGATTCATGTTAGGATTTGCTGTTCCTGGACCGGTTGGACTCCATTTAATTGTATATATTTCTTTATTATGTGCTTGTAAATCATGCACACAAGTATCTTGTTTCATAGACCATATCTTCAAAGTCATGTCATCTGAACAAGATGCTAATAAATTTCCTTGTGGATCCCATTTAATAGCATTAACTTCATTCTAAAATGTATTTCAATAATAAAGTAACTCAATAAATGTTGTTTTTGAAGAGAAAAAAATGATGGTAGTAGTAGCCTTAATACTTAAATACAAAAAATAAAAGATATCTAAGTTATATTAAAAGTTTTAAATGAAATATAAAAACAAAAAAGTAATAACTAATAACTTACTGTATGCCCTTGGAATGATTTTACTGGTCGATCAACACCTAAACGACAAACATGTATACATTGATCAGTACTGCATGATGCAAAACTACTGTTTGATTGCCAATCTACATCCAATGCTGGTGCTGTATGGAATGCAAATTGCTGATTGCACTGGCCTGAAGCAGCATCCCAAATAATAGTAGTCTAATATAAACAAATAAAAAATAATGAAACAAGTTTTGAAAAAAAAAATAAGATTATTTACTTTATCAACTCCGGCACTGAGTATATAATTTCCTCTTTTATTCCATTTTAAAGCAAATATAGGACCCTTATGTTGACCAAGAGTGCTTGATATTCTGCCATCTGTCATCCAAATTCGAGCATAACCATCATATGAACCGGTAGCTAATAATGTTCCATCACACTAAATATGAATAATAACTATTAGTAACAAAATAAAATACTTATTTAAAATATAGAAAATAAGTTACACACATTCCAATCAAGGGAAGTAACATCTTTATTACTGGGTACTTCTGTTCCTCCTTTTTGAATACAATGTCTCAATATAAGTTGAGACGGAGCACCCGAACTGTCAGCCATATCCCAAATACGAGCTGTACTATCTCCTGATCTACAAATTCAAATTTTTTTTTTTTTAATTAAAAAATATAAAATGCAAGAAGACCCTAGGACCTAGGTTTTAATCATTTTTAGTACGTACCTATTTAAGAATATTGATATGTGAATATATAATTAGGTACATTTGAAATTGTTAGGTAATAATGAAATAAAAGGTGTTTGAATTATATAATTACCCAGAAGCAAGCAAATCAGTGGTTGGATTCCATGCACAAATAAAAACTTCAGATTCATGACCCTTAAGAATAGTAGATTTTTCGGCAGGTATTTCAATACTGCTATCTAGTTCCATTGTTTCAGTGCTAGTAACAGCTGGGGTGACTGTTGCTGTGCCTTCTTCGCCATTTGTTTCTTGTGCATCATTCTTGACCACACTTTGTTTTTGTTGATTTTGGCTCTGTCGACTGGCTACAATTTCCGGCATAACTGCGTCAATCAAAGACAAACTCTCGGTCAAACGCTGTTCTGATCCGTCTTCTCCAACGCATATCTCAGCTTCGGTGTAGTGCAGACCCTTTTGAATGATACTAATCAAAGCAGCTGGCGGAACCAAAGCTCCATTGATGTTAGACTGAGAAATGTGCGATTCAATACCAAACGTATATGCCGAATGTTGAAAGCCTAAACAAAATGTGTATTTAATTTAAATATAGAGCAAAAAACAATTTAGGGTAATTGCACTTACCAGATTCTTGAAGGTATCGGTAAACGAGGAAATTCAATTCATCACTCGAAAAAGCCATGGTTTGAATAACTTAAAATTATTTAAAACTTACGAAATTTAAGCATACTCTTGTATAATAATAATAAATAATAATATAAAAATACTTAATGCTAAGAACTAAGGCCTAAGGAAATTTGATGGAGACCTAAGTTCAGTGTTTACGAATCAGCGAGACTGGCGAATGCACTACCGCTAAAAAAAAAACCGAGATAAACAAAAACTTTATATACTCTTTGGAATATTCTTATCATCTTTGTTGATAAAAAAGAAAATCGTATCAGAATAGGACATAGAGTAACATCGATTAACATTGAATAGGACTTTCGAGTTTCGAAGTTTCGATTTCGAACACGAATTAAGATCTTAATTCGTTGTTTCGAATACGGCGTAGGGTTAGTCTGCGGAATACGGCCTAATGATAATATACCTATTTCATTATTATTTAATATTTATCCATTGTATGTAGTTCATTTATCATTTGTTCACTGCAACGTCCATTTTATTTTGCTCATGAAATGTATAATGTCTTAGTTAATGGCTCATGGGGCCTAGACATTTTTTGTCTATGTAGTCAATAGTCATGAGAAATTAAATTAATTAATCATGTATAATACTATAATATATACTTCTGTTTTATCTTCTGTACCTACCCATGCGCGATAGGTAATCGTCGCCACTGCCAACCACGATATTTTAAAATTGTTATGTAGTTAATTAATTATTTGTATTGCCACGACTTTTTATTAGTTTTAGTTGTAGACTTGTAGTGTGCCACAGTTTAAGATATATCTTAAATCGTGAGTATAGCAGTATTGTAACAGAAATAGTAGATACAAGGTATAAAAATGCAGTTTATCGAGAAACCTGTAAAAACGCAAAATATAGACGTATTAATAGTTATAGAACTATACTATTATGTTGACTGTTGAGTTCAATATAAAATTGATTCAACTTTTTTTTCACAAAAAAATAATTGGGTACTTAATTTCAAAACACTCACGTATTATATGTAAACCGTATACGTCAGTGTTTTTGACCTTTTAAATTAAATACTGTCATAATTAGGTTATAATCTTATTGACAACGCTCTTGGTTAAAAACAAACCGTTCAATCCACAAGAATTGCAATCATTTTTTTTCAATTCAATATTATATTATTTAATTTCTTTTAATAACTTTTTTAATGTTGAGACATTCGTAAAGGTACCTTGTACCTATATATTATTTCAACATTCATGACTGTGGTTGGCGATAGCTGGTCGCTATGAAAGTTAATATTTTAAATAAAATGAGTTGATTCTTATTTCTTTTTAATATTTAAACTAACCTATTTGAAAATTATAAATAACCTGTCTTTTTTTTCTATTACCTAGATTGCATTTATCTCACACAGTCACGAATATAATTTTTTGGATGTATTACTAAACTCACAAATTCCCACAATAATATATTTATTTGAGTTATTTGAAATATGTCATCGATTATTAAGATTTATAAAATCATTCATTTCATTTCTAAGTTAATTGATAGAGGAGAAAATCATCTTGAAACTGAGAATATCCATGATTGCAATACTGTTTTAGGAGTATTGATTGGAAATACATATACGTTTTAGAGTGGCTAATGTGAAGATAATTAAGTTCATATTATATATTAGTAGTGGGTATTATATTTTTAAGCTTTTTTTGTCTTTCATATTTCAGATTCACATAAAAATGAATTCTGTAGTATTTGCGAACATGCGCAAACATGCTCTGATTGCGCTGTAGGACAAACAGACATTTACATAAGGTTATTGTAATAATATTATGGCTGGACTACGTAGCCGACTATTGACTATACCGATAAATAGGTTACGATGAGTATAGAGTAGTAAATACCTAATGAATCTAGGAAAAAACGACATGGAAAAAAACCGATAAGGGTATAAAATACCTAAGTCAAATGCATTTTACTTATAAGAATCTCAAATATAAGTTATAACTTATAAGTCAATAAGTCAATTATAAAACTATCAAAATTATAAATAATAAATCACAAATATCTTATCATACTTGTATAACACATTAACACTATATAGGTTAAGGTTATAATATAGCTGTTAAAAATGTGTTTCGTCTCTATAGTCCATAATATGTTGGCTCAAATAATCTGTTACTTAAAAATCAGAAACATTAGTTTTAAGTCAATTATCAAGTGACAAATTGCATATAAAAAAAAAATTTAATATATATATAAACTATATACATAGGCATATAAAATATTTCGGACCAATGATTATAGATACTAGTATGTATTTATAATCAATGTTATAGACGAAACCGGAAACGTCCTATGATTACATTTTTAACGATGAAATTTGGTTTACCGTAGCACGTAAGTATTATTGTATTAACAAATTCAACTTACATATTATTACTTAATTACTTATTTAATATAGCGTCACCGCGACTCAAATTAAACCAAAAATGCCAAAATTTACACAAATGTAAAGTTTATTTCAACACGCGTACTTTCTGGTTTCTGTACATATATAAATAATTTTATTTAGTCCCCCCCCCCCTCATAAGAAAAATCTTGGGAGCGTCGTTCCAATTTATAGCCATACTGGTGGTAGGTATAGGTACTTATTTGATCGGGATTAACAGCCTGCAATTAGCCACTAATATTTATATGACTTTCAATAGTAAAACACATTTGATGTTTTTTACCTTGTCGTTTTTTGCGGTTTCGTTTACTTCAGTTTCGTTTTTTACCGATTACAGTAAATAATGTTGTAATAATTATAATAATTGAACTATCCCCCGAAAAAAATTCTAGGCACGCCCCTGCCCACGAGTACAGACGATATGGAAACACGTAAAATATTTTATTAATCCATGTTGTGGTTATTATACATATCTGTGGGTAGTCTACACCATAGAAAAGATAATCTAATATCAAACATTGATATAAAAAAATTGAAAAATACATTATGTGTCTCTAACTAATAAGTACATTAATATTAGTTGTAACTTATAAGTATATATTTTCAGCATTGACTATACTCATCATTGCAACAATTGAATTCCTCATTTTAATAAAAATTATTTCTACTTTTTAGTCACTTTAATAGTCTGTAGGTAGGCAGTAAGTTTAGCGAAAGCAGTTCCCGCGGTGTCGTCGGTTTAAAACTGAAAAAAAAAGATAGGCAGACAGGCAGTAAGTTGTTGCATAGAACAATAGTTGCAGGAACACTCGAACACCATGGACCTTAATACCACAGAATAGGTGAAATTTCACCTATTCTTTGTAAATACCTTATAGATTATACCATCATAGAAATAATAAAATAAGTTATTTCTATCATGGTTTATACTATTGTCTAATGTCTATTAGTAGCGCTTACCGCTGGTCTATGAGGAACCAGGAACACCCGAATACTCAATGCTATTGCTATCTACAAAACAATAATTGAAAACATTAATCCGCTAGATGGTGAAACATGCGCATCACTTTCTCTTCTGGTTAGCACGAATCCCATTACCAAGGTGCTAGACCTGATCGTGGACCAAAGTAATACATTACGCTACCGTGGTTGCGGTTGGTACACCGGGCCCTGCTATCAGCAGCATACACGTAAACAAGTTGAACGAATTGAGTATAGGCGATGACGAAGATTTTCGCTGTTAAAACTTTCAGTAAATAATAAATCCGAGATATTTGCAATTATGATGATGTATTTCGTACGAAATTAAGGTATTAAAAAGTAAGTGCATTTTGTATAGTAATTATTGAAACAAAACATGCATTTGAAAGTGTTTTGACGATTTTATGTTAATGTTCTTTTGCTATTTCACTCTCGATAACATTAACCCTATTGACTTGTGGGTGTGTGCTCTGTTTTATAGAATGTACCTATATGATGACAAGCCGGTTTGTAAGAACACTTGGTTAAATAAATCCATCTTAGAATAAAGTGGTCGCCTTTTGATATGGCTCAAAGTAAATATCACACCCTTGTCTAGCTGAATAGTTGTAAAACATATTCGGTGTCTTAAAAATTAAAATTACTGTGCAAACCTTATTTGGGTGGTTTGTAAATAGTTAAATAACATATTATTATAATCCTATAACATATTGCTTCAGTTTTAAAATAATAAATTAGCCATTTGAACCAACTAAAATATTATTGATGTAATCAAAAGGTATTTAAAAAAAAGTAATGACTAAATATATTGGAACCTTATAAATATAAATTAGTTATAATTTATTAATTGTTTTCAGTTTTGATATTATTTATTTTAAAATAGGATTAAATATTATATGAATCCTTAATAAATTAATTGGACTGATATACCTATTAAATTTATACTATTCAATACAGTTAATGTTTTGTAAAATTCTTTTCGTATAATAGTTGTGTGTGTAAAAAGCTTAGACATTTTATTCCATAATCTAAATATCAGATTTACAATAATACCTCATCTATAAATTTAAGTTCCAGAAATATATATATTTTATCAACCATTAATATTAATGGTATTAAATTGCTTGAACATTGGGTTTTATAACTTTAAAGCTTATTGTTGTTTTTGATTACAGGTGAATTGTAATCATGTTGACGAAATTTGAAACTAAATCGGCCCGCATAAAGGGTCTTACATTTCATTCAAAACGGCCATGGATATTGGCAAGTCTTCATACTGGGGTAATCCAATTATGGGACTACCGGATGTGTACCTTATTGGACAAATTTGATGAGCATGATGGACCTGTACGTGGTATTAGTTTCCATAGCCAGCAACCTATATTTGTATCTGGTGGTGATGATTATAAAATTAAAGTATGGAATTATACTCAACGACGATGCATATTTACATTACTTGGTCACTTGGATTACATTCGTTCCACAATGTTTCATCATGAGTACCCTTGGATATTAAGTGCATCTGATGATCAGACAATAAGAATTTGGAATTGGCAAAGCCGTGCTTGTATTTGTGTTCTAACTGGTAAGTACAGTGCACAATTTATTTGTTTTCATTGTTTTTAATAATCTTGTTATACTTAATAGATTATATTACTAGTTTATTTTCTAAAACTAAATAGGTGTTTTAAATATTGATTTGTAATGAAAAGTTCCATGTAGTATCCATCTATAAATTAGAGGATACTAACATTTGGAGGTACTATTTGCTTTGTCTATCAGATCCATGTGCAACATAGACAAAATACACTTATAAAATTATCCTTTTTTTATGAATTGTTTTTAAAAAATGTTAGACCAAAATTACTAAAATGTATTATGGAAAATAATATTTTTGTTGGTCGACATAATTTTATCTATCTAACCTATTCAATTAAATTTTAAATTATTTTCAAATTACAAATACAATATAAAACCAATGTATCAAACCTTCAACTATTATTATCTATAGTTGTAATAATTGGTGATTTAACTCATAATACCATAAGACAAATTCATTTACGTATTTTGGCTATTTTACATGTGGGTCTGAGAATGAAAATAAATAGCACTGACATACTTAAAAAACTAATTTAGACAAGCATTAAATATTAATTTATACTTCTCTCATAGCCTAACACTCCTTATTTAACATACTTTATATTATATTAATTTCAGGCCATAACCATTATGTCATGTGTGCTCAGTTCCACCCATCTGAGGATTTAGTGGTATCTGCATCATTGGATCAGACTGTTCGTGTTTGGGATATTTCTGGACTACGCAAGAAAAATGTTGCCCCCGGTCCTGGTGGACTAGATGATCACTTAAAGAATCCAAATGCTACAGATCTATTCGGTCAAGCTGATGCTGTGGTTAAACATGTGCTCGAAGGTCATGACCGTGGTGTTAATTGGTGTTCGTTCCATCCTACTTTGCCGCTTATTGTCTCCGGTGCTGATGACCGTCAAATTAAATTATGGAGAATGAATGATTCTAAAGCATGGGAAGTAGACACTTGCCGTGGACATTATAACAATGTTTCCTGCGTAGTGTTCCATCCAAAACAAGAGCTTATCCTGTCAAATTCTGAGGATAAAAGTATACGTGTTTGGGATATGACAAAGAGGACATGTCTCAATACATTTAGGCGTGAACATGAACGATTTTGGGTACTTGCCGCACATCCAACCTCCAACTTATTTGCTGCAGGACATGATTCGGGTATGATTATATTCAAGTTGGAACGTGAAAGACCTGCATTTACACAATTTGGTAATTTCTTATACTATGTAAAAGAAAGATTCTTACATCGTCTTGATTTCACCACCCACAAAGTGACCACTGTCATGCAACTAAGAGGTGGTGGACGTACACCTATTTACAGTATTAGTTACAACCCAGCTATAAATGCAATGCTCGTATGTACAAGAAATTCATCAAACCTTGAAAATAGTACTTATGATTTATATCAAATGCCTAAGGAAACGGCAGACAGTAGTGTTTCAGAAGTCCCTGATAGTAAGAGATCTAGTGGTTTGATGGCTGTCTGGATAGCCAGAAATCGGTTTGCCGTCCTAGACAAAACACACATGTTGGCTGTGAAAAATTTGAAGAACGAATTAACGAAAAAGAACATAGGACCGAATAACATTGATGAAATTTTTTATGCTGGTACTGGTTTATTGTTACTACGTGATCCCGAGAACTTAACATTGTTTGACGTTACACAAAAGAGAGTGTTGGCCCAAGCTAAAATAGCCAAATGTCGATATGTAGTATGGGCAAATGATGGATCATTACTGGCCGTTTTATGCAAACATAATATTTATATTTGTAACAGAAAATTAGAAATTTTGTGTACCATACATGAAAATTCCAGAATTAAGTCAGGTGCGTGGGACGATTGTGGTGCATTTATATATACCACGAGCAATCATATTAAATATGCCTTGCCAGATGGTGGTGACTATGGAATTATACGTACATTAGATCTACCTATTTACATTACAAAAGTCAGTGGTAACCAAGTGTTCTGTTTGGACAGGGAGTGTCGACCGAGAGTGTTGAATATTGACACTACAGAATACAAATTTAAATTGGCACTTATCAAACGCAAGTATGAGGAAGTGTTGCACATAGTCAGGAACGATCGGTTGATTGGACAATCTATAATAGCATACTTGCAGCAGAAAGGGTATCCTGAAGTGGCATTACATTTTGTTAAGGACAACAAGACCAGATTCTCATTAGCACTAGAGTGTGGTAATATAGACATTGCTTTAGAAGCAGCTAGAACCCTGGATGACAAGGCGTGTTGGGAACAACTGGGCCAGTCTGCATTACTGCAGGGCAATCATCAAGTAGTGGAGATGTGCTACCAGAGGACAAAGAACTTTGACAAGCTGTCGTTTTTGTACCTGATTACCGGTAACCTGGACAAACTGAGGAAAATGATGAAAATCGCCGAAATTCGGAAGGACGTGTCCGGGCATTACCAGGGAGCACTATTACTGGGCGACTGTCATGAAAGGATCAAGATACTGAACGAACTGGGGCACAAGTCTCTCGCCTACCTGACGGCCGCCACCCATGGTTTGGACGCTGAAGCCGAGACCATAAAGGAGGGCTACGAGGGTAACCTGCCAACAGTGACCGCCGGCGCCACGCTACTTAGACCTCCTGCACCAGTCAGCCAGGCTGAGTCCAACTGGCCCCTGTTAACTGTTTCCAAAGGTTTCTTCGAGGGCGCCATACTGTCGGCGGGCAAGGCTTCGGGGCTCATCGACACGGCAATCGGTGATGACGTGGGTGCTGAGGAGGAGGGTTGGGGAGCAGAGGCGGACCTGGGACTCGAGGGGCGCATATCGCCAACGCACTCGGAAGCCGAGGAAGAAGCGGCATCGGCGGCCGCAGCGGACGGTGGTGGTGAGGACGGCTGGGACGTGGGTGACGAAGAGGTGGAACTTCCTCCGGAAGTGCTGGTGTCTCGACAACAAGACTCCGACTATTTCGTCGCACCGCAGCCGGCCGCCTGCCCTTCCCTCGCTTGGTCGGCCAACAGCCAGCTGGCTATCGACCATGTCAAGTCGGGTGATTTCGAGAACGCATTCCGGCTACTCAATGAACAGATCGGCGTCACCAACTTTGCGCCACTCAAGAACCTGTTCATGGATTCGTACCTCAAATCGTGCACGTCTTACACTCCACTGCCCACGCACCCGTCGCTGTTCGTGTACCCCGACCGCAACTGGAAAGACGGCGGTGGCAGTAAAGGTCACAGTAGCAAACCCGTGCTGGACGTGAAGCTGGAACAGCTGCTCGGCGAGCTGCAAGCGTGCTATCAGCTGACGACGGCCGGAAAGTTCCCGGAAACAGTGGCAAAGTTCCGGTCGATACTGGCAGCCGTGCCGCTGCTGTGCGTGGACACTAAACAGGAGGTGAACGAGGTCGCGCAACTGGTGCACATATGCAAGGAGTACCTGGTCGGGCTGGTGATGGAGACCGCCCGCAAGGAGCATCCAAAGACCACGGCGGACGACCAGAAGCGCATCGCCGAGATGGTCGCCTACTTCACTCATTGTGACCTGCAGATGTCGCACAAGATCCTCACACTGCGCACGGCCATCAACGTGTTCTACAAGATCGGTAACCTCAACACGGCCGCGTCGTTCGCCAAACGGCTGCTGGAGCTGGGCCCGCGGGCCGACGTTGCACAACAGGCGCGCAAAATGCTGCAGGCCTGCGACCTGAACCCGGTCAACAAGCTACAGGTGGCCTACGACCAACACAACCCGTTCTCGATATGCGCCTACTCGTTCGTGCCCATCTACAAAGGCAAGGAGGAGGTGAAGTGCCCGTTCTGCTCTGCATCGTACCAGCCTGTGCACAGAGGCAAGGTGTGCAATATATGTCAGATATCGTCCATCGGCCGAGAGTCCACTGGACTCAGAATAACCGCTGCACACTACCGGTGAAAAAATTGATGTTTTCGTTTTGGACAAAAAAAAAGCTCGCGAATTGTTCCACTTGTGTTTTTTATTTTTATTTTATTATTACATTTAGGTATAACCCTTTGCATATTATATAATTATGATTTATGTTCGATATGTTTAATTTATATATATATATATTATTACGTACGAAAAGTATTTTATTGAATAAATAAATAAATAATACAACAACAACGATAGTGAATATACATTTTCTTTAGAGTTTAGAGACTAAGCTTAAATAAATAAATAAATAAATAAATAAATTCTTATGTAGAGACCGACAGCTGTGGCCAAGCGCATACGATGCGTAAACAATATACGAAGTATTCTGCATGAATACACTTGCAGTGCAACATGTGAGTGTACAATAAATATTAAATAATCCTATTTAAGTAGTAGGTTATCAGAATTGACCAGCGGCTATAGCCATGATGTCCGGGTTGATGGTGGCACGTGGAGGCGAGTGGGTCGGAGAGTTGCTCCTCATCTGCGGTTGTCTCTGGTGTAATTTGCACCTGCAGTTGGTCACCACCTTTATGACATTATTGAACATGTTCCCATCTCGGCACTTAAGCTGGACGCGAACCATTTTCACGTCACCATCGTAGCACTGCAGAGCTTCCACCTATTTAGTAACACAGAAAGTATTGTGTAATATAAAATGTACCGGAACATTTTCATGAATTTTTAATTACTAAATAATTTGTGAATGTTCGACATTCACACGAGTTCAGTCAAAATTTTAATTTCAAATCCTCGTAGAAATACGTAGGTAGTTAAATATTATATAATTATAATATGATAGTTACATATTTCTATGAGTCTGTCTAGCTAATTTACATTTTATAGGGTAATAAATAATAATGCACATTTTAGTGTAGGTATACCTATTCAACATCGTCATAGCCCATAGGTTGGTACACACTTTTTTACGTATTCTACGATTTAGACTATAGTTTTTAACCCAAACGGAAAAGAAATTTATAGGTATTTACGATAGGGTTGCCATACGTCCCGGTACACCGGGACATGTCACCAGTTCATGACTTCGGTCCCGGTCGTCCCACTAGACCCTACAAAAGTCCCGGTTATGTGTAAATAATATTATTACCAATAATTATATTAAATTATGTTTTTATAAAAATTATATTTTTATTCTAAAACCATGAATTTCACGTTGAACACTCCTAATGTTATGGGAAATCCAGAGCTATTGAAACAGGTGAAAAAGTCAGAAAAATATAATATTTCAAAATAAATAAATAAATAATATTTCGTTAATCAAATGTATCTTCTAATTTATAGTCTTTCATAATTCAATACTATTATAATTGTATTCTATATACATATTTATATTCATTACACTGTGTTCTAAATTTTAATATTAAAAAAAAAAAAAGGTTCAAATTATTTTTGTAAATGTCCCGATCAGTACTTGAACTTTTATGGCAACCCTAATTTACGAGTATGTTCAATGATTTAATTAGGGTAAGAACGTAAACACTTCATGCAGACAACTTTGATAATTATGTTCAACAAATGTTTTTAATTGGGTTAGAAAATATGTCAAATGATGTTGCACAGTGGGGCGTAAGCGTAACATGTTTGGTTACGACGTTACGTAATCGAAAACGCAGGTGAAAATTTTAAACACGTTTGAGCGCGTTTATGAAAACACGAAAGACACGATTGGGCTGAAGAAGTCCGGAATATTATCGTCATTACCTAGGAAATATTAATAAATGCATCATTTGAAGAAAATAGTGGCCGTTATTTCCCATGGTCAATATCATATATTATACTGTCCGATTTGATCGGAAATATCTTTATAAAACAGTGATTGACGTTAGTAGTCGATCAAGATCAATTATTACGTCTTTGACTGTAACACAATGTAATATATAACCATCTCCAAGCTATACCCATGTATACCTGTGCGTTGTCTAGCGGAGAAGATCGATGTCTTTGACTCAACGAGTTGGCCGAAACCAGACAGCGGTCGGCGCATACAGCTTCCACCACGGGTTTGGTGGACACGCATTGTCCGTCGGTAATGTACTTGGTCGATTTCAAGTTGCAGTTCATGTCTGAAAATTATTGCACAGGTGTGATTAGAAAAAATCGAGTACCTACTTAATGGTTATTATTATTCATAGTAATAAAATATAAAAATGTAATATTGCAGTTATTATAATATATACAACGTATATATATGTATAGGTATAGTAGTTGTATGAAACGATCGGACTACCCGATTGGACCAGTCTGGACCCGGGACACTGTGAGCTAAAAACCACAATTATGGTAACTGTAGAGAAAAAGCGTTAATAAGCTGGCGTTATAAGCCGCGTCTTATTTCAATCGAATCCAATCTTAATCAATCTGCTTTGATTGAGTTTGGCCAATAAGATGCGTCTAAGGTAAAATCATTAAATATTTTCAAAGTGCATATTATTTACTATCAATATAAGTATTTAGTACGATTGTATTTTTCGATTTCTTCATAATAATAAGTAGGTACATAATATTATAAGCGAACCGTCTTCTGATCTCACATCCATTTGACATATTATTTATATTTAATATTAGAGCTGCAGTGAAACAATAATGCGTCTTTAAAGTTAAAATACCGATCATTGTTTCGCAACACGTACTATGTGATAGTCAGATTTTTTAGGGATATAGGTATTTTAAGATTCCCCAAACGATTCCCGCATAGCTGGAGAACAATTTATCCAAATTCCAAACGTAGGAGACATGAGTACCTACCTAATAAATCAGTAAATAATTGTTTTTTTCCACTGCAGACTACAGTGTGGCGAAACTATATTAAACATTAATACATTATATAATATAAATTATAATACCGGGAATGCCGCTATATTCGTTTCGTTGAGAAATTCCGTACGAAGTACAGACAGTCTGATCAATGTGAAAGCCCTTAGCCTAGAGCAGCGTTTCTCGATACTATGGTCATGACCACGTTCAAGGTCGTGATAATTGTGAATTGGGTCGCCAATCCGTATAACACACAAATAATAATATCGTAAATAACAATTATAATTAATGTTGTAGATGTGTGCCATGACGTTTAATTTTTTTTAAGTTAATTCAAAATTTAAAAACGTAGAACTATTCTCGCAAAACAAAAAGCCCACAGACGTTTTGAGGACAATTAATTACATTTTAAGATGTTTTTCTAACTGTCGTAAGTATTAGGACTTGGAGTAAAAGCACCGTTAAAAAAAATTCTTAATTAATATTTTGTTTAAAACTATTTTGTGTTTGATCACGGTAGTATGTTTGTCAATGTTAGACTAAACGGTCGAGTATCTATAACAATAATAATAAACTAGGTATTTTTAATAGATATGGACTTATATTGTTATCTTATTCTTAATTAACTAAAGATCTATTAATCTTGACTCTTGAGCCTTCGATGGACAGATATTTGTAAATTATAATAGCACGTCTTAAATTATACGTATGTAAATACTAAGACACGAGTATTGGAGAATGCAAAATAATTTTCCATGAATTATAAGTTGGGTAAAAAGTTTATAATAAGCATAATAGAAGTGGAAATTCGATAAACTAAGTAAAACAGGCTTAACACGTTTCCACCAAAAGTGTACCTTTCCCTTTTCCACCAATATCCGTTTCCACCAAATGAGATCCACCTAATTGTTTTTACCAAAACATATATATTAACTACTAAGCTTATATTAAAACCTTTAATTCAGTAATAAATAACTAATAAGTTTATTTAACAAACTAATGCTGGATTGAAAAAAGATATATTATTGTATACTTGCTATACCTATGTATATTGCACTCAATTATATAATTGTTTGATAATTTTTTTTTTCAAGTATATCCTACAATTAAAAAAAAAAATGTTAATAATTAAGATATACCATGGTAAATTGTTTTTTCATATTTTTGTATCCGACCATTTTTTAAAATAACATTTAACATTTTCTAACCTATGTTGTACATTAATGTTATATAATACTTTTACATTTATTGAATTAATAGTGAGCTAATGGTCCTCCATTATGCATGCAAGTATGCAACCAAGTATTAGTGGTCAATATCTTATTTGGTTGAAACGGATATTGTCGGAAAAAGGAAAGGTACACTTTTGGTAGAAAAGGAAAAGTCCACTTTTGGTGGAAACGTGCCTCGCCCAGTAAGACATTAAACAAATTCTCAGACTGTGAATCAACAGACGACAATGGTCGTTATGACTCTGTTAATTTTAAATATATATGTATAACAATGAATAGGTACATGTAAATTTATATTTAATGGGCTTACTTTTTCGCCTATCACAAACATTCAAAAAAAAAACTGCCCAGTCTTTAATTTTATGAATTTCAATAAATTTTTAATGTTTAGCGATTAAGCTTATAAGTCTTTATTTTGATTCAAATATCCCTTATCCTATAACTTTTCACGAACTGCAGAACTCTATATACAATGTACAATATACATACATTTTCATGCTTTTTATTTACTATTTTGAGTAATATTCTCCTTCCTACAAAAATTATAAGCTATTAATATACTTTTTCAATCGAACTTAACACAGGTGACTTGATTACAAAAAATAAATAACATATGTATCGTACTTGATTTATTAACTATTTTCCATGGGTTACCTATGTTCTATATTACTATATGGGTGTACATATTTACTAAATTAAATATATGTACTTTTGCAAAAAGCGGTGAGTATAACATTTACCATTTGTTTTTAAGTATATAATATGAAATAATAGTTTACCAAGTATGAACTATATAAATATATTAAAACTAAAAAACATGTTATTAATAAAAAAACCAAATTTAAAATTTAAAAAATCGACAAATTTTAATAGGTGTGTAACTAAAAATTGTCACCCAGTGACCCAGATGCTGAGTTTCGTCTTGATTATAACAAAGTATTAACGACATGCTCCCGTGTCTTATACTTCATATAAATTATTCATTAACCGGAAATTTCTAATTAACTGATTACTATCAAAAGTATTAAAATAGTAACTGTTAATCACCCATTGATCCCATATTATTTTAAAAAGTTGATTAATGAGTACAACTAACAAAATACATACTGGAAATTAAAGTGTATTAGCAGTTTTATTATAATTATTCAGGATTTTTTTTTTTGTATTTAGTACAAAATAATTTGAATTATGAACTAATATCTGGGCATGTGGCTATAATTATAGTGCACCTCCTTTAAACGATTTCTATCGGAACTGTGTAAATATTGTGAATGGTTATAGTACCTTGGTAATTGGTATACGATAATTTAGTTGTGTTAATCGGTGTTAAATGTTTTTTTAAACGATTTTCACTGTACCTATAAATTATAAAAACCAGTATTATAGAAACTACATTTTAAATTATAAATTTATACTATCAGACATCATTATTCTATTTTTGTAGAATATATCAGTTTATTCAATGTAATCCAAATATAATTTTCTTCGTGGTAAAAAAATAAATAAAATCCCAAAAAAAAGGGGTACACTTGCATGTGATATTAAATTTTAAAGCAATACAATTTTGGAGATAAATATTATATGATAAAAATCACAAAATATATTCAAAAACTATTCACTAATGTCGAGTGTGAGTGTGAACTTTAGTTTGAGTATAAACAATTGTTGAAAATATATTATAATTCCGTGATAGTAATAGTACTAAAAATAAAATACTCGTATAGTGAAGAATAAAAAAGTAGGTATTATTAATAAAACAGATTTTGATCACCGACGGAAGAACGATAGGTCATAAAAAAATATATTTTAAGTAAAATACCTATAAGATCGTAAGTTCAATACCTATTTGAGCAATATTTAAAAAAAAGAAATATTATCATTTAGCAGTTTATATTTGGTTAACGTATTGTGTTTGCATACCTTCCTAAATTTTGTATTACTCGCCATCTGAAAAATCCGAAAAGATTAAAATGTCATGTTATTCAGGAGCTGCCTTGGGTGTACTTTAGAAATGGGGAGGTCTTAGGGATGTAAACAGATTTTTCACATTTGCCGAGACATTAAAAAGAACCCAATAAAAAAATCGAGGTCCAGTGTAGGTACCTAATTATTTATTCGAATTTTGTAAGCAGCAGATCAACGCTTTCTCCCAATAAGTATAATAAATAATTCAAAAACGCCGACGTATTTGATGGATCGTAAACACAGAAGAGATCTTGCGGCGGATAAGTTTTATTTTTATTTTGTGGACTATAATACACATTACACATTAATATATTATATAGGTATTTAATATTCTGCATTGCAGGTAAATCAAGTTCATACGAAAAAAAACGTGAAATAATAAAATTTATAAATTTACATAAAATATGATTTATATACAGAGCTAACGGGTTGTGTACAATGTACATGCATGATCAATGAATTTGTGAGTAACCGTCTGCGTATGAAAAATGATACTGTATAGGACCTGATATGATGAGCAGATACCGCTGCAGGTTGTTTTGAACTCATATGCATACAGGTAAGTAATATAATATAAACAGAAATTATAAATCTCGTGATAAGATTGTGTTTTTATTTCACGTGCAGAAGTACGTATCAGACGAGTGAAAACTAGGTGAACCAGTTCTATGATACAAAAGCATTATAAGAACGCTACAATATCGTTGTCGGCACTTGACAGCGGTGCGTCTAAATATCCGGTTTAATCCCGGGATATAAGAAAAATATAAAAATATTTTAAGATGTTAATTGGTAAGTAATAAGTAGGTATATCATGTTATGTACACGCACAGGCACAGGTTCGGAGACGACAAGCAATTAACGCAGGTACGTGTGTTATAATTTCGGGGGTGTAAAACCACATGCTTACTGCATAGCCTGACATTTTTAGGCCTTACAATCGAATAATTTTCTTTATTGTTGCTCCCGTAACACTCTTCACTATAGAGATCTGCGTGTAGTGTTGACATTTTTTCTAGTATGAACTGGCACTCTGCAAATCTAACCTCCGTCGGTCACCTGGTTAGTAATGCCTATAGACTATTCTGTTCTTAATTTTAAATTTATTTAATTTTATTTAATTTTACGGGCTTAGCTCTTTAACAAAATGCAAACATATATAAAGTATAAACTATCTTATAATAACATCAATTAAATAGAATTATTAAATGAATAAACGTATAATTATTCCATAAAATTATCATATTATTATTTAAGTGTTTATCACATTTGAACAATATTTTTGAAAATAATAATAAATATTGAAGTACTACTGGTCGGTCTGGTCATACCACATTGATAGAAAGGTAAAAAATAAAAGGTCATCATGTGGAAATTGAACACGAATGTTGTGAGCATGGTTTCTTTTCGTGGATACTTTCTGGGTTAAAAGCTCATAGCCAACAATATATTACGTTTTCTTGCAGCTAAAATTTATCGACATTTCGACCATGTACTCGTATACATATTAAATTATATAATATTTCCGGGAATGTGCTGTGACGTGAGTATAAGATATCTTTTTTAAATATGCATACACGTGGTGGCTATAAAGAATGTCACATAGGTGTGTGCACGGGTGCAGCAGAAGCCAGAAGGTTCGTGTGAAATCTGAAACATTTTTTTGGACTATTTATTGGCTTGTGACCTTGTGGGCCGTGGCGTTGCAAGTTATACCGCGTTTTAAGTCGGTGGCTGGCTGACCGGGGCAATTCATTATTTTTGTGATAGACAAGTAGATAAAACAAAAATGGACGCCTATGTAAGACACGCGTAAACACGTTATATAGTAGATAGAGTGAACGAATTAACTGTCATATTGTACGGATGTGTAAACAGGTAAACATTTATATTTTATAATTTGATGAAATAATTTAAATGTGTTGATAAACGTGCACAAATTATAGATATATTATTTTTAATAAAATTACTAATTTTATGATTTTATATGTTATACGCATACATTTCGGGTTTAGCAAATATTAAGACTACATTTAATCGCTCAGAAGAACAGCTATTGCATTACATTTTAATTGCACTCCCGTTTATATAAAGTGTGTCAATAAAATTTCAATCGTCACCTATATAATTGTTCCGTTAACGTAAACCGATGTTATATAACTATAAAGCTATCTACAGTTAACTCAATTTATTTTTACTATTTTTCACAGAATTGAGCTAGAAAGTATATGCATTGTAATAAATATTCATTTATTTAAATACTTTTTCACCTGATTTTATAATTAAAAATGTTAATAATATGTTTTTACATATTAATTATTTACATTTATTGCAAATTACAATAAAATCCATTTCCCAATTGTCAACTATCTACTTGACAGACTAAAGTACCGTAAAAAATGTTGTTTTCGGCTGTGCCTCGCTTAGGTCAAGACTGGTTCGATGAGAGAGGTAACTAACAGGCATAGTAGTTACAATGAATATGTGTAAATAATCAATAAGTCATGTTGAAATACGGTATATTTTACTTATTTTTTTGTATTACATCGTTTTATACAATTTTCTATACCTTATATTTTACGTGCATTGAACTTTTTAGGTACCTTCAGTACCATGAGTTTTTAAATTTCAAATATATTAAAATATAATTTTGTACTACCTATATTAATTTTCTAAATATTTTCTACGAAAAGAATTTATTGTTTCATTTGGAAAATTTCATAATAAAACCAAATTTGGACTTGATTAACTCCCGCCCGTCATGCTACATTTGGGTTTAAGTTTTGATTTAAAGGGTACTTAGAGTTTTTTAAGTTGTTTAAAAGTCTTTATCAAATTGTATAGGTACCATTGTATAAAATAATTATATAGATACAACTTTCTACGGCATGTTTCGGTGTATAATAACACATACCTAAAATAATTGTATTTAATAAATATTATTTTATCCAAATTAACATCATTAAGTATACAATTTCCGGCGCTAACATATCGTTTGTATTGAACTGTCATGATCAGGATATCACACGATCTCTATGTGCTGTTTTTAAAATGTAGATAGGTATCTAGCGTGTAAACTATACATGGTATATCAAATATAATAATTTACTGTCAATTTACTAGAAAACACTGTTGTAATAATCTAAGAGGACGCTACACCCACATCACATGTCTTATAAATGCGTAACATGGCTAATTGTACTTTCTGATTAATCCATGTATACCTATAGGTTTTTGTTAACCTAACCTAATCTGACTTTCAAATAACTTAGGTATCTATACAAATCGCACATTAGAAAAAAGTTTATTTTAAAATTATTTTTATCTCTAGATCAACCGCCTTTTTATAAAAATATTTTCCTTAATTCGGGTTATGGTGGTAATAAATCATATGGATATTCATAAGGACGGTATGATAAAATCTTGTAAATTTAGGAGTACAGAACTAACATTTTAGAGGTCATCAAAAAATTGTCAATCTGTTTTATTTTATTTAATACTTACTACTAGTTTACTAGTTACTATAGGAATCTAGGTTAGGTGATGAATTATTACCCCTCCCTCAAGTTTATATAGGGGACAACATTATAAAAGAAAAAAATGTTCAAAATAGTATTAAATATTAATACATAATATCTGAACTAAATAATATCAAAATACAATCAATTTCGATACTGTGTTATACCATACTGTTCAAAAAATGTATATGAAACTTTTCCAATATTATTGCAAGTTAACTGAAAACATATTTCCTGCCACAAATCAGATAGTACATCGTGTCATAGTATATGCATTAAAACTCAAGATACATAATAAATTAATATAATAACTGCACTGTTCCCAAAATCGGATTTTTAATTACATTTCCGCGTGTGGCGTCATATAGTAAGAGTTCCTAGTGTAGCTATTATATTATTACCATTATTTAGGTACGTATATAAAGCCTTAGATATAGTTAGGTACTATATGCCGGACGTTCGGACTCACCTGTTTGTACATCGAAACTGTCATCCGCCTTTTGTTGGTTAGAGTTGAGATACGAGTCGATGATTTCGTCCATGGTGGAGGGCGTCTTCGGATTGATCTCATCTTGCTGTTTGGACTTGATCATGTCACGCAGGAGTGATTTCAACACTTCCTTGGGGTTTAGATCACCCATCACGTACTCCGGGGCACCGGATTCTGTTTGGGGAGACCTCAGGGACGAAACGCTGGCGGGTTGACTCTGGGGTGAAAAATTCGAGGGTGGGCCGTTGAAATACTCCTTGGGTAATGGTTCCGACACTGGTCGCTGAGTTCGGACCGATCCGAGCTGCTGCGGCGCTTTCGCGTCATATTTCTCGTATTTGACAGCCGCGGCCGGCCACTCGGTGGCCTGATAGAACTCGCGGTATTGCTGGGGGCCTTTGGCACCGTTAAACTGTCCCACCATCGGTTCAGTGAGTACGTATTTCAACGGTTCTCCTCTTTTTGGTAGACCATCATGCCTCGGCGCATTTTCGTTGAACGACGGTGCTGACTGCAGGTGGTCGTACTTGTGCGGATTTTCGACATCCCGTTTTTGGGAAATCATGGATGTGCGGTCCGATCTGTCTTGTTCGTTACTGTTACCGCGGTCGTGTACGACGCCCGGTTTCACATCGCCCGGCACATATTCTTCCACCTTGTACGTGACCGGTTTCACGAATCCATAATTGCTCAATTTTGGGACGGCCGTCCCGGAGGTTACCCGGTGCGGGAGCTGTTGGTTGTTCTTGCTCGAACTCCGTCTGTTATCGACAATGCTGTTCGTGTCGACGGCGGCGTTGGGTGATTTGTACGGCGTGAATATCGGTGGAACTATTGGCCGGAACGAGTCTTCTTGCTGCGCGTGATCGCGTAGCATTTGCTGTTGCTGATGCTGGACTCCGCCGTCCAAGACGTGTTTAGGTACCAGCACGGTCGCGAACGGTTTCGACGACGCTACTACGGTAGAATCTGCCTTGGTGTTTACCGCGAACGCGGTCGAATTTCGCTGATTGGTGAATTGGGGTGGCATTTGTGCGGTGGCGGTGGCAGTGGAGTGAAGCGACGACTGAGCCGCCTGGTTTTGTGCCTTCAAAATTCGTCTGATTTTCGTGCCGTTGAATTTTGTCTTGATTCTCGATTGTTCTTCGGTGACCGTCGGCGATCCCCGGAAGTCCACCGTCGAAGTCGCGTACTTGACTTCGGCCCCGGACCTCGGTACTGAATAAACGGGCGACTTGTGAGACGAGTCTTTGGTGTCAGCGGATACGGCGACGTTCCTAGCGGTCACGATGTATGTAGACGGCGTTACGGGAGTTGTCACAGTAGAAGTGTCCTGCAGCGGTTTCCTCTTGGTCGCCGAGGTGAAGAACATTCGCACGACGTCCGTCGGCATTTCCGTCGTCCTCGATGGCTGCTGCTGTTCCGCGTTCAGATTGACTCCTCCAAAGTCCCTGACGTTCGACAAGTTGGCGTATACCTGCGCCGGATACACCGGATACGTCTTATGCAACGTGGCATGGTTCTGCGACGTTTCGTTGCTGACGGACGCTGTCCGGTGATTTTTATACTGCACTTCGTCGATCTTCCTACTCTCCCCAGCACAGCTACCGACGGCGAAACCGGAAACCACTACGATCCAAAATGTAATTACTCTGAAACACACAGTGGGCGTGATCAATGATTTCTCAAAACCATAGGTATAAAAAAAAGCAATACAATTATTTTAACAATATTTTATTAAAATAATAAATCACAAATCGAAACACTGCGAACAGCAAACTTCACCTGCAGTGGGTTTCAGTATCATAATATAGATACATAATGAGTTACCTATAATACTAATTATTGTCTTCAAAAATGCAAGTGTATCCAATAATTTTATTTATTTTTTGATGTTTTCATTCATTATCATATATAGTCCGTAAAAGATACTATAAGTATATTGATATAATATTTTGTATACAGAGTGAATACCAAGCATGTTCACCATCTTTTTTTTCCTTTGTGATGAATTCATCTAATTATGATTTTTGGAATTTTTATATACATTTATATACCATATTTTCAGCATCTTGAGATTTTTTGTTTTACTTATGGAAAGTGTCCTGTAACATATAAACTTATTTGTTTTCTAACGAGTACCCTCTCCTCTCCTACTATTTTACTGTAAATTGTGAAGCGGATAACTTTTTTGAAAATTTCTATGTAATTTTGCTGTAGGTACTTAATTTAATATTCAAACCTGTATAGTTTTTGTTGTATCATGCATAAATATACACATTATTAATATTAAGAATATTAACTAGGTTAAGTAAACATGTATGCAGCAATATTTAGGATTAAGTTTTAGTCAGTAAGTCTTAGCAGATGTAGAAAAACCAAACTAGGTTAAGCGATAATATTTAAGTCATAGTACGAAACAAATGTGGGGTCAGTCGTCAGTGGTAGTGATCGTATGACTCGATTACCACCAGACACCAGTGTTTATTAAATTTGCTTATAATATTATTTGTTCGTTTATTGTATACGTCGAAGTGATCGGTGTTTAGGACATTTCTTAGTTGTTAAAATGTTTGTTCTAAGGATAGTAGTTTTTAAAATAATCTTGCAAAATTATAAAATAGATGTTATTTTAGATCCAGTTGGTAGGTATTTAAAACTTGGAATATTTTAACAAATTATAAATATTAAATACTACAATTTTCAAATTACCATAGCCCACATATTGTCTTTTAAGCCCATCATCATGCACCTATAATTCTTAGTACACAAAGTCAAATAACTCTAAAATTGCTAGCTCGAATTTTGATTTTGATATGTTAACATTTTCAGAAAAAATATCCACTAAATATTTTAGAGTAGAGAAGGAAAGTTCTAATTTTAAAAACAGGTGCTCCACAGGTCAGTCCTTAGTAGTACAAAAAAATCACAATAATTTAAAATATGGTCTGTAAGTATACTTAAAAGTTCTAAAAATCAGATTTTGAATAAAATACGTAATTGAATAAAAAGGTGAGCGACTGCTTGGTGAATTACTCTGTATAAACCATATATACCTATATGTAAATCATATGTGAAATAAAACTGTTTTAAAATATATGATTATCTTGTATTTTTTTTTCTTCCTTTATCTACTTTTATATTATTGTGCCTACCTTTTAGATATGTATATCTATTACCTACCATATACGTACATTTACTGGTTGAAACCATCTCATGTTCAGACAACCGTCTAGGTTACAGTGTCAATGTCAATGTGTTTTTTTTATAAATGTCTTAATATCGCAGCTGCATCCTTTATTATATTATTTTCAATATAGTGTAAAAGTTAAAAACCAAGAAAACCATAACCATTATCCGCTGAAAACTACTTTCCCGCTGTGCATACATAATCCTAAAACCAATCCTGTTTTGCCTCAAATCCATGATTTGTCAACTTTGTAGTTGTAGCTCTACGCACTTTCATTATAATTCATTCGATACCCTAAACGTTTTTATTTATCGTTCCACTTTTTGATAAGTGAGGTACAACATAACAACATTACTTCATATAATATATATATCACATTTCACTTTCATATCATATTAATTTAAACTTTTCTCTCGTGTAGCGTTCTTACTACATTTTTCGATAAAAATTTATCGTATGCAAACAAATTCTTTAATAATTACAGTCTCATTAAGTTGAACAGGTTTAATTATATTAGAGAACCTGAAGTATTTTGAGATTAACATATTTTTTTTTAATTATATAGAAAAATTAAATTAGATTAGAATAAAAAATTATCATAGATATTATTCATTATTCTATTTTGAAAAATATTGAAACGATTATATATAAGACGAGTGTCGAGTAGAAAGGACAGAAAATATTTATAAATAATATATGTATAACGATAACAGTACTATAATTGTTTATTAATGTCACTTCTAGATGATTATACTATTTATACATAATATTATAAACAAGGTTTTATTTGGAATATAATAGTGCGCGTGTAAGTACCAACCAGGATTCGAATTTCAATGCATTTGTATATTTTTTTGATTGCTTAATTCCAAGCTACAAAAGTGTTTCGTGTGCATACTTTATAAACAAAACATTTTTTAAGACATTTTTTTCCAGATTTCGTTGAGGTTTTTTGGACCATTTAATTTTTTACCCATTTCCAGGAATAAAAAAAAATCGTCTTAAATTTAATTAGGCAACTATACATAAAAATATGTATTTTTCATTTTGTACTAAGTAGAAGTGTACCTATAACATGTCGTTATCTAATTTTAAAATGACATGCATTTTGGGTTTATTGGTCGATTACATAAAGAACTTTTTCAATTGCCAAGACTTATCCACACCCTTCGTTGCTGATGTGGTATAACTGTAATATTATACAAGATTTCATTTTCGCTTCCTAAATCATAGAAATTCACATATAAATAACATCTCCTAGTTCATGTCTGGCGACCACCTCAAACTGAGTAAATTAAGCGTAAATGATGCAAAGACCTTTTGACGCTACCCGATGATACTTACAAGCAAGCTTTTGAAATATTAATTGTAAAAATAAATTTACAGATTGTATTTTGCTAAATAAAAATAAAAATTTTAATTTATCAATTCAACACGGATATTTATATGAATATTTCTATTGTATTAACGTTGATTGGTAGTAATATAGAAAAATTACTATAATTCAAAAATGTCTTTTTTAAATTTTTAAAGAATTGGAATCCTAGTTGTATAAGTATAACTAATTAGCTATAACATAAAATAATATATTTTCACAGTAACCAGTAAGTAGTAACCTATGTGGATCGTATCAATTTAATTACCTAAATATTCGGTTTAAAAAATTAGAACATATAAAATAGAGGTAGACATTTAAAAAAAAAAAGTGTGGAAGTAGGTAAACACAGAAACAACAGAAAGGTAAGTGTCGAGTGCATCTCTTCATTAATTAGGTTACGATGTTTACCGAACAATTGTAAGAAATAATACAATTTTAAACAAAATAAAACAACGCTTTGAGAATAAATTAAAAACGTTAAAAGTTAAAATGTATTACTGAAATATGATTTTTTATAACTATTTACTAATTTTTACATAAAAAACCCAAAATGTCTATAGGTTATACATAGTACGTAGGTACCTATATTATTTTGGTCATGCAAATTCAAAATAATAAACTAGTCATTTTTGTTTTCTATTTTTAAAAATCTGAAATAAAAATTTTAAATAGATAATTTATATTAATTTACACATCATAAATAGGCAGGTAAATATAAAAATAATACGTGGGTAGTACTGGACAAGTACAAATAAACCCGCGGTCACTGGGGTGTCTATATATGTACATAAATTATTAACAATAATATTAGATGATATTAACACAACTTTAAAATTATTTGACTTCATGGAAATAATAAATTTTTAATGAATTTTAAGTGGTTTACTTAATAACAGTTGTAGAGTATGGTATTAATTAATAGTTTTAATCTAAATTAATGAAAAAAACGTTTCATTAGTCAATATAGGTACCTATTCAACTTACTATAGAAATATGTAATAGTAGATGTGAACAATTTTTATATTTACCTCATTTTTGTAATAAAACAATCAAGTTGGCTTTTAATATGAACTGTATAACGAATTAATATCCGTTAATAAAATAAATAATTACTTTCTTTAATCACAAACAAACATAGTAATTTCAAAACGAAAAAAATACTTCACTCCAGATGTGAGAACATCAGTAGACTGCCTCAGTGCTGAGACTAGGTATGAGTTGTTTATTTTGGACCAACGGTAGTGACCAGTTTCCGGGCTTGGTCTAATTCCGCAAAACTGGTTGCTCCTCGACAAGTGATTTCATATAAACCTGTCGCGCAGGTTGTATTTCCCTTTTGCGCCGGTCGCAAAATAGAAGATACAAAAACGGATCTGATTTAGAAACTTATCGCGATTCGCCATGCTATTTTGGCAACTTGTACCCACATATGACTGAAGATAGAAAACCTACAGAGAAATTAAATTCAGTCAAAAATTAAATACAACGTGGACGCATATCAAGCAACCAGAAACCAAATGTTCGTGTAAAGTTAAGTTATAACTTTATAAGACTATTTATAAAAGTACCACGTAAAAATGAATTTATAAATTTACAAGTAGGCATATATAATTTACTCATATCACTTTATCAGTGAACAATTCTGAATACATCGGCATTCAGAAGTATAGAATAAGGTACTACTTCAGTACTTTGCTTCGAACGTGATTTTCACAACAAAAAGTTTCCATACTAATGGGTCTCAGTTTATGTCTTCGGTGTCACAGTGAGTAGTAAGATGTAAGAAACATTAATTATAATACTGAAATCGTTGAAACCCATCCTGGTATAAAGTATGTATTATTATTGATAATTTTATATTTAGCGAATTTAGAATAAAATTTAATATTTAATATTGACAACACAATATTTTTCGTTGTACCTACTAATCATAACAACAAAAATGTCTCACAATTTAAAATTCTAAATGTTGATTAATGGAGACCATAATCACTAAATTCTATAAGAGGAAACTGTTACAGAACAAAAAGTAATGTCAGTATTGAAAATGAAGACAACAGATTTAATTGCGAAACTAAATAAACCTATAATAATTGTCAAGAATCACGTCATGATCTCGATCATTTTGAGCATTTATTTCGTAAAAGTATGTATGAAGCTCAGGGAAAATTATTTCCTAAGGTACCAAAGTCTTTGGTAGAAGCAAAACCGTGTAAAGTAAAGCTGAAGGTGAGCAATTTTGTTTCATAGAATCTACCGATAGTATTCCTATTTTTATGACTGCTAGAAAATTCTCAATTTTAAATAATGCAAAACATGTATAGTTTTTAATGTTTTTATACGGGCCTAACTATTTCCTACAAATGTATACATGCCACATTGTATACTACCAAAAAGTAAGAGGTAAATAACTTCTAGAAAAAAAGGTCCTTGGTGAAAAAGTCTGGTACATATAATTACTAATTAGGTAAAAGGAAAAATATGATGTGATACACAATCAAACTTAAAATTAGTATTGATATAAATTATAACTAAATGATTTACCTGACGAAATTAATAAATAATCTTGTAGGTACCAATATCGGAAATATATTCGCAAAAGATATTGGTTAATATATTATTTTTAACATTGTTATACATACGCATATACCTATACAGGAATTTTTTTTTTTAAATATATTATTTTTTGACGAAAGTTCATTAAATTGATAATTCATAATACCTACTAGATAAACATTATAATTATTGAATTTTTTTTTTTTTAAATATTGTTATACATATATTATATAATTATTAATGCTACTATAAGTACCTAATTATAATCATTACATTTTTTTTTTAAATACATTTCTTTAAATATTGTTACATATATGTATATAGTTTTTTTTTTACCTCGGGATTTTTATAGGCTAATTATGATTTGTCTGCTGTAGATTTTTTTCCTAGGACTTTTTAACCACGATTTGTATACATACATAGATTTTATCTATCAGTTATAATAATATATGTAATAAATTGGTGGATACAATTTTTTTGAAATTATATGTTTTTTTTATAATATAATGCAAAACAGTATAACAACGTACAGTAATGTCAAATTAAATTTTGTTTTCATATAATACCAATTATAATATTGATAAAATATTTACGATAAGGTTGGAGCAGTGGTTGGGGAACTCTTGGTCTATAGAATTTTTTTTTAACTTCCAGTCATGAGAACACATAAGTAATTTGTATTTAATTTTAAAAGTATTAAAATATGTTTGTCATGTCTTATCTACCTTTACAAAATGATTTGCTAAATTTCGTGCATTTTTAATGTGCCTAAAGGTGACGTTGGATACAAAATAAAAATAAATAAAATGTTGAGTCGGAGCCCTTTAATAAGGGGTGAAAATTCAGGCTATTTCTTGATACACATGGAGTGATGTGTAATTACGTACGGAAAAATAAAATCAAACCATTTACCTAAATAATAAAAATTTCTGTGGAAGTTTATATTATAGCATTTTCAACATACAGTATAATTTTCAAAATATTTCGACTCTTTTTGGGCTATATATATATTATATCTATAGACATTTGAAATTTTGGAGTTTTTTTTTCTTTGATAATTGTGATACAATTCGAGTCTAAATCTACGGACAATTGAAAACACGATTCTCCATAAGTAGGGCACAACTTATATGTAAATCCATATTTTTACTGTGACTTGATAAATTCGTTTCACGTGATTTTCAATTAAATGAGCTATACCCACTTGATTTTACATGTTTATATTTCTCAATAATTCCGGTTTTTCTCGCATATATGGACTCTTTTGAAATATATTAAGAATAATAAAAGTATAATTGTTAACTCATTTCTAGATAACAATATAACATTTTATTAGATAGAATACCAAATATATGTTATCGAAGTATTCAAGTATTAATTAATTTTGATTTTTGATTTTCAAAAAGTCGACGACGAGCGTCGTATTATAGTGCATATTTCGTGGATTGTTGGTTTTTGTAATTACGTGTTGAGTAGAACAATTACCTGTTATAAGATTTGTTCGGATTCGGATATTATAACTTAGGTCAATAATTAAAGAAAATATGGTATTGTCACAGGCGGGGGGGGGGGGGCTTAAGGGTTCAGACTTCCTCCGAAATTTGTTAATTAATTATAACAATATTGGTTGATCCCGTGTACAGTAGAAAAGTTTAAGACACACTTTTATGCTGTATATATATAAAATAAAGCACTTTATTTTAGCAAAGAAAAACACAATTTTTCAGAAATAATAAAAGGTAATAGTACTGGTATGTTATAGCCCCGTCACCCATATAACAATAAATACATCGTATAAATATAAAATAATGATATTAATCTAATAATTTGATGATAGGTATATTGATATAATATTTAAAAAAATAAAATTGAAAAATGGAATAATAATACTACTTTTAAAACAATGATAAATTTAAAAATATATATACAAATGTTTATAATGTTAAAAATTATGATTTCTAGAAGTAATGGTAGGTATTTTCCTTCGAATTATAAACATTATAATATCAATAAATAAACTCATTATTTTATATTTATATGATGTATTTATTGTTATATGGATGGCGGAGCTATAACAAACCAGTAGGTACCTAATAAAATAATATCATTATACTGCATGTAATAATATAAATATCAAACAATATAATAACGAAACAAATAGTGGTCGGTCATCAGGTATTTAACATTTTTAATGTAGTCCGCTTGTTGAAAAAGGTTGAAGACCCCTACTGTTGTAGATGTATTCAATCAGAATGAGTTTGATAAATTTTGTCAGCATTTTAACTTCAAAAGCTTGTAAAGAAATCATTCCTATGTATTTCCGATATTCTTTAATTGTTATACTTATGAACAATTTGTAAGGATTTTCGTATTACGTTTTCAAATTTTTTGGTCAAGTAAAATTATTTTTACAGACATTTTTAGAAAAAGAAATTTAAATCTTCAAGTAACCAAAAAAATTCTCTTTTTTCTTCATTTTACTCATTTTACTATCCACATAGGATATATGTGGAATACGAATACTTGTGGAGTTATAGGTACATAACACAATTAATTTCGATAGGAGACATCAAGACAATTACATTTAGTTGGCTAGTATACCTATTAACATTGTAGTTTAAATTCCCTCTCATCCTCAATTTTTAATCAACATCACACTTTTTTTGTCAAATCAATTAACCATAATGTACAGTTCTTCAGTTTTTAATAAATGGCCAACTAAAAAATTAATAAAACAATTTTTTTGTTTTGGGGGGGGGGGGGTCATATGACTTTCCTACTCTCCCCTCCCACTAGGTGCGCCCCCGGCTATAATGATAGGTAACATCGTTTTTCTATGAATTGCTGGTGGTACCTCATTTAGTGGTTAACTCCGGACAATCGTGAACTTTAACTTTAACTAAACTATGACAAATATATAATTTTTATAAAATGTATAATAACTTAATAATTTATAATTGAATTTATTTATTTATTTTATTAGTTTTGGTAATATCTTATTGCTATTCTTATAGCTGTATTGACATTTTTTACAACATTTAAGATTCATTATATTCAGAAATATTCGAAAAAAAATTTTGAATTCGGTCCGGAGTTACATCATTTTACGGTACCAGGTATATATTATTTTAAACACAAAATAAAACTTTATTTGCATAAAATTCTAATAAAATAATGAGTATACTCACAGATAGCTGTTATTTGTTTTTAATTGAAACGAGGGGGTGTGGTACATCACGTCATACAGTTAATCATTTGGAGTATTCCCGTTTCCCATTTCCTCCCGATAATGTCCGATAATGCCCGACTTCATCAGTACATCACTGACACCATAGACTTATTGGCTATTATTTAATATTATGGTTCATGATGACAATTGCCATTGGTCTCTGATAGGCCGGTAATCGGTGTATGTGTCGGACATTTTTGCCGGGCGTCTTCCGATCTTCGGTAGCCGGACTCCCGCGGGCCTTCACCCACACGCGCGCGGGCCAACGAGTCTTCGCCGAAAATATTGCAAAGACACTTCGAACTCGTCCGCGTTTGGCCACAAGCGCCATCTACAAACGCGGTGGTGGAGTGTCGCGCGCGCGCCCGTGTCTTACCGTACAAACTGCAAACGACAAGACGTGTGTGTGTGTGTGTGTGTGTGTGCGTGTTGTATGCGTGTGTGTCGTGTGTGATGTATGTGTGCGTGCGTGTGCGTGTGTGCGCGTGTGACGAGTGACGACGCTCGGAGACGAGGCGCAAAAAATAAGTGGAGAAAAAAAAAAAACAGTCCCGATTTAACATTGATTGTTCCGTGATTGTAGCGACTAGCAGCCTGTAGACAGGTACGTTTGAAGATAGCGTAGGAGGCGCCGGCGCGTGACGTACCGTCGACTTATATTCCAATTTCTAAGACCGTCGGTCGCCGGGATTCATCGTTGTTTGTTGTCTCGTCGTTTCGCGTAGCGCACTGTTGCGTCCTTGTGTCCTAGCTCCGCGTGCCGGAAAAGACGAATTTTTAGTTTTCCGTTTGCTCCGGTCTCCCGTTTCTGGTTTTCGGTTGGCCGGCCTCCCGGAGCGAGTTAGCTCGTCGTCTGCGACTGTGCAGTTTGCGATCGGTTTCGGGACATCGCGAGTGGCGCCGGTGCGATATCACTCCATTCCTTCAAGATGATGGATTCACCGACTACACCGCCGGGCTACATGTCCGAGGACGGCGACAACAATGAATCTCACAGTGAGTAGTTCAATAATAGTAGTGCTGCAATAGTAATAGTGACAGCCCGATTTCGATGTTCAATGTTAATCGTCGTCACTTTTCTCTGATGTATATTATGATATGTGTAGGTATGAGTCCTAACCCTACGGTGATGGGTGTACTGGACACTCAACCCGTCCTCTATTGCGAACCGGTGTTTTGGTGCTCAATTAGCTATTACGAGTTGAATACCAGAGTTGGAGAGACGTTCCATGCTTCTCAACCTTCTATATCGGTTGACGGCTTCACAGGTAACTAAAGTTATGCTTAGCACTAATTTCCCATATTAAAATGATTTTTTCAATTGATTTCAGATCCCAGCAATTCCGAACGATTTTGCTTGGGTCTATTGTCAAATGTCAATAGGACCAATGTAGTTGAACAGATTAGACGACATATCGGCAAAGGTGTACGGCTCTACTACATTGGCGGCGAAGTATTTGCAGAATGCCTTAGCGATTCTAGTATATTTGTACAGTCACCCAATTGTAATCAGAGATATGGATGGCATCCAGCCACTGTTTGTAAGATACCTCCAGGTATGTTAAATTGATTGTTTTATAGATTTATTGAATCTATAACAATTTATTTGAATCTTATCCATACAAATTTCAATTCATTTTTTGTATATGGTTACTGAGTAATTTTCTTAGGGTTGCTATACCTACGTATATATGTATGTTTGGGGCTATATCGGTTTTGATAAAGTGTTAATTAATTTTTTTTTTGTGTTTTCCTGTTTTTATTCAAGGTTTTTGTTATCGCTTAATGATTATTTTGTCGGTTACTCATTCCAATTTATAACATTGAGTTAGTTTCTATCTTATGAAAATTTTAGAGAGTTCCGACGACCATAAGGTGTGGTATTCCAATAGCAAAAATAAAATATTTTTTTAATGAGGCGGAACCCTCGGAAATTTAAAAAATAAAACAATACTCACCTATAATTGATTGATAAGTAATAATTATATACCTATTTAAAAAAAAAATTAATATGTTATTATACATCATATTTTGTCCTGTTCCTATTGAATATAGCTTATACGTCTTGAAATAAATATTACTTTTTGGTTTACTTATAATATTCCATCAAAACACATGTTTTCTATTAATGGTTATTAATCAGACTTAACAACTTTTATTTTTATTTTTAAATCAATCATTAATTTTGTAAATACTATATTCTATTACTAGTTATACATGTCCCTAATATTTACTAGTTATTGTGTATTTTAATTTTTTTTTTTTATAAAGTACAATATAACATAATATATTATCTATTTTAATTTATTAATTAATTCTACTGACTAACTTTATTGTTAATTAAGGTTGTAATTTAAAAATCTTCAACAACCAAGAATTTGCATCTCTTCTATCTCAATCAGTGAGTCAAGGTTTTGAAGCAGTTTACCAGTTAACTCGTATGTGTACGATACGTATGTCTTTCGTTAAGGGTTGGGGCGCTGAATATAGGTAAATAATTATTGCTTTTTTATTTTATTATAACTTTTTACATATGTATACAATTTTATTTGATCATATCCATAGGCGACAGACAGTCACATCTACCCCTTGTTGGATAGAGCTACATCTGAATGGACCATTGCAATGGCTGGACAGGGTTCTCACACAAATGGGTTCGCCTCGCTTGACATGTAGTTCCATGTCATGATTTACCTTATATTTAAACCCACCTTTATTATTACCATTTTTTTTTTTTTTGTTTAATTGTACATAACCCTTGGAATGGCTGTCTACTATAAGGTCGTGAATCGAATCTGTATTTAACCTAATCGACTAATTAGAACAGTGGTTTTGTGTTTTTATGTTTTTATGTTTTTTTATATAACATCACATGACAAAAAAACAACATTTACACCGAAATGTTAGTGATAGATGTTTAGAATTATTATTGAATGATAGAGTTAAGGATTTTTGTATTATTATAACTATTATTATTTTTATTATTAATAATATTTTTTATGTTAAAAATAAAAATTCTAAGTAACATGACTTTAAATATATATATATATGAATATATGATAGCGTTAAGTTTCAAGTTTTTATTTTATAAGTTTGTTCGGTTTGAATTAAATTGTTTAATGTTGTATTAATTTAATTTAATAACAAGTGAAGCCAATAAAACATGTAAAACCATAGGACTTCTAGCATTAAACGAGCATATTCATCAAACTGCTTTTTGCATTCACTGTGTGCAATATAATTTCTAAATTAAACTGGTAAGTCGTGTTTTGTAAGCGCACAGAGTGTAGACACATGAAATATGTTAAACATATTTAATATTAAGCTATATAAAATTTGGAATTCATTGTTTACAAAGTTTTAAAATATATCTCATTGTTTTATTGAACAATTAATACATTTTATAAAGATATTTAAATATTTTGTATATAACGATAATAAAAAGCATTCTTTTCTTATGAGATTTTAACATAAATTGGTCAGTTGATATCAATAAGATAACCTTTGCAATGTTGTTCAAAATGTTCATCAATTTTTTTTTTATAATTTGTAATTTTATAAAATTTATAACCTTTTTGAAATAAAATCTTATTTATAAAGTAATAAATGCAAATATATATAGTTGTTCGGTACTTATGAGTACCAAATTTTTACCAAATTAAATTAAAATATTTATATATAATAATATAGTTGTTATTTAATACGGTATAACATGTCTAAAAGTTAACTGTTGAATCTTATGAAGTATCTAACTTAAAATATAATTAATTTGGGCTTACAATTGTTTAAGTGTGTCAAAGTGTGTTTACTGATTCAAATAATGTAAATTTTCACCAAAGATTTCATTGGTATAAATAATAATGTTTGGCACAACTGAACAACACTTATTCACTTATATATAAGTATAATAGCACTTAATATAATAGTAGTTGAAGTATGTTAAATTAACTTTTGCGAAAAACATGGTATATATATTTTATTATTATAATTTATTTTTATTATAATATATTCCTCATTGTTATTCATTATTATAACTCAATATTGACAACTGACATACCTATCATATTTAGTTATCGTCTGTTAATAAAATAATGGAGTACATGTAGACTTCTGGCATTGATAAATAATTTTATATTTTTTCATTCGATCATTTTTAAACACTTACATTTACACTACATTTTAAATTCAATATTTTTAAAACTTCATTCTATAATATAAACTTTTCGAAAAAATATCCAAAATGAATCGTAAGGTGCAGCAAAAGTACTATTCAATAAAAGCTGAAAATTAATTGAAATATTTAAAGACTGCATTGTGTAAATATTGAAACTAACAATAAACAAAAATATTATGGGGAAATATTATGAATATATTATATTCTTGAATAGCTTAAAATCTAAATTATACTTGTCCCCTATGTAATCGAAATTAATGCATAAAATGTTAATTATTTTGACGTGCTTGACAGTATTCGAAGCAATAAATTTGACTTAGAATTTTACAAAGTAGGTAGTATAGTCGGTAGATACAGTAAATGTGATGCAGAGTATATAATATACATGCTTTATGCACTGCATACCTTTATGTTAACTTTAAAAAATAGTAATTATATTTATTTATAATAACGTTTGTATTGAATAATTCATGAAATAATATGCTTGTGCTTCTAATACTTAAACCTCATCTAAATTAATAATCAGATAAAAAAATTAAAATAATATACTTGACATATTGTTATAATTTAGATTTGAAATTATAAACTATTTTGGCTATTGTTATTTGTTATATCTAGAGCTATGAATTTGTAGGAAAGGGCATATTTTTTTTTGGTGATTGTGAAACGTAGCTTTGTAAGTACCTACATAATCTGAATTATGTAACTACCAATCCATTTAAGCAACTTTTATTTTGCATTTTATTTGTATTTTTTGACATTTTTAATTGTTTAGGCCATTTTTGTGCATTTTAGAGTCATATTTTCCTTTTTTTAGTTCATTTTTCAGTATTTTTAATCAAATTCCGGCAATTGACGGAAAAAATGTTTGAAAAAAAAAATTTGTTTTTGTACACAGGCTGTCTATGCGTCGATAAAATAAGGCAATTGTTAAATAACTACATAAGTTATTTGTAAGTTATTTATTTCTAAATTTTTTAAAAAATGTTCCAGGTGAATACTAGTAAGTAGGTATACAAAATTCAAATTCAATCAACATTTTTATTATTTTTTTTATTGAATAAACACTTTTTTATGCATGTAATGTACTAATGTACAATATCCTGTATCTAAGATTAATGTGAATATAAAAATTAAGATAAAAACCATTTTAAATGAATTGTATATATTATTTATTTTTATTTTTAAAACAAGAATACTTGTAAGCGCCCAAGTTCCCCATCTCATTTTTTCTTTAAATTAACTCAGATTGATTTTTTTAAATACATTGTTGTAAACAATGACCAGCTACTGATAGGGCACCTTTAACTAACCAACCACTAATTATTGTAAAGAATGTTAAGGACTAGCTGCTACTGCGGTTTTTTTTATAATTTTTTTTTTGATTCTTAAAATGCATTTACCTACGGGCATACATGCCCCCTTCCCATTTTTGAAATTTGATTCTAGTCGATTTTTTTCATACACAATACATTTTTCAACTTTGATAACCAGCTAGTACTCTCAAAATAGTGAGTGTTTAATGAATTAATTAACTTAAATAGAATTTTCTTTTTATGAATTTGGAGATTGTAGACTACTAATCTTCGGAGTATGTACTTGCAATAACATTTTAAATACAATTTTTTGATTCTTAAAATTCATTTTCTTCGATAGAACCCCTTCCCATTTGTATTTTTTTAAATTTAACTCTAATTGATTTTTTTAATATTCATTTTTTGAACCTGCATAACCAGTTGGTGCCCTTAAAATAATCATTGTTGAATAAACTAATTTTCCGAATAATGTTATAGGTTTAAGAATTATTGAGATCGTAGATATGGGTGTGTTGAAAATGTAAATTTTTTTATTCCTACATCTCTGTTGCTTGCGGTGCCCGTTCTCCCGCTACATTTTTTTCTTTAATTTCATCATCGGGAAATAGTATTAAAATCAAACTCTACTATTGGTTTATGGGAAAAGCCGCCAAATAGCTTATAATCAATAATATTATTAATATCATGAGTTATTTATCATAGTTATTTTATTGTTATTATTGTTTGAATGACCAAAACAAAAACAATCTTATATTGTAATAAATATAATATATGAGAACGTAGTAAACTAGAGTGTGTACCACGAATTAAGATATACTAGGTATATCTTAATTCGTGGTGTGTACGTAATATACAAAAATAATATATTATGTATGAAAAACAACTAAAACGTATATACCTACTTAGGTAGTTAGGTAGTAGCTTAGACTATATACTAGTATATGATCTAAGGGTAGTAGGTACCTATATAATATTGTTGCGCACACATTCTATTATTTTTTACACACAAAAAATTATAAGTTCATATTATTATATCTATGGTTAGTACTATACAGAAATCAGCTGTGCTTTATCATGTTTATTATCATTTGGTAGCAGCCTTGTTATCACTTATCAGTCGCCGCAACCATAACTAAAATATTAAATAACCATGTGGCCATGTGGGCATGTGGGATTTGATACTTGTCGGTTCGTCAATTTGAGTCTTAAATTTATCTCAAATCACAATTCAGTATTCACAGTAATTGCACAAAATGAATTCTCAAATCGCAACGTTAAAGGTCTTACGAAAAAAACCCTTTGATGATGATACAGTTGTATATTATAATATTGGCATTTTATATTTTCATAGGCCGATGAAGCAGTTAACTGGTTTCAGAAACGTTTGAAAAATGCTGTTAGTTATGGACTTTCTTCTGAAGAATGCAATACATTTGGTAAAGATTAAAAATTTACTACTTTATAATAATATACCAGCCTAATGATTTATAGTTAACGTCCGTAAAACTAAATGAATCTAGGTTAACTAGTTTATCTTGGTGCTTTAAATATAATAATACTCAATTTAAAATATTTTGTATTTTTGTTATTTTTTACGATAGTAGTTTGATCACAAAGATTATTGTTGTCTAATCAATTAAAATAAATTTTCAGAAATTTTTATTACATCAACTTTAGCTGATGTTGACATAAAAAAGCAGACAATCAATATAGTACTTCCTACATTTTTTGAAAACTTAATATCGAGGAAAGTCAATAAATCTGTAAGAATTTTAAATTATTCATGTTATTACAATTTTGCTAGCATTGACATATATATTTTTTATGTAGAAATTTAATTTAAGTATTATAATTGCTTTTGCTTTTGATTTCTCTTACTATTTCATTGTAAAATAAAACATTTCAATGATTTTACTATAATTTGTTTCTATAGACTATAGATGCACAAGCAACTATAATAAGATTGTTTATTAAATACTATGGAGGAACATGCAATCAATTCAAGGTATCATTTTATTTACCCATTTGTTTTTGATAACTTAACTAGTTTACTTGATGTATTTATACAAATGTAATGTTGTTATAGAATGCATTGGATAAATTTACAACTAAAGCACTAAGCGAATGTTTTAACGATGATAATATTGTTTTAAAAGTGACAAAATATCTTGCTTTATATCCTCAATGTGGTGGTCGTGGACAACAAGGTATTCATCATGCTGAAGCTTGGACTAGTCAATTTAATGATTATTTATACTCTGCCAATTATTTTTTGAACCAACTATATACTAATGTTAATGTAAGAAACATTGTAATCAATTTATTTATAAAATTTAAATACATCTAACACATTTCACATTTTCTTTTGGTAATTAGTTCTTCTTTGGAACGGATGTGACTGATAAATATGAAGGAAAATTTGATTTGTCAATTTTTAAACTATCTGAACTTGGGCAAATGACTCCTAAAGAACGTTATGAAAAGTTGACATCATTATTTATATTTTTCAATACAGCAATTCAATCAATGTTGTTGTAAGAGTATATCTCAGTGTATACATACATATTTGTATAATTATAATTTATAATAAAGTGTAATTATATTTACAGGTCCATGTTTTCTACTGTCAAACATCTTGATCCTAACAAAGTTATTCAATTTGCTCAAGATACTTTATCAGTTACTTCAGAAAAACTTAAAGATACAATGATTACGGAAGATGTAATTGCATTGGATTCTGTTTTATGGAAATTACACTCTTCTGCCATCAAAACTATTTCAGCTCTCATTAAATGGTATACATTATTTAATTTAAGTTTAAAAGTATATATTTTTCTTTTTTTTGTAGATTCATTGTTTTTAAATTTTAATTGGATTGATTTTAAAATATTTCAAAATAATTAACTACGACATTAATTTTACAGTTGTGGAAGGGTTTTAATACCTCAAGGAATATCAATTTGTCGTATTTTATTACAATCCTTAAACATGACACATTTTAATTCATCAAATGCACAATATGGTACAACTAGATCTAAATTGTAAGTTTTAATTTTATATTTCTTATTACTTATTAGTATTAATATTTGAAATACTAACAATATTGTATTTCGTATTTTCATTTGTATTAAGGCAACAGCGTGTGCTTACATATCAAGTTATATGCTCGTGGCTAGCTGTAGCTGGGTCCCAGAGTTCACTCCAATTGTTCAGTGAAAGCCTTACCTCTGGTATTTTATTTGATATCAAATTTGATAAACCATCTCTAAATTTAGTTGTAAGTTTGTAAAGTAAATGGTATTATATTTATTAATACTATTCAAATATTGTACTTAATACTTAATATTTCATTGAAGGTTGACAAACAAACAGGTAACAAAAAAAGAAAGAGTGGTGCTCTAAATCAAAAAATTATAAATCAACGTGATACAATTGTTATGCATGATTATCTTGCGAATAAATCTGTGTGTAATGAAGCCCATAAAACACTTCAATTATTTTTAAATACCTTGTCTTCAAATTTGAAAATTCTACAATTCAAAGTATGTTAAATATTTGTTATTAAATAATTATTTTATAAAAATATTAATATACATTTTTTAGATTTTTCAAAGTACAATTATGGGATTGCTATTAGAAATTATTAAGTGTCAACGCCCAAATGATTATCCTCTACCGTACTATGACGATTTATGTCGACTTAACTTGTACAAATCATTATTAGCTTTGATTATATCACCACATCCACAAGCTATTACACATACATCTGTAGCATTACGTGTTTTTACTTTTGGTACAACTGATCGTAATGAAAAAGTAAGTTACCGTTAGAAACTTTAAAAAATTTTTATTGGTGCATATTACTAATATAGTGATATTCTATATGCATAGTCGCCAAGATTTTAAAAAATCAATGGGTGTTCTAAGTCAGTGCTTCTCAAACTTATATGCCTTAGCCCCCCCCCCCCCTAAATTTAAAGTAAAACTGTCAAAGTCCCCAAAATCAAAATTATTTACTGTTTTTTCTTATTAATATACTAAAATAAATATTTCTAATTTGTTTCGAGTGCTCAGCCCACCGAAAAAATGTCAATGGGTGCTTGAACACTCGTCTGCATGGCGCCTATGCTTATATGTATTTATTATGTATAACTATACATTGTTTCATTGCTTTGTTTCTAATTTTATTGTTATACAGGTAAAAGAAGTTTGCAGATCATCATTAAGCAAACTTGAACATATTATCCGCCCACGTAACGATACTCTATTTTTCCCCCTTGAAAATGATATAGAAATTCCACCATGTGCTCAAAGTACTATACCAGAAAACAAAACTCATTTTTTGCAAGAAATAGTTGAAGAATCTACTGTACCCGTTCAAGTAAAAGAATTAAAAAATGTTAATACTGAAAATATTCAGCCAAATGGAACTCCACCATCTACTCAAAGCATATCAGAGAACAAAACACAAATAATTAATAAAATAGTTGAAGACTCTACTATACCCATTAAATCAAGAGAAGTTAAAATTATTAATACTGAGAATGTCCAACCAAATACAATTCCAAAATCTGTCCAAACCACTATCCCAGAAAACAAAACTAATGTTTTCAATAAAATCGTTAAAGATTCAACTTTACCCATTAAAGTAAAAGAATTAAACAACGGGAATACCGAAAATGTTCAGCCAAATACTGTAATAGAGTCTATGGATGCTGATAATAGTATGGATTCAAGCACTGTTGACGAATCATTAATAAACAATGATTTGGAGGATGAAAATTATACAGATATGCTGAACGATTTTATAGACAGTGATTAACAATGTAAACATAACTTTTATAAGACTCAAAATAAATTTAAATATTTTATAATTGGCATTTGAAAATACAATATCATACCTTAAATACAAATATACATGTTATACCTACATAACGAACAAGCACAAACATTGCTTTTTGGCGGTTTTCATTATCTCGTTCTATTTGACATTTAATATTTTAAAGTTTTATTTTATTTTTATTTGTATATCAGTAATAAAAATATTTAGTTAAATTAAACATTTTGTTAAATGGAAGTTTCACTGTATTTCAAATTAATAATATAAATGTATTCTTGATAATCTTGGCCCTTTCAGTAATCAACCAAGATTAAAAAATCACCATCAGCTAATTCAATTTATCTTCCAATAGTATTTACTATTTTTGTAATTTCTAACCAAAATACATTTATTGGTGATATATTTATGTGTACAAGCATAAATTGGATTTTTTCATGATTAGTGATTACTCTGCTATAACCTTAGTTTGGTAATTTAATTGTTTGCATCAGAACACATTGTCTAATAAATTATTGTATGTACTTTTAAATTTTATGTTTTTAGAATTCGATTGTTGGTGTTTTTGATTATATAGGTGAATTGTAACGGGCTTATAATGCAAATTTTTGCATATTAAGTGTTTTTGTAGCTTTAATAGCATAGATATTTCATAATTTTACCATTTTTAAGAGCATATTAAATGATTAATGATAAATTTATACTTAACACAATTTGAACATTTGGAAATAATATAAAATATAAATACATTATAATTTATCATGTGAAATGATTTGGAGCAAGTTCTGAAATTAAATGCATTTGAACAAACTAATTTTAGAAATTGTTAAACACTTCTTGAAGATTTGCAATCTTTATGCTAGTTAAAGGGACTTTAGTTATTTGCTAAATAAATATTAGAAACAATTTTTGGTTTTAGAAATTATGTTCTATGCGATATTAGATGGGAAACAGACGATGGTACAAATGTGCTTCTGTATTTAGACAACCATGTCTTAGTAGCAACTTGCTCATATTTTCGTTCAGTCAGAAACTGTTGTCCAAATGTATAGTGGAACAGTCTTTGATAGGCCACCGCATTGTATTACAAATTAATATATAATATATTGGTCTCACTATAATTCACATGTATATGTATCATTTATAATGAAACATTTAGGTATGTATTCTGTCATCATCATAGTTCAATAAAATGATTTTTGTACAATTTAAATCAAGTATTGTATTTAAATTAAATAAATACAGTATAATATATTCAGTATCCTATCTAATAGGATATTCATAAAATCATAAAACTGTAATAAAATAATTTTTCACAGTAATATTACGTATTCATTTTTTAGCTGCATATCAAATAGATAAAACATATTCAATAATGTACATACTCTTTGTGCAATCACTTCAAGAAATAGTAAATATTATGAATAGGTATAATTTATGAAGTATAATTTTTCAGTATTAAATATCTATATGTTTCGAAAACTTAGGTATAATTAAATGATAGGTATGCAGGTATGCCTTAGTTTTGCTTTACAAATTGTATCTAACATACGCATAATTGCAAATACATATTTTTCACAATAATTTCAAATTAAATAAATTATAGTATAGTATAATAACTATAGGGGCCGAGGCCCGAGAGTACCTCATCATTGAGTAATAGTACAGTAGGTAGTCACAGTGATGTACCTATACCCAGTGGTCGAAATGGCTCAAGATAAGTGGAGAGATGCCTTACAATTCAGATTTAGGCCTATACGAAAAATAAAAAGTTTTCTTATACATAGGTATAAATATAAAAATCATAATAATTATTTCATTTTAAAACACAAGTCTTAGGAGGAATGCGTTATTCTAGACAAAATAAGTAGAGGGATGAAAAATGTATAAAAAAGTAGAGGGATGTCATCCCTCCGTACCCCCTCCCACTTCAACCACTGCCTATACCTATATGTGACTATGTTAAATTTAAATTCAAATATTAATTACTGCACACAAAAAACAGTTTTGAGCAAAGACGTCTGTCGACCTATATAAGGTAGGTTATATATTTTAGTCTATATTTAATGAGAATATTGCTATAAAATTATTTAAGGAATCTATTTCACTGTTACACAGGGGCGTATACAAGGGGGGGATGTGGGGGGTCAGATCCCCCCCATATAACTTTTAAAGAATTGTATAAAATAGTGTATGTTGGATTAATTTAAATAGCTCAAAATTAGTTTAACTGTTTTGAAAATGTAATTGTGTGTAGAAAATATAATTATAGATGTTAAAAGTTTTCAAGTTCCGGTAAAATATATTTTTGAATTACAATAAAATAATTAAAATCTTTATTTTTGGTTAAAATATCTTATATTGTCCAAATTTTAAGTTAAAAATATCTACAAAAAATTGTGCCAAAATATCTTTATTCTTTAGTATTATTAAACAGATATAGCTATAATAATAACTTATGAGTTATGAGACATTTTGTATTCAACTTTCAAGATTTTTGACCTAACGAATAATTTTTTATCGATTTGAATAGAAAAGAACAATCAAAATGTCAAATATATTGGATACACCTAGCTCAAAAAGTTAGAGTCAAAATCTTTTGAAAATCACTAATTATTTATAAAATGCGAATGTAAAAGTTATGTAATAATTTCAAGAACTTTCAGTTAATCGTTTTTTAACAAAAAAAAAATCAAAATCAATTTTGTCGAATAATATTTTTGGGTGAAAATTCAAAATTCCCGTTTTTCCTTCTTTTTTTCCCCCGACGCTTATGACAACTGCCTGAAATTTTCCATTTTTACCACTCATGAGTATCAACTAAAAAATAAGGCCACAGGAGAAATAATCCACTGTTAAAAATCCAAGGGAAAAATAAGCCATGGAAAAAAAAACAATTAAAGTTATTACTATTTTTTTTATTTTACTTATAAGTAGTTGGACAGTGGACTAGTTGGTTATAAAATTAAGATACCTACATTATTAAATATTATGTTATTTCATCAGAATCTAAAGGGTTATTGGTGTTTTTTGGTTTCGTAGTAGGTATATACGCTTGACTGCTCTCAAGTGGCATTTGACTTTTGTCTTCTAATTTTACAACAAATTCTCCAAAAATATGTAATGGTTTGGTTTCAGTAGTTTTAGCTTTAATTTTCATTTCATTATAACACTTGTTAACCTTAATCTCTTTTTTGTTTGGCCTACGATTTATGAGTTACCTACCTATATTATGATCGAGATATTCCAATTTTATGAATACCTATTTGACATTTCAATATCTGTATAAGTGGTTCCCGGACATTCGAGCATGGTTGCTTTACTACAGCGCCCTGCAATTCAACTTTTCCGGTATGTTTTATACACGTACGTGTAACCCTCCAAACATAATTTGGGTTATTTTTATTAGAACTAATGATTTCCACTGTACGTAAACATTTTAAATGAGTATTTTTTTTACACTAGGGTAAAGGAAACAAATCTTAATATGAGTACCTACCTATAAAACACTTTGAAAAAGAAGACAAATCTTAACTCTGCAGTAGATTTGTGATGCTGAAAGTTTATAAAACAGTTCTGTCTTAACCAAAGAAAGGGAATTTCCTTCAGTAAAATACCAAAAATAACATGGTATTTTGTGGATAAACTACCTGCATGGCTACATAATAATTTCTTGAAATCAATTGATTTATGTCTTACACCTAGATAATATGTATATTTGAAGCAGCCTGGTTCATCCAGGTCCTATTTATCTTACTTTAAAGAGCGTCCATTTTTATACAAAGTTCCTGTAATACTTAGCTCCAATAGGAGATAGGACATAGGCCATAGGGAGATTTCAGGAATCAGAGGAGGGACAAAATTAAACTAGGTCCTAGGTTGTTCAGAAACCCATTTATAGCATATATAGCCATATAGAAACTAGATGTTGGTTTTTCTTGAAAAGGAATGAGGAAGAAAATACGAACATTAGCTTTAAAAAAGCTTTTAAGGGCAAAATGCAAGACATTATAATTTATAATTACAATATTTTATGCGTAGTGTGTACAGTCAATTAGTGTTCTAAAGTCGGTTCATGATCAAACATAGGCGCAAATAAGGGGGCTTTACAGTTGTAGAGGTTAAGCCCGCCACCGCCAAAAAAAATGTCAATAGCTCCCAAACATGTCCAAAATTATTGCTCAGCTTATTCAATATAAAAACTTGGCTTCATTCCATCAAATTTCAAATGGTATTTGCGTCTATGTAGGTCTAGATTCTACTTTAGGGGCAACTGTACAACAGTATTGCTGTGAAATGTGAATATAATATTTCAAATCAATAAGTTCAGCAATTATATTTCATTAAATTTGTATAATATTCAAAATTTAAAATATTATACTCAGTTTCCATGATAATTTATCGTGTAAAATACGAAAGTATAAATGATTAATGTGTAAGTAGTGACTAATCAATATGAATGATTAAAATAACTATAACTACAGCTATAACCTTTGGCCGTTAATTAATGATTACGATTTACGAGAAAAGATAATCGTACCTATTGTACTATTGTAGTATTATAAGCTGTTTGTCATATTATTTAGCCATGATATTAGGTAGATTGTTCAAATTGTTGGCATATTATGCAGAAGACCATGGATTCATTTCGATCATTTCGTCCGAAGTCATTACATAGTTTGATAATTTTTAATTATTTATAATTTATTTTGAACTATCGGCTTCTGGCTCTTACATTATTAAAAACTCGTCCATAAGGCATTAACTGACGAAAACGATAAGAATTAAGTAATTAAATCTCTAAACTTGCGTGGATTGTGCAAATCAAAACAAAACCGTTGGCGGGGAGAATTAATAATAATAGTAATATGTCTAACGCCGATAAGATAATAACGACTTATAGTGGGCGCCATCGTTGACCGTAATGAATATTCGTTGGGACGTTTTCAAATTTATTTCCATCAGTCTGTCGGTCGTCGAACAACGCTGTGAGTGGACCGTCTGCCAGTTGCCGATAATAATATATTTTAATATTATTTAAAGAGCTTTATTTGGAGTTATTTGGAATACAATAATTCGGGTAGGTACCTACCATATACTTACACCTACATAAACCATTGTACCATTATAATATTGTTATTTTTCTGTTGTTTTTAGAACCGATTTTTAATAATTGTTCCATGTAACACTTATATATATATATATATATTTATCATATATCCACTTATATTTACCTGCCTATTTTTAAATATATTATTCGAATCAATCAAGTGCCTAAAAACATGGAATCACCATCTGTGATATTGAAGACGAATAAACGTTATTTCATCGAGGACAAATTTCTAATCTTTAACTGTTTCTACGATCAAAAGGTGAGTATTTAATGTTTACCTATAAAATGTACTTGGCCTTAATATTATGCTGAAAATATATTGCTTACATATATATTATTTATGTCACTTAATTATTGTTATTTACTTATGTTTAGAAAATTAGACCATGGCTTAAAGATTGGATTGGACTATACCCGTGTGATAATGTAAAACTATACGAACCATTGATATTTGAATATGTTATGGACCATCCAAGGGTAGATAGTAGTTGTTTTAAAATTAAATTTGTGCCCCAACTTTTTGCTAAATCCATTCATTGTTCTGGTAAATACCAGTTTGTGTATGTGGATTCCTATTTCAAGGTAAAAAAACTTCAACTTGTATTTACTAAATTTTGTTTTGGTATGTTCTACATTTATTTTGATTAAAACCTTTTAAATGTTTATTACATGGGATCAATTAGTAATAATCATAACATGAATAATACTCATCAACTTAAATATTATATTATTTTGTTCATACCTGTACAGCATACACATTTAAAACAAATATGAAACAAACAATATTTACAACAAATATGAAAATGTATGTATAATACTATAATTTATAATAATTTGCAAATCAAGCTATTTTACATATTAAAATTGGTCTAAACAATGAACCAGGGGTAATATTATTAGTATTATTACTATAAATACCTACATTGGAAACCATAATATAAAATATTCATACATAGGTACATATTATTATAAACCATACTAAGAATGAAACAATTTTTGTTTTTTGCAATGTGCAATATATATAAAATTTTGGTAATATCATAAGGAAAGATCTATGAAGAATAAAAATAAAAATTGTTAAATCAATAAATACATTTTTAGTTTGAGATTAGAGTTATTTGTAGTCACCAATTTCAGGTATTAAATAAAACAAATAATATTTTTTTTTTATTGACACATACACATACAAATTGAATTCAATAGATTCAGATAATGTATTGAATTTGATATTATTTCATAAACATAAAATATTAAATTGCTATTATTTTACTAATTTACCATCTCACAAACTAGAAATAATAGTACCCATAATTTATTATACTAAAATTATCTTTGTTGTAATTTATGATGTTTGAGAATATTGCAATATTATTACATTTTTTAGCTGTATTTAATTTAAGTCACAAATTAGTTCTGAAAACCAAAAATTAATGCTTTTTCTTAGTTGTTTTAGCTTTTTAAATGAACCATATTTATATATTTTGTTGATAAATTGCACATTCTTATATTAATAATTTTAACAAAATCTTAAATTTAATGGTTTAATCAGGTAAATGGATTTAGCCATGGTTCTTAACAAAATTTTAATTTACAGGTTATTGCAACTAGTGATCCAATTCAATTTGTGCATAAGAATGATTGTAACTGTAACAATTCTCTTGGTCAATCAAATTGTATGGAGCACATAAAAATAGGACGGGTTAGTAAGAAAATGTACAAGTTATTTAAATTTAAGATCACATAAGCATTGGGTATGAACTAAATTGGGGTAATAGTAATCTCAGGCAACAGCTTTGTTAAAAAAATAGCAGATATAATGTAAGAATATTTTAATGTTATTTATAACATATAATGTTTGTAGGTTAAATTGCTACGTAAACCTTGATAGAATACTTGTTCATAAGCAATTTATGACAGAAATTCCCTTTAATATTTGTTTAGTCTTTACTCTTAAAGCTTACAACTTATTTAGCTTGAAATGAAAACATAAAAATTATTTTTGTATAATTACAAATAAATCATTTAAGTTACAGTTCTTTCAAAAAAGAATGACAAAAAGTTATATTTATGATGGGAACGGTTTGTACTTTTAATTTTTTATTTATTTTATTATTATTTTTTTGAGCTAGATATTTGTATAATCTGTGAAGTAATGGTTTACAACGAACACACGTGATCAAATAATTAGTATGGAAAAGAAAAAAAATATGGGTTATGTGACAAATAACTAAATAAGTTGAAAAATTACAATTATTTACATTAGTTCTGACGGGGGGTTTCAAGTGACCATCCATTGATGGGACTTCATGAGGATTTGTACTTAACTAGAAAAAATGTATTAGAACAATAGTACATCTACCCATTAATACTTAATTGTTTGTGACTATAAGCTATATACTATATTGTCTATATTATTTTATATCTTATAAATAAAATGTCTGTTTCTTTATTTAGGATATTAATTCAGTAGTTCAGCGTTTGAAGTGTCTTGAAGCAAGATTACTTGAGTTTGAAAAAGGTAAACAAGAAGCCATGCAGCTTAATGAACAGCTTGTAAAAAAATTGAAAGCATGTGAAATGCTTAGATCTAGAGGTGAACAATTTATTGATGGCCTTTATAAAGCACTTGATCAAGGAAAACTAGTGAAGTTAACAAACTCTAAAGGACATACAGTAAGATTTTTAAAACAATTCATTATAGTACCGAACTATTAATTTAATTCATGTATATTAACAACAATTATATTAAATTATATTAAACATCAATTGTAGCGTTGGATCAAGCGAATGCGAACTACTGAAATAAGAAACCATGTTATATCTACCAAAATAGTCAGAAACGAAGTATATTTAACAGCAATCATAAATACTCAAGAACAAGAAATACAGAGATTACGTGCCATTAACAATGAGCTTATTAATACTAATACATATTTAAAGTATTACGTAAGTTAACATTTAATTTACTTTATAAATTGTATGTTTTACTTAATTTAATGTCAAATATAGAAGCAGCCTGGCCAAATTTATGAACCACAGATTACTGAAACCAATAATACAGAAGATGTCACTCAATTAAAATATTCTAGTATTGAATCAATTTCTTCTGCAGAAGTCAAATTTATTGATGACTCAGAGTTCAGTGATGACTACTGCGAATAAATATTCTAGCCACCTACACATTTTGTCCGTTTATATATTTTTTAATCGACTTATTTGTTATTCCTGTTATTGATTTTATATTTTAGTGCAAATACAGTATTACTATTACTATAATAAATACTTCATTTTTATTGTATATAATGATAGTTATTGATAAATGATTTCTTTATTTCTTAAATTAAAAAAATGTATTCTAAGCATTACAAGGTTATTCAAGTATTAGCAACATTGACCACTAATTTAAATTACAAGCTAACTGATAAGAAAGCATAGTATTTTTTACCATACTATAAGTTATAACACATTTAATATCATTAAATTGGAAAAATAAAAATAATATAATATTGAATATATAATATAATAAAATATTATACATTCAATATTTAAAAAAATTAATACCTACGTAGAACCATTGAATGATACCACATTCTCATAATATTATACCTGATTATTGTGGACTGTGGCTGACGATGCCCCCCTAGGTTCAAACTGTCCGATTAATATCAGTAGTGACTGATAACTCATTTATGGTTTTAAAGCCAGTGGCATATTTAGGCCAGGAAAACTGGTACATTTAAGTTTTTTATAGGGTACATAGTACTTTCATGTGACATAAAAAAACTAAATAATTATTTTTTTCAAAGTTATTTTCTGAGTATACAATGCTATTGTTTTCAATAAATGTACAACTAAAACAATAAATTATACCATCACTATTATAATACTATTTTTCATTAGCTTCTACCTATAGTTTTATGCTTCTACCATCACTATTTTACAATTCAATATATGTGTTTAAGGTGGCATTCACGTTTTGCAGAAAATAGGCCCTAGGGCCCTAAAGTTTCAAGCCATTCCACTGTTAAAATCTGTGAATTTTAAGGTGTAAGTTGTCTTACAAACAAAAGTCTTCTCACATGTACCGGTGTTTCACCGCCAATTTATCTAATCATAAATAGTACCAATTTTCCGACGAGTCGACATTGCCTACATTTCCAGGATCCAAGCACCCAAAATGTATACAGTTCAGTAATTTAATAATTTTCGAGTTATTATTTATTACCCAATGGCCGTAGGTATTTAGCATTTACGCCTGAAAATACATTTTAATCTAAGTAGTAAATAGTGCAATGTATATTAATTTATAAACAATAAACACGCCTTGAAAATTAAACACAGTGTGTGGCGGTCTCCCGTAGCAAAAAGTGTTTAGAAAGTTAGAACATAACCTAAAATTGAACAAGTTCTAATTTTATCATAGTGACAACCTAGTCAATCTGACAAATGAGTTATTGTGACAACTGACAATGTGAAATGTCACATGTATAATAGACGTTATAGTTCAAAAATACCATAAATTATTAATCATAATACAGTTATAAACTTATAAATATTTATTATTTAAAGTATTTAGTTGTCCTATTTGTAGTAACAACTATTCGTAAAATCCAAATATCAAATGGTACAAATGGTATATTCTTCTCTATGGTATGAAATATGAATGTAAAATTTCGTTATTTTAGCCTTGTTTTCTCTTTGGAATAAATATTTTTGTCAAGAATCCACCAATTTACTATTTAGGGTAAGTAAAATTAATTCTCAACTCTATATCGATGGTACTTGCATGTGTACATCGTATTATTATTCATTAAGTAGGTACCTATATTGAGCGTTAAAATAATTTCAAACGTGTGACTAGTGACTACCTATACTTCAAGATCTTAGTACCATAGTAGTAGGAAACTATAGGAACACTAGGATCCACAAACATCAATTGTAGAATGCAGTATGCAGTATGTACTACCTATTGCATTATGCAAAATTTCAAAATGTAATTTGAACAAAATATCAACAGATCGTAAGTTGTGTTGGCGGTTGATATAATAATATATTTATTCACACCATTTGTGGAATCTTGGTCTTTTCATCCATTATAGAGTAGTATAAATTTAAAATACTTTATTAATAGGTAGGTATAAATCAATAAGTATTTATTCTAAACAATTATCAAACATAAATTTAAGATAGCCAAGTTTTGCAAAACGCGATTAATAACACATTATAGGCATCAAAACTTTGAATAATTTTAGAAATTAATTCTTAATAATATTTAATTGATTAATTAATCTAGGTACTTAAAAAGTATTTAAATTATGAAGTTTTAAATGATTAGGTGTGAAAATACCTGTTAAATTGAAGATATTAGTTAATTACAGTTGTGTTAACCACCATCACATACTACAATAGAGCAACTAACAACTGGTTAAATGTTTTATAATTACCTATTTCAATCAATATAATCCAGACAGTTATATTATTTTGAAAATGCTAGTTGGACATTTTCTGGAAGGCAAGAAATACTTAAAAGTATCCATACTCTGTCTGACACTGCAGAAAAAATGTACATTTAGTGACTAAATTAATAATTTAGTTTACAATATAATTTTCAATAGGCTCTTAATGACTACTGACTTAAATAATTAAATTTTAACAGTTCGTCTTGAATTCTGCATTATCATAATATACCTAATACCTAACGGAAAAGAAAACATTTATCTTTGATATGTAAGTATAAGGTTAATAAGTCAATATCATTAGTTTTTTTTATGTTTATCAAATTTAACTGATTCTTTTGTTTTGTAATAATATTATGTTACATTGTTACCTAATGAAACACATAAAAAAATCTAACATACCTGTGATAAATACAGTCATACAGAAATCCCATGCGCCCTTGAAACATAATTATTTTATCTCTACTCAATGAATTGTATTTTTGACCAATCATAGCTGTAAAAATATTTATGAGAAGTCTAAAGGTAGTTACTGCCTAATCTCAGCATAACCGAATACCTAGTAAAAATGATTATAGATTGTAATAATACTTATTGTTGTATTGTACTACTGTATTTATTTATTAGTAATGAAAGGTGAAAACCAGTACCTGTCTTTCCAATTTTAAATTTTGAAACATAAATCGTAAATTGTGTATCAAAAGTTGTTTAACCAAACACCGATAAATAATAATACTTAAAGACACACATTGACACATTAAAATAGAATTACTTATGTTAGTATTACTATTTAATAGCTCTCTATCCACCTATATCCTTGTCCCTATGTACCTATAACTTAATGAAGCAGATTTTAGTATTTTACATTGTCTTATATTTTATCTTATACTATGAAATAAGTTTATCAAGTTGTTATTTGTAGTTGCAGTTTATTATATAAGAAAAAAAATGGAAAATATTGAAGTTTATGTTGAAATAGTCACCAATAAAACATATTTTATAGAGAACGCCGTGGATATTTCTTTCAAATTCATCAATAAAGTAAGAATTAATATTTAATTATAGAAAATAAGTATAAATTTAATTTTGTAATTGTCGAGCTATAATAGTACATACTGAAAGCTGCTCTAATAATAAAAAACAAAAAAAAGTATTTATTTAATATTTTAAGATATAATACATTTTTTATTATAGTCTTTGAAACAAAAATATTCTGATTGGATTGCATTATATAAATGTAGCAGCAATAGAAATTTAGAAGAGTTTGTTGCAGTAGAAACTGATTTAAAAATGCACACACCGACAAAATATGGTTTTCATCAAGTTACATTTTATGCATATCAGTTGAAGAATGTTAAATGTAATGAAGCTTATGAATTTCTATATGGCAATGAATTTAATGAGGTATATTAATTGTATCAAATAAGTCAGTTTCTAAAACATATGTATATGTATTATTTTATTTTAGATTTATGGAATTAGTCGTCCAATACGTTTTATTCATCAAAATGAATGCATTTATTGTTATCCTAATAATTCAGAACTAGAAACAAACCATAGTTGTGTCTCTGAGGTGACTATTAACACATATTTTAAAACAACATACTATTATAATATAAATGATACGAATTATTGCAAATGCTATAAAAACGGTTTTTAAATATTTTGTTCATCCTGTATGGCAAATTGGTAGGATGTGTATGAATACACATGTTATATTCGTATCTATGTTTTTGAATTTAATCGCATATTTAGAAAGATTAAATACTTTTTTTCCAATTAATCTGAATAAGTGCAATATGTATAATTGTTTTGATTCTCCTCAGGAATTGATCAGTTCATTATTAGCTCATATTTCTATTTTGGATAGTCAATTAACCGACTGCAAAGTAAAATCTAACGAAATTGTATCAATTAATAAGCATTTGATGACTCAAATGAATGAAAATGTTGCAATTGTTCAAAAAAATAACGAATTTTTAAACAGTTTGTTTTATTCAAACGAACCTGTGACTAGAGATGAATATGTAAGTTACCTATGCAGTATAATTCTAACAAACATATAGTATATATTACATGATTGCTAGTTTTTTGTAAAATTATATTTGTTAATATGAAGCGGATAGAAACATGCACTGATATTGATTTGACAATGAGTTGTATTGAAAGTAATGAATATGAACTACAAGATCTACATTATGAGTTTGAAAAAGCATTAGAAAAGTTCACTAATAAAGAGGTATACGACATATTTTTAATCAAATAATTGACGAAAAATATATTTAATTATTATATGGATGACTGTTATAAAACGATGCTTTATTTAATTTATTTTAATATCCTTAGAACTTAACTTATAGAATATAATCAAAATAAGTAGAGGAACCCAATCCGATCTATTAGTCCTCACTAGAATAAATCCAAAAGTTAATATTTAATACTTAATAATATTTCAATTCTTATATATGCACTTAAACTAAATTGGGGATAATCATTTTTAGGACAAAGAGATTAATGATGATCAGGCACCCTACACTGTAAGTGAAATCTATATGTTTATGAAACATAATTATAATTGTTTTAAATATTGATGTTCTCATTATTTGTTATAGGATACAGACAAGGTGTTAAATTGTACAGTAAATGTTGAAAGTGTGCTTACACCAGAACCATCTACAGCAACTATTGTTTTTATTGATACTGATGAAGATGATGTTTAGTTTATTCAATATTGTTTTTATTGAAACTGTTAATAAGAATTTACGTTTATTTTTTGTTTGATAAATGTTTATTTATTCTAAGATTAATGAGATAATTTTGTCTATAAAAACTTGTTGTAAAACCAAAAAAAGGAATATTAAAAAATAAAATGTTTAGTCTCATCAATTTTGTCTTAATTGATAATGAATGTAATAAGTTGGCATTGGATTTTTCCTAGTATAAGATACAAGATTTTTAATTTCAAGTTAGTACTATTCTTGTTTTTTAATGCTTTGCCATATGTGTAAAATGTTCAAACACGATTGAACTGTATTACTTGGAGCTAGTTTTCTTCAACTGTTGAGCCAACAATTGTATTTCTTAATGATTTGTACTCATCAATTGTGGTATAAACTTACTGAACAAAAATATAATATGTGCAGATTGTATATTTTTTCTATAAAAAATAGTTTTTAGGAAATACATAACAAAAATAGTATTTATGAATTAAGAAATTTAATTATTTTCAAATAACGTTAATTTATTGCTTATTGAATTAAAATTAACATTTCAGTTATTACATAAATTAATATTTTTATTTTTTAATTAGCTAATCATTTTACAAGATGCGTGCCACTTTTTTACCGACGTAATATTGTTTAAATATTTGTCTAATCCCACTCACCTCTAGAAAAAAAAAATCATAACTTCTTAGTGTGACTTTAGACAAAAAAAAACATGATTTAGGAATGAAAATTAAAAAAAAAATTGTTATTACTTAGGAAAACATAACAAAACGACTAATAGAAAAAAAATACACAAAAGTTCATATATATAAAATAAAGCAACAACAAAATGTTAACATAAAATTATTTCAATTTTGAAGAAAAAAAATATTATAATAATAATTGTAGTATTTTAAATTAAAATATGTAAATAATGGAAACGTTAACGTAACAAAAGTTTTGTTTTGAGATAATTTATATGTTTAAAATATTTAAGAACTAAAATAAAACATGTATATTATACAATAATAATAATTAATAACTATGGGGCTAACAGTGGTTAATCAAAATTATTAACAAATTTAATATACAATGTTGCTTGTAAACATGTATTAAATAAAATCTAAGAAGATAATATAAAAATTTATATTTGTTTTAAAATGGTAAAATAACGAAAATGTTTTAATAATAACCCACATAAATCCGTGGTTAAATTGATTCAATTGTTTTTTTTTTTTTTTTTTTAATATATAAATAAACAATTAAAACATAATAATATAAAGTGAATGAATTGCACGGTTTAATAAAAGTAATAAAAATAATAATTATAATAATAATAATAAAAAAAAATATTAATGATATCTAATTTTCTACGGTGTCCCCCTATTATATAACAAAATAAATAATGATATATAATAAATTTATATATAATTGTAATTAAATATTGTTAATAATAATATACTCTGTACAAATTTACAAAAAATATATACTCTATATTTCGAATAGTAATAATAAAATTTGTAATTAAATATAATTCCTAATATTTTATTATAGTTGATGATGTAAATGATTGTTACAAAAAAAAAGTGAAGGAAAACAAAGTTTTCATTTTATACAATATATATTTAGGGAAATAAAAGGAGAAAAGAACATATTATTGTCGTTTTCCAGAACATTGAGAAGTTTATCCTACTTTTTTTTTTTTATTCATTATAGTATTCAGTCTCAATAACTAACTGGCCTTATTTGGTTAAAAAAAAAAAAAACCGTAAAATAATCGTCAAACTCTAATTCAGTCGAACGTTTTTTGAATTGATTGTGTATAATTAATGATTTTTGCAGACAGCAATGTATAAATAAAAGTAATCGAATAAAATATTGTAAAATATATATTTTGGTAAAACAATGAACTATACGGTTTTTAAAAAAAATATATATTTATTTTTGGAATTATATTGCACAATACCACCCTATAACCAGCTCAAAACAAATAATAAACAACTAATCAAAATTAAAAAAGCACCAGGCGCTGCTATGTTTTTCAACTTCTTAGGACGTATTAAAAATATATATGTACGTAAATTGTTATTGCTGTAAGTATAAAATGTGATTGTCGTTTCACTCGTTCGCCGAACAAGGGTGAAATGATAATTTCCGAGGAAATCGTTTCGATCGCCGAATGTGTCTCAAATTGCAATTTTCGATGTACCACTTTTTACAGTTGAAATAATAATCGAATGCGTTTATAATGCGTTTTATTTGGATTATGTCATACGTAATAAATATCAAAAAACATGAAAAAAAATTAATTTGGTAATAATATTAACGCGCATACTCGAAAAACGTGTAAAAATAGAGCGAACGTTAGAGGTATATACGATAAAAAAAATTTCAAACAATAACCGTAGCCGATAAAAACAGACACTTAACGTCAAATAAAACACACATCGACGAGTCGGAGCGGTTGTTTGAGGAAAAAAATAGACTCACTGTTTTGTAATATAATATATGTTTAACGAATATGTTTTTTGCTTTTTTGTCAAATTTATAGAAGCCCTAACCGGGAGTGTAATTTATATAAGAAAAATATATACTATAAAGTTCAACATTATCCGGAAGACACGATGAAACAAAAAAAAAAAAAATTAAATAAAAATATGATAATAGTAATAATAATGATAATAAAAAAAACGTGTACAATATCATGACGCTTTTTTTTTTTCATAATAAATGCTAAACCTTTGCGGAGAAAAAAAACGTGTCCGATAGAAATTTAATATGATATTAAAAAATATAATATATACCAACCAGCAGCAGCAGGGCTATAACGGTGGTAGCGTAGGTCTCTCTCCCCCCTCCCCCCAATTGGCACTCGCCACCGCAGACGTGTGTGTGTGTGTGTGCTGTGCTTGTGTGTGTAACTACTCACACAGGCAACGGTGACGCCGCGCGACGACAATCTCATGGCGGCAATAGGAACGGCACCTGCGGGAAGTCGATGGCCTTTGGCATGTAGCACTCGTGCACGGTCTTCATGTGGTTCTTCATCTTGTCGGGCCGCGAGAACTCCTTGGCGCACACCGGGCACGGGAACACCTTGCGCTGGTGGCCCTCGTGGTACAGGAACGCGTGCCGCTGGAAGCTGTACTTGTTCTTGAACGTCTTCAGTATGTCCGTCTTGGCGCATTCCAGACACTTGTAGATGCCCTCGGACACGGTGGCGTACCGGAACAGGTTCAGGCCGCGGACCGACATCTCGGTCAGTTGTTCCGCTGGGTCGCTGGACGACGTGGCCCGCCTCCGGATGCGCCGTTTGACGGGCGTCCTCAGAGACGCGGCGGCCGCCGCCGCAGCCGCCTGTTGCTGTTGGTGCTGTTGCTGCTGCTGCTGCTGGTGGTGCTGCTGCTGTTGCTGCTGGTGGTGTAGTTGCTGAGACTCTTGCATTTGCCGCTTCTCCTCGTCGAGGGCCGCCTGCAGCTGCTGCTTGTAACCGGACGTGTGCTGGGACACGGCCAGCGAGAACTTGGACTTTTGATCGAGCACAGACCAGCTGGCCGCCAGCGTCAGACGAGCGTCGTTGTTGTTGTCACGGTCGCCGCCGTCCGCTGCCTGGTGGAGGTGATGGTGGTGTTCGTGGTCTGCAGTCCTCGAAGACAACAACTTTAACATGTTCGCGTTGTGCATGTCTGCAGAGAAACAGAAAAAAACACGTTTAAAAAACTCGTCGAAAATATGTGGTGGCCGCCATAAGGACGATTTTTTAACCTAATTTAATAAACTTTCTGTCTATATACACAAAACATGTGTAGGCATTCAAAAAATTACTGCGGTGCGTTTTCGACACGCACTAACTGTGATCAATGAGGACGAATATACATAATATACTGAGTTCATAGTGGGTAGATAGGTATAACTATAATAGGTACGATCATGGCAAAAAATAGAAAAAAATAAATGAAAACTGCAGCAAGCAACACGTACGAGTAATATTATGGAATAATGTATGTGGCGTGTGGATTCGTGAGTGGTGTCACACGGTCAAGCAGCAATGCCAAAAAAGTAAAGTAATAATAATCAAAATAGGTATATATACTACATAGGTACATATAACTTTAATGCTATCTATAGCACTGCGGTGTGTAATGTGTCTTGCTAAGACTTACCTAAGTGAAATCATAATAAATCGTAGGTACTCGTATTCCGGCCGCTAATAAACTACGACAATAAGCGTTGAGGCCGATATTTCCGTTTTTTTTTTTTTGGCATACAAATAGGAAGTCAAAACGTTCTAGTTAAGCTATTGGAAAGCTTGAGCTTTGGGGAGGCGGATGTTTGTATGAGAAATTCACTGAGCGTCTGAACACTAGTCGATTATTTTACTCTCAAACGATAATTAAAAATCGAAATTTCAACACGATACACAAGCCTAAATAAATAGTTTAATGCAATCGCCCATGGAGTATTCGTTTAGGTTAAGATATGATTTAAACCAGGACTTTGTAACCAAATTATTTATTCGCGTGTTAGAAACATAGTCATCGTTATTATTCGGGTTAACAAGTAGTTTTGACAAACATAATTCTAAGTATGTGATAATTGGAACTGGAAGGCAAATGTTTGTTAGCAATAATGTTGGGCGAATCTAGGTCAAAATATCCAAAAATTAAATTAAAAATTAAAAATTAAATTGGATAATTTAATGTTTTCAAAACAATGATAAATAGTTTTTCGCGGTGGATCCATCGCTTCCAGACTCACACAAAGACTAGAATCGTCGATAAAATTGTGACATTAGACTGACTTATTAATTATTATGTCTGATGGTATAGTACTACATAAGTTACACTGATAAACAACGATATTATTCGTTTCTCAATAATTTTGTCTCATGAAACGTTTTATTATTAAAACTAAAAAATAATTTTGTTATTAATATTATAACAGGTTATTTTCAATTTGTTTTTAATTTTGATTTTTTGTCCTGTCCGTTATTTATTTTATAACATTGGGTTTTTTCTTACATAATTATACCGTATAATGTTATTGTTGACTACCCATGAAATGACTATGATGTGAACTATTTAATATTTATATAAGGCACCTACAAGTTACAACACGGACATGACTACACCGTGATAAAAACAAACACTATAGTCTCAGATAATCAGCGATTATCTACTTAAAACAAAATTTAAAATATGATTACCATTTGTCTGCGGTAGGCATTCACTACTTGCGCTACTACAACTAGATACACGCACATAATATTTAAAAGTGAAATAGGTTAGGTTTATAAGTAGACTATAAATTATCGTTGTAAACGCCTAAACATTAAACAATAGACAACTGGCATAATATTATAACGGGCATTGGTCGACAATTATTATTATAATATATTATATTTTATTATGTATGATTATTGAGTTTACTATTAGTAATATATTATATGGTTAAAAATTAAAATCTGAAACGTCAAAAGAAACAAATTACGAACGTATTATTATTATTTAATATTTAATAATTATTAATTATAGGTTATTAACCTAAAACGAATGTATGCTAAAGAATCGACGGTCAACGCTTATGTAAATATCAGTGCACCATATAATTATTCATTAATTGTAACGTATTTGTTAGTATGATTGAAGAGTTTAGTTGTAATTTAATCGGATTGTTGATAAAAAAAACCACGATAGCTGATTATTAACTTAAAATGGTCAACATTTTATCGATACCGACAATTTAAGAAACAAAGTTTTACTTCGTTCATCGTTCATAAGTCATAACCTATAGGTATAGCCTCTATGGAGTTTATAAAATATACGACAGAGTAGTTATTTGGAAAGGACTAATTATTTTATCAACCGTGTGTGCACGTAAATCTGGATTTCAGAATTAATTCTTCGTACACAAGTTATAAATTAACGAACTTACAATATTCGTATTATAATCGAACATCAACCGTGTGCTTAAAATGAAATGTAGGTATTTAATTATTATTGATCATATATTTGTTAACATTACGTAGATCCATTACTTCTTATTACATGTTTTCGATCTTTTGTTCCTAAACCAACCACTAACAATATTTTTTGCTGGTGTTCAACTAATGACTAATTATTTAAGTAAGGCTCATAAATATTTCATTATTAGTTTAGGTACAAATATTTATATTATTTTCAAGACATTTTATTTTTCTAAATAATGCAATAAACTATATAACTTTAAAGTGCAATAAAAAAATAACAAACTATAAACTATACAAAAAGTAATGTAGGCACATAGAGTATAATTAACAATAAAAATAGGTAACCAAAAAAATAAGAAATTTAGCTTAATATTCTTACTTTTGAAGCATCATTTATAAATATTAATAATTTATGTTATAAATAATTATTTAATATTATGTGAACGAGCTAGAAGTTTATATATTATACCGAAAAAAATATTTATTATATTCAGATGGCAGAGCAATAATTGTTCTCTCTCTCAAATTAACTCGCAACATAGATAAGACACATATGTACATGTAAAATAATTTTTTATGATATTTTATGTAATCTTGGAGTAAAATTTTTATTATTTTTATTGACTTTAAATAAGACTTAAAAAATGAAAAATAAATTGTAAATTTAAATGAATTTTGTTTTGAGATAATATTTATAAGTCACAACCCAAAAAATACATTTTTCTTTAACTGTTTTAATGGGTGATTTTACTCTAAGATTACTTAAAAATATGAGTTTGTGTGAATGTGTTTTGTTTATGTTGCATTGTTGTGTGTGGGACAAGAGTGAGAAATCAAGTGCTCTGTTCACATCCTCTTAAATGAAATGATTGGTAAGTAGTGTGTTTATAATTAATACAATTGTTTTTCGTCTCAAAAATAAAAATATTTACTTATATTAAAAAGAACAATTACTAAATACTTTTAGCGGTTTATTACCCTTATTGTAAAAAAAGCTTTTATTTTACAGTAGATTTTAATAATATAGATAAAATAATAAAAATAATATCAAAAAATAGGAATTATCTATGAAATATTTATAAAAAATGTATGCAATTTAATTTTACTGTTATAATATTATGTAACTATTAAAAATGCACGCATAAAGCTATAAATACATGATAATATATACTGTTTAAATGTAAAAAATATCTACGCAAAATCTAGATACTAATTCATATCTCATGCTGTTATTTAATTATGTTCACCTGTCACTTACAATAAAGTTATCTGTTGATTTGATTTTGCAATTTTGTAGGTTTAACTCCTATGGCCGCAAATATAACAAAATATTGTATGTAAAGATAACAGAGTACATGTTTAAAGATATTAGTTATAACTTATAATGTTAAGTTAACATAATACAGTGTTTAATACAAATTATAAAAGCTTAATATATTGGTAGCATTTCACACGAATAAAGTGATATAACATTAAATATGAGCAGATTAGGTAATTAAAAAATAATAAAACATATATTTTTCATACAATTTTTATTTTATCATAAACTTCACATATTAAATATCACTGTATGTACTAGGTATATGATGGCGTATTAAAACAAAACATTGATAACATATAAATATTTTAACGCTGCCAGAAGAATAAATATTAAATAGGAAAAAAATAACAAAACAAACGGATTAATAACAAATGAATGATCATGTTAAAACAAGCTTATTTGGATACTTATTCAATTCAGTCAATTATCAAATTCAAAATAACAAACCAAAAGGAAAAAAATAAATTTAACTAATAATTGTAGCTTTCACAGCCAATTTGATTAGTAATGGGCGTTCAAATTTTTACAAAAATACTTGTTATTTCCCCAAAAGTTAAAACAAAGCACCATTGTTTACTAAACTAATTGTATGCTAAATACACCCTGTCTAGCAGTCTATAAATAAAAATAATAATAATAATAATATTTAATAATAATATAATATAATATAAATATGATTGCATTTATAAACATAAACAAATTTCTCAACAACGTTATAATCTTAAAATCAAAACTACATATAATGGCAAGGCAGATTGAATAACAAATTGACTAAGAAACACACAGCCCAACTTAAAAATTAGGTATTAACAAAAACAATCAAATCATACACTAGTTTAAAATTTAGTTTTGACTAATTTAGTTTTATGCAAAAACAAAATTTTAAAATAAAATCAAGACCTGTTTAGTCTTTGTAATTGACAATACATCAAAATTTTTTTTAACCAATTTCAATATGAAAAATGAAACTTGCACATTGAGTTCAGTTTACATAATCATACTTAGACTGTTTTAATATTTGACTTGTAAATGGCAAGACAGGTTTAAATTATTGACAAGTACGTATTTATCATAACAATTGTGTACCCTAAATAGTATAACAACCCAAATTAAATGATTATAATAATAAAAACATTGGACGGGTTAACTATGGAAGGAGCATAAAAGGCAAAGGAAAAACAAAAACAAATTAAGACTTAGGAAGACAAAAACGCAACAAAAAAGATGAATATAAACTTTAACACAAATATACCTTTACTCTACAAACAACAACTATATAACTGAATCATTTAAGTACATAATTAAAAACTATATCCCATTTGTGAATTGTTTAAATTCTAGTTATTTCACTCAAGATTCTTAACTTTGGTACAATATATGATTAAATGTATTTATGGAAAGATATTATCTGCATTATTACCTTCAATACTGGTTAATTAAACAGTCAACATGTAAAAAATAAAATTGTAGTATGCCAGAATGCATTAACAATTATAAAATATCACAAACTATTATACTCAAATCTAGAACTGCTATTGTTGTTTGTAGCATAAACTTTGGGAGCAGAAACTCTGTGTACTTGTTTCATATGTGTTAACATATTGTCTCTTCTTGTAAACATTCTAGTACATACAGGGCAGGGTACTTCTTGTCTAATTCCATGATGAGATGATAGGAAATGCCGACAGAAATTACTGATGTGAGTGTATGTTTTGCGGCACAAATTACATCTAAAAAGATTGCTTGATTCTTGAGTACAGAATTGACGAACTGAATACTTGTCCATTATTGGTCGATTAGCATGGTTCGTTGTATTGTCAAAGTCACTTGTTCCATTTGTATCTTTAAATGAAGTATGTTGCTCAGATTCTACTTCTGAAAAATATTTGATCTTTTACGTTAAATTAAATTTCACACAAAAACTTTATAGTAACTTACAATGGACTGTATAAAAATGTTTTTTAAATAAATAATTTTTTTACTCTATGCTGTGTATTTTCAGCTATTTTAAATAGTTAATTTACAACACAAATTTAATGAATATATTTATCTTTATAATTTTAAACAAAATATAGAGTATCAAATGTATTTGAAGTAACTGAATAACTTTTTATAGCCTAACTAAAATGTACTCTAATCTTTAACAATGATCAAGGTTATCAAGAAATTAGAAAAAATAAATTATGATGAGTAGAATTATAATATTTAAATACATTTAAAAAAAATTTTTTTAAAGGATTTAATATTAATATTTGAATAAAATTAAAACATTTTTATAAGCCCATCCTAAAAGAATATTAACAAAATGATGGGTCCACTTTCCTCCATTTTAATTTAAAACTATTGAAAAATATATTAAAGGAAATACTACTTACCTGATTGTCAATCAAAATTATGTCCTTTAAAAATTCTTTTTATGGATTTATTACTTTGGCAGTAGGTATCAAAAATTTGTTTTAATGCACAGACCAGTAAAAACCAGATGCGAAACCTTTCTCTTAAATTACTTTACATTTTATCCACCAAATCAATTAAAATTATATTATACAATTTATGAAGGAAAATTTAATGAAAAGTTATGGACAAAATTATAAATTAAAAATAAAAGAGGAAGGTGTCCCATCTGATTGTTAATTTATAAGCGCTAAAATAATCACATTAAATGTAAATCATCACAAAAATAATTGTTAAGAATTTACAATGTCAAAAAAACATGATCGACATGTACGTTGTTACAAATATGAACTTAGTCAACAAACTAAAATGGTAATTATCTCTTAAATGATGACATTGGTGGAAAGGTTTATAATAAAAACTTACCACATGCGCTTTGGTCTAACTGCATACTAGAATGAGTGTCATATTCTTTTTTCATCGTACTTAAATCTAAAACAGAAAACAGAAAACACAAATTATTTATAAGTAAAAGAAGATAACTCAAGTTTAACCTATAAGTTAAACAAAATATTTTATTTTATTATGAAAATCCTGGTTATAAGAAAAATAGAAAGAATTTATTTTATGGTGTATGAAGCTAAAATAATTTACCTTGGGATGTTCCTGGAACTGGGTCGATAGGCTCTTGTTTTATTTCCATTCCATTTTCTGTATACTCTTCTTCCATATCTTCGTGATCAGCTATATCATCTTGGCTTGGAGAATCCAAATGTCTAGGGGCAGGTGCAGCAGATTCCGATTCTTCAGACATGTTCAACTCCAATAAATCTGGTGGTTCACGACCACTTCCTGCATTATTGATATTACACTTATACTTTTAATTCCATTTAAAAATTATATTGCAATGACAGAATATATTATTATTTTCAATAAACTTACCTGCGCTTGTACCAACTGGTGTAGATGCTCTACTATCATCATTATTATTGTCATTTGGTCGTGAAGGTGAGTTACTTCCTGTAGATAATTTCCTGGGGCGTCCACGTTTCCTTTTTGGTGCAGTCAGAGCAGATCCTAATAGAGGGTTCATAGGGTATGACAAATGTTGACGCTGTTGATCGTGAAGCGGATGAGATGGCATTGGCCTTTTCAAAGGTAGAGGACTATGGTTATGTATGCGTTGAAGTTGAGGCACATGAGCCATTTGGTTGTTGTGTACCGGTGACGAGGACGGAGATGATGAGTGAGACTGAAGAAGAGAAGAAGCTAACGAGGGTAGGTCACCACGATCTTCATTGACCTCAGTCAAACCTTTTATTCGCAATGATTCTGCAACTTTAAGGAAAGCTGACAATCTATCTTGATCAACACTAACCTAAATAAATAAATTTGCATGTTTAATTTTACTGTTATGTGATATAAAATAATTCTCAACAATTATTTACCTCTCCCCTGTACATGAAATCCAATAAAGATCTCATGTCAACTAGTGGAACATCTTTGAGTATTACAATTGGATGTCTATCAGGGTGTCCAACAAAAAGTGTCTATACAAATAAAATATATTATACAAATGTTATAAAAAGTAATTTATAAATAAATACCTGAAAGTAAGGACTGCATGCTGAAAGAACCATTTTGTGAGCACGAAGCATTTGACCTTCGACAGCTAATGTTACATCTACAAATGCCTCGCTCGTCAATAGTTGATCGAAAACAGCAAGTAAGTTGGATTGATGGTTGTTCCATCGGAGGCAAAACCTCTGGGATTGTCCATTGTTTTGTGACATGTTCACTATGATTCATGTAAATAATTTTTAATACTAGCTTGCCACGTGTATCAAATTTTGATCACAACAATTGATGGCAAAAACGCTCAGAAAATTCACCTGTAACAGATAATATTGACAATATTAACAATTTTATTGAAATGAGTAGGAATGCAAATTCATATAATTTACAAATTATGACTATCGTTTAGCTTGAAGTAAAGAAGGTAACTAAATTCAGCCATTATACATTTAGCTATTATAATATGATGTGTTTGTAAGCAAATAATTTACTTTTTCTATCAGGATAATACTTTTCTAATATACTTAACATTTAAAACTATGGATAAAATATGGTCAGTTAATCTCAGTTCAGTTTAAAACATGTCCATTTGTTTTGTATTTAAAAAACTTATAAATTGTTAAATAAAAAGCAAATTCAATTTATTAGCCTAACATAACTCACTTCAAAATATTAGTAGATCCAAATAAAGAATATAACTATATAATAATATGTTACTCATTATAAAATAGTTCGGACGATTTAAATGAATATAATTTAATAATTTATTTTAAACGGAAGTAATAGGTTTCCAATGTTCTTCTCTTGGTATTTATCTGACTGTTAATACTGACAGATAGGGGGCGATTATAAATAATGTAATGCGATAATTTTGACATTTTTAACCCCTATAGAAATGCTTATCGCTATAAACCATGTACCCGTAACGCATTTGAGCATTATAATATAGTTTCTATAGATGCATATAATTATTTTTTTTTAACGATAGCATGGTATTATCAGTTTCAGTGGGAAAACGACTTTAGTTTAATAATTAATTTCATACCAAAAAGTATCAAAACCAAATTATTGGCATGCATTATTTATTAAAATCGTGTTACGATTTTCTTTAAAAATTAACACATTGGAAAATTATTCCAAAATGAGAAGTAGGTATTTTAATTACATAGTCTGTACGGCTAATGAAAATACATTTAAAATTTTACCTAACAGCTTTAAATAGATATTGATAGAATATGTAATATTATGTTTTGTCTGGAATTATAGCAACAATTGTACACTAATACTCATAATCACCATTATTATACATATTAAATAATAGTACTGGCTACTACGATAACATCTATAATGTTATACGTATCAAGCCATCAAACTCTCATTATAAAAAGAACCCGTCAACTGAATAAGATTCGTGTGAATACATTTAATAATCATATTAAATAAAATCGGCCTACAATATATATTAATTTATTAATTAGAAATCAATTAGAATTTCGTGTTTAGAGCCATTAAATTATACCTAGTACACATTTTTACAAATAAAAGGACGTCGTATTCGCGTATCTATATCATCAATATTATTGAGGAGAATATAAACTGTGCTAGAACAAATGTTATTTTTCCATATTTATTTTATAACGAATAATATTAGTTTGAAATTTTAATTTAAATAAGTACTTCTAACTCATCATGAAAAAATATGAAGAAAAAACTTCATTTTCTCCTTTAGGTATAAATTCGATAGTAGTAACTTGCACTAACATTTATTTTAAATACATTGTAATCAAAATCAGGTACATAGATTTGTTATGTCATGCGTATGCATAACACATGAGACAACGGCGTCCTCGTAAAATAATTATATATATATATTGAAGGTTCATAATTCGTGCAAACTGCAAAATAAAATATAATAGGTATATTATTTGTCCAGGGGAATTAGGTAGTTATTAAAATGTATTGAATTCAGTATTATAAAGTTGAAGAAAACTATGTTTACGAGAGCAATATATTTTAGTTGATTGATTTCATGAATTTATTGAATTTATCTAACACTTACAAAAAATTTAAGTTTTATATGATAGTAAAATTGTATTAAATAATAATCACAAAATTTCATATGACATTTTATTAAACTCAAGAAGTTCTGGGCATTAAGAATATTAAATAATACAAAAGTAATTTATTAATAATATATTGTTTGTATTAAGACTTTGGTCGTTGGTATATAAATAAAAACGAAATACAAAAATATTACACAGGTAAATGAAATCAAATATTAAGTCACATGTTTTTGATTCAACATACGTATTGTCACTTACAGTTCACAACGCATAAGCACACAAAATTATACTCGTAATTTATACCAATAAACGTGGTCAGGATCAAATGACAAATTTAACCTGACAAACATCTGAGATAAAAGTAAAACCTCGAGTAAAACCAACGATAAAAAAACGGTATTTGAGTTTTGAATAGGCATATTAATTTATTCGAATTGAATGCCTCTAAAATTATACTTAATAATTAAGGAAGTCAAATAATAAAATGCAAGAAAAATGCATTATTATTTACTTACGAAAACATTAATAATTCGCGTAAGATAAAAATATTATAACCATTTTTAATCAAAAATATTATTTTAAATATTATTACTATATTCATGTATTTGTACAATAAGTACTATAAAATTTTTTTTTTCAGTATCATTAATTTTAGTAAACTGAAGAATTGAACTATGAACTTGAATAATTGAGTTATAATTTAGTATTCATTATTATTATAAGTATATAATATATCACTACCCAAAGGTGTTTAATAATTTTAAATATTTTGTTTTATTTAGGTATAACAAATATAGCTATTATCTATAGTATTAGTAAATAAAATTACTTTATTATAGTATACTAATTTACTATAATATTATACATACACTGAATTAATAATAATTTTTGTGTTGATATTAAATAAAAATTATGTTACGTTATTTAATACAGACAAGGGAACATTTTCATTACATTTGTAGGATGATTATTACTGTTAAGATTACACTTACAAATAGAGCATAGGTAATTAATAAAACCGTTGCCAGAACAAAATAATATCATATTCAGCAATAAAATCTAAAATTGAACAAAACTGTTATGATATGTGGTTTAGTGAAAACGTAAAGTTCAATAAGACAATTATTAGTATCGATGGCCTATATATTTAAATAAAAACAAACAAACAAAATAAATATATAATTGTACATTTATCTTATGCAAATTTTATGCGTAGAATAATTTGATCATTTGCCAACACGGGTACGGGAAAATGATACGATATTAAATTTGAGATAATATTCTAGTGTATAATATAAGCATATAAGAAATTTGTTGAACACATTTTTATTTTGTCAGGTCGGGTTTGGTAGTAATCTAGACGAAAGGAACCGCAGATAAAAATATTATCATATTTATAGCTATATACAGGGATGAGTGGTCGAAATCCATTGGGACTGAAGTATTTTAAACGCACATTAATCAGTGATCACTAAACTGGTGGCAGTTTTGTATTTTATAATCTGGAAATTTAATTTGTTTTCATAAATCATTTTGTACAACAGACGCTGATAATAATATTTCGAGTTAACTACTGATGTTCATTCAAAGTTCATTAGATAAAAACGTTAATAAATCATTGGTTTGATTTGCTGACAATACTCATTATATTACAGTGTCCCCGTATGGTTAAAAATAATTCTTATCTATGAAACCCTTGAGAAAATAAATTATAAGTTTTAATTGTTTACTATATTATAACTCTTGGTTAATTTATAATCGTATTTGAAAAAAAAAAATATTAAAATTATACCTAAAGAAGTACCGACATTAATTAATGTTGTAATTTACAAAATTATCATAATAATAATAATAATATGTATTGCATATAGGAAACAATAATTTTTTTTTAATTGTAAATAAATATATAAACATTTGATGTAATGATTTATTTATCATAACGATACAAGTAAAAAAACCATAAATGATTGTCTTACGTTACGGTTCTTATTGCTGAAGAATAATTAATTTTCATCCTTCGGAAAACGTCCGATACATGAATATAATATATATATATGAATTATTATAGGTAGATCTATCATTTGATAAATAAAATAAGTATATCTAATATAATATAATTTATGAACATTTTTCAATTTCCTCGTTCTATACTATAGTGAAGTACAATAACTGTTTGGAATAGTGTAGATTCTAAGAACAATGTGAAATATAAAAGAAAAAAGAAAAAAACCACGAGTTCATCAGAGTAATATACCAAACAAATTTTATATAAAATATAACAAATAACATTATTTGGATTCAAACACGTTTTGGTTAGTTAAAACAATGTCTTTGTGTAATAAATATTATTATGCGTTAGTTATACAAGACATTTACGGTGGTGTTGTAGTAATACCTTTACGTCTTGTAAGTAGGTACCAAAAATAAAAATTGTTTTCCCCCAAAAACGTTCAACTTGAAATATTGTCTTCTAAAAAAAATCTACAATCCGTATTCGGTCTTTTCTTTTAATTCAACCTTGTTCTATGTTTATAGCACCTACTAAATCAAATACAACTATTAAATCCATTTGTGAGGACATAATTCATCAATTAATGTACAATGGGAAAGGGCACGTTTGGGATTTGTTATTAATTTATTTAATAATTCACCTTCAAATAAATTGCATTTTTTTTAAAACATCACGGCAGCATGATAATCAAATTCTGAGGTGATAATAAACGAATAATTCGTTACGATTAATGTAGGTACATAATAATATAATGATTAGTGCGGTTATGTTAGAATAAATTAAAATATTTATATAAATATAGGTAATACCCTAATTTCTATATTGTTTGTATCGCAAGTTTTTAACAATTTATTTCAACTTTAGGAACTTAAATTGCTTAAATGTACCAATACCATTATATACAGTTTATGGTAATTCGGTGGTGGAAAGGATTTGCAACACACACGATTTTAAAGATTGATTTTCTGGGGAAGAATTATTTGCGGTGACGTAAGCTATAATAGTGGTATACTGGTTTTCTGTCGCGTAGACACAACGCATGTCGGATATTATATACAGTAGTAATATTTAAGTACATATTATTATTGGTATCATCATCATTATCAATACCATCATATAGAAGTACTTTTCGATTCCGTAACTGTTAATATTTACGGAACAGTCGACACGAAAACAAAAAGAGATTACGTTTCCGTATAATAGGTAATGTGTAAGTTCCGCAAGTATTCAAGTGTAACTGGTAGTAAATTATCGGTACTCGTCATCACGCGTTCGGCGGTCTACAGGGTGATATATTTTTCATAAGACCGGGCCGTCGAACTGCATAATATGTATCGCATGCAGGTATGCGAGGTTTTTCACTTTGGGCGGTGACGAAAAAAAAACTGTACGGGGGCCCCCGAGAGAGAATAAAAATACGGACGATAACGCCTCTTCGACCGCAATTGTTCGTATGCGTGTGTTTGTATATATATATATATTATGATATATAAATATAATAAATATACATTACAGGTATACAATACGATATATTACAATGTTCTCAGCACACGCGTTTGTATAGAAGAGTTTACTGCGGCGGGCGCATACACGATTGGTCGTGCTCGCGGGAACCCGGGTGTACCGTTAAACGCGCGGTCGCTGCGGTGTCCTCCGATAGGCCCTTCGACCGTTCGGTTTTATATTGGCAGGTTACAGGTAGGTAGGTACCTGTGCGATGTTATCGTGTGTGTGTGTATGTGTGTGTGTGTGTGTGTGTGTGTGTGTCTGCGCGCGCGCGAGTGTTACTGTGTTATATTGTTTTCGTAATACAGTCACGTCTTTCGGATAATGACGAAACAATAATACGAAAAAAAAAATACGTAAAAAGATAATAATAATAATAATAATAATAACGACAAGAAAAAAAACCTAGAAGATAAACAATAATAAACAATTTGAAAAATCCCATGTAGACGTGAAAAAATACAAAATAAATCAAGGGAGGGAATACGAGTGTGCGTATATATAATTTGTGGCGAAATGCATTCCGCACAGTGTTGCCATTTTCCCTTAGTGCGCCGCCCCTCCAGACCACTAGCCCCCTCCCCACCCCCCGTGGCGCGGTACCCCTCTACCACAGTGGGATGAAATAAAATGTAATAATCGCATTTCCAAAGCCGAAGCGGAGAATTGGGCGCGCGCCTATTGCAACAATATTTATATCATACAAATATATAATAATAATAAAAAGTGCAATAATAACATTCAGACGTTTTTCTGTTGCCCCACGTGCACAATAGTATTATAATATTATGCGTAAAATTAAAAACATACACACTCAAAGATAACAATATAGGCGCAAATTATAAGAATAATAATAATGAATAATGATGTCATGCGAGCCGCCCGGTGGATGAGCTTGCACGGGCGGCAAAAGGGGTTAGATGAAGAAGAGTCAACGACCCCGAGAGACTTACGTTTATTATTATACACGCGCGGTTAATCCATATATCCGGTGCAGCGAGAGTGTGTGCCGAGAGGAGATCTGAACGAAGTGCGAACCGATTTCACGCGACGAACGACGACGACGAACAGTTGCACACGCGTAAGCAGACGATACTGAGCGACGATGTTGTGTCGGCGTCGGTGGACGGAGTAATATTCGTTTTCGGAAAAATCGCGTCCCGAACCACAGAGAGAGTGAATGGGAGGGGGTGAGGGAGAGATACAGAGATAAACGGAAAATCTAAAATGGTAGAAAAAAAAAAATGCCGAGCCGATTTTCTCGCGTTTTTCTTCCACTGTACCGTACGCGCGCGCAGTGGGGTTGCGGTCAGGTGGCGGCCATGACTGCTGCTGCTGCTGCTTGCTGCTGTCGTCGTCGGCGGCGGCGACGGGTTCTCGGCGGGTACGACGAGTACAACTGCGCGCGGCGCTCGACGAGCAGAGTGGAGTGGCGCGCGCGCCGCCACGTTGAGAGCGTTTAGCCCCCGCGCGCTGGCACCACCACTGTCCACCGCTACACTGCATAATACGTATACACATATAATATTTACGCGCCGAGTGAGCGCGCGCGTGTGTGTGTCTATGCACGCCGGCTATGGGCTTGGCACCGCGGAGGGGGGCGCGGCTCGGGGGGGAAGGGTGCGGCGGCGGCGGCGTCCCCCACCCCGTGCAGCGACGCCGGGAGCGTCGACGAGGGGAACGTCTGCTTTGTGAGCGCCCGAGCTCTCCGCGGGGCCCGCGAACGAGTTAACAACGTCAAATGACTCCGATGGCGAAATGGGCACACGTGTTACCCTCGCGCGCACAACTCGCTATATAGCTCGCTCGTACGCACGCACGCGCACGAGCGACGACGGACGGACAGCCCGCCGCCCGCCCGCGACTGCAACTGCCGCCCGAGTGTAGGCACATTAACGGAACGATTTCATACATATAATATATTATACGTGTGCGTGTTACGAGAGAGAGGAGGTCGAACTAACCATCATAGCATCATCATCACCGCATATTGCACACGTAGGGAAAATCGTCATCATAATACCATAAACATAATAATATATTACGATAATTATTATACCGTCAGCTGGCCGACTTATATCATCACCAATAACATGCACCCTTTTTTCCGGTATACAATTCGAAAATCTAGGACATTCCTAGATTAACATGATATTATGATGGTGTAGAAACCACCTACCTGAAATGTTATTTTATGTCCCACGAAGGTTTTCTAAACGAAATGCGCGCTGCAGTTAAGTTGGTCGTCTTCAAATTGTCGCCCCACCACATAATCTATCGTTTTTCCGTTATACTGGTCGCAGTATATAATATATATATACGTCCGTTGTAAAATCCCATTCCACTGATTCCAAGATACAGTAATATACTTATATAGGAAGGTATACGTAAGTAATTAGTATTATATAGTATAAAGTAATCACAACAATATTATGATTATTATATATTATGAAATATAATGTATACGCATACAACTACATATACAAGTCACAACGGCGGTCGGCGAATGAGCACGCAAACATCACGGAAAATACATTTTTGCTGAAACCCAAGAATATGTTGTACTACTACATCTACAACCCACACATATATGTATATTCTGCCACAAATCGTACTGAGCCGATGAGTTTTTTCTTCAGTGTAACCTATACCTTTCGGTACAATAATACACTTATAAGCTACAGCTTCAAAACCGAAAACTGTAACCAAAGTTTATAATATATTTGATATCAATACCTACAACAGGAAACTTTGTAAATTGTATTAAATTATGTCTTATTTGAGTCATGTGCCTAAACATTAGTATCTATACTACTTATAAGGTATTTTGTAAAATACTTATTATAAAGATATTTAAACGGTTAAAATGATTTAAGGATAAATAAATACTAAATAGTGGACTTAAAATGTTAATCTATCTTTTTAATCATGCACACATGTATTACACATTATATTATGTAGGTTGAAAACTAACACATTTCTTCCCCTTGCGTACAGTAAATATGATGGTAAGTATAAACAGTTATATTTCACATACATCACACAGTAGGTGGTATAAAAACATATGTACTATAAGTTAATAAATTTAAATGTATAAACATTTGATGTAACAATTTTAAATATTTAATTCCTGGATTGATCCTAGTCTTAATAAGTAATAATTCGGTACATATCAATACTTGGCATTTCTTAGGTATGATAAAATCTTAAATTTATATAGATATTTCAATAAATAATTTAGTCCCATATTTTATATAATTATTTTTTAATTAGTTCCTACCTAAATATAATGTATATTTTGAATTAATAAAATGTTATGAAAAATTGAAAAAGTAGGCATAAGCTTATAAAAATTAATTTCAAGTTTTTCAGCATTTCAAACATTTTTTACTTTGAACCTTCTTTTTATGAACTTTTAACATAAGTACAAGTTTAACTTGGTAACCGATGTTAAATTAATTTGAATCATATTTAAGTATGTATATAATATATACATTTCGAAAAATGTAAAAGATTGAAATTTTAATATTTAAAATAATAATAATAATAATAATTGCATTATAATATTGAGTGATTATAAAGTATTTTGTTAAATAATATCTTTAAAGTTAAGACACCTTAATAATGTAATATTATTTTTAAACGATATCATAACCTAATTATAATTTGTATTTATATGTTTATAATCTATTTTATAAGTATAAATAAATCAATCAAATAGCTACAATACATAATAAATAAATATTATACAATTTGAATTTAGGTAAAAATACGGTTTTTTTTCAAATAAGGCAATAAAAAATTAATACATTTTAGTTATTTTAAAATAAACTAAACGAGACACGATAATAAGTTTTTCATCATTAGAACGTTAAGATGTTTTCTTACACTTAATATAAAAATTATAATCAAAGATTTTTAAAGGATACAAGGTCGTACAAATATATTACATAGAAATGTTGAGGATGATTTCTTTCGTATCTTTCAAGTGCGTTAAAACAATTCAAGTTGTTTATTAACTTTTTGAATAATTTTCTAAGTGGTTAATTTGTCGATTGTCTCAAGTCAAATGATATAATATACAACAAAGCTTAAATGTATAATATTATTTTACGGATAAACTGGATACAACTTAATGCATGGCTAAACACTGAAAATACATATTTGTTGAAACGTTTAAAGAATGAATGGAAAAAAAAATAAATAGGTACTCTGAGCTCAATGAAAAGCGAAATAAATCGAATATATGTGAATACAAATACTGCAGCTTATGTATTGTAACATAAAACTGCCCTCGGCAAAATCAATAGAATACGCCACGAACTGTGGTTGGCCGATCCCTATTTATTTTTTTTGGGTAGGAATGTTTTCATACGACATTTTCGCGGTACCCTTTAACACCCTTGCATCGACCCTAACCGACAAAATGGCCGAGCCCCGTTTTACCTGATCCACCAATGGATGTTCGTTAGGCAGACCTTCTATGCGCAAGAACTTCGCTAATAGAAATATATATTTATATCTGTTTGTATTATTTAATTGAAATCATCAGTGTACATTTATATGTACCTACCTATAACTATATATTATAATATGTTCAGCTATTTCACATAACATCCGTTTGTTTATAAACGTACCCATTGAACTAAACATGTTTATTGCATTATATAAAGTAAGACGATTTCAAAATTTCAGTAATTATATCAATACATTTATATCAATAATATTTTATCATTTATCGAATTATATAATATTGTTTTAATCAGTTTTCATAAACTAGTGGTACCAGCGAAATAAAAACGTTAAAATAACATTAATTGTTTACTTATTGAAACATCAAGTCAATAATGATATAGACAACTATGTATAATATTATTATCTAATAAAACGAATAGGAAAAATATTTAAACCCTAGTGATTTTAAATCACTGGAACATTATTGACCTTAATAGGTATAGTAACATTAAAAATTAGTTTTAATAGCTACATTTACTATAAACAGTGTTTCATAAACGCAATATTATAATTATAACCATTTATATACATATATATTTTTCTATTTATTATTTAATATTGGCTATAATTAAGTATAATATCAATGATAATTTAAAAATATATACCTGGGTATCATAAATTATGACATATTTTTTTTAATAAAGTAATCAACACTATCACTCATTATATTTTAAATAATTTATGTAAAACAAGTATGTACATAATATATATTATTGATATCATTATGATTCATAAGAAATATTATATTTATTATATCTTTCAAAAGATATTTGCAAAACAAACAAAACCAAATATTTGTGATTAAAATATTTACTTGAAATTGTAATCATTGAAGGGCCATTTAATAGTTATATATTGTATAACTACACGTATGTACAGAACATTACTATATATAGGTATAAGTTAGCGTCTCATTATATGGAATATTTTTTATACATTTTAAGAAACAACATAAATAAAAAAAATTAACACTATAAAGTTGTTAGTACCTAATAGTTAAGTTAACGTTTCATAACTAAGAGAGCTTCATTAATTGAAAAGGTATTGCTTGTTTCTTCGTATGTAATAAAAAATTATAACAGAGTCTTCTAACACATAATTTGTTCCATATGTAATTTACAAACAATAAATATTATATTTTGTATACATTTTTACAGTTTAAATATAACTGAAGAACTGTTGAAAGTTTCACTATTTAACCAGTTGCAATTGAATGTGCCTAACGATTACGAGTACCGGTAATGACCCTTTAGGCTCGGGCAAAGAACAAGCGTGTGTGACCTAAATAGTAAATGCACATAAACATAATATAACCACTATAATAGGCATCACTCATCACACTTCGGGATGAAACGAAGAACAAAATCAAAATGAATTAAAATGTGATAACGATAACAAAGCGTAACAATACAACAATTCGAATGTAAGTAGATTGTAGATATAAAAATAAATAAGAAAATAAGTAATATATGGATGTTTGGAGCACTGGGGTGGGGGTATCCTTAAATATGAAGGTAATTTGACCAGATTTTTGAATTACCAAAAATGGTCAAGATTTTGTTAAAAACGAGTGGCTAGCCTATATTTATATTATCACCGTTTTCTTGAAAATATCTAAAGTTATATTTTAAAATTTACAACTCTAAAGTAAATTATTTTGTATTATCAATATAATACCATACATAATTTTTTTAATGACTTCAAATGACCCACAGAATATATCTCCAAAGCCAAAAACAAAAATAACATTCTGCAATATAGCTAAAAGCCTTAGAATCATACAGTAAAACAACAGGACGTGGATTGCAGATTATAGAAAAAGGGGTGTAGCTAGTTAATTAGTTGTTGATCATCTTTAACGTAAGCCAATGTACTTACA